TTCTCCTCATCCACTAGCCAAGCCGCCCCGCGCCCCCAAGAGAACGAGGTGGAAGGAAGGGGGGCATCCTACTCCAGATAGCATGGCAACAACGAAACAGAACGACAAAGGTAAAACGAAGCACTGTAGCCCTCAAATTCTTCGTTCCGCCAAGTCCGTTTGCAAGCCTCGAAGCAAAACGGAAATGTTATGGGGATCCTTTGCGTCCGTGTAGGAGACGAGTGCCTTTTCCCTCCTGGACTGTGCTACTCCCTCGACCTCGAGAGTAGGGAAGAGGCGCAGTGAGTGGCTACAAGAGATGAATATTAATTTGATTAGCGGCCAAGGTTAGGTTGGCTAGTACTCGCGAAAACTTGTCTCGCGCATAAGCACAGCGACCGCGAGGGGTGAGGTAGGTGTAGGTGTGTATGGTGTATGTGTGCGTGCGCGTGTGTGTGTGTGCGTCGATACCTTGGGTAGAGCAACACCCACGCGCGAAGCTTGTCTCTGCCCATCCATGGGACGGAACTCGAGACGAAAGGGAACCAGACCAAACCCCGCACGCCCTTTTCCCGTGTCCTTTTTTCTTTTTTTCTTTTTCTTCTCCCTCTTTTTGCTTGCAATTCTTTCTCGCTGTATTTCGCCGGCTGGGTTCCGGGCCACTGTTTGCACTCACCGGCCTGGGAGCCATGGATTGCATTCCCCAGAGCTCCCTCCATTCCTCACCCCTCCCTCTCGTCCTTTCTCCTTCGAACTGTGGCTCGTACTTCCTCCTCTCTCCTCTCTCTCTCACCCAAACATCCTTTAGCCGACTTGTCGACAAGTATCCTGGGGGATAGTGCGTGAGCCGGCCACTTACACCCTCCCCGCCCCCAATTCCCGCCAGAATATTAGTCCCAGGTCCACTCCACCACGCGACCTTGATCTAAAGTCGCAGGGGTAGGCTGCCTCGATTCAATCGATGTTCGACCATTTTGTAGTCCTTGAAATGTTTGGGGAGTGTCGGGTCCGATTTGAGCCACGCGGGCGATCACGCCAGGGCCCCGTGAGAGAGAAGAAGAAAAAACATTCCGACCAAGGTTGTCCTCGATATCCCCAAACAGGAGCCGCGCCAGAGAAACAGCACTTGCGCAGGTTTGGTGACCTGGGTTGGTCGATGTCCATAAATTTCCTTCTTCTCTTCTCTCCCCTTAGCCGCAGCTTTTTTCTTCAGCTTCTTAATAAAAGGCTCTTGATTTATCCAATCTCTTTCTACACCCATTTTCGCTGTTTTCCAGTCTCCTCCTGTGCTCTCTTATCTCATTCGTACTTACTTGCCTTTCTCAGCCGTCACCGGAACCCGCTAGTGCCCTAGTTGCGAGCACCGTCTTAAGCGCACTTCAAATCTCTCTTGATTACATCTACAAGTAGGCTAGTAAGTGAGCTTTGATGCGCCTGTCCCTCATCCTGCACCCTCCGCCCTCCATAACACCATCTCGCCAATCCTCATCTCGCCTGCTTGTGTTATTTCCTCCTCCCACCCACCGCGGATACTGTAATGCCTCGAGCACCGTCATGCGTCCATGTTCTTCCACGACCCATCTGCGACAAGCCCAAGTGTTCCTCCCCGTGCATTGCTTTGATTAGCGTGGACCAGTTGCTACACAGGAAATGGCCACCGCAAGCCATGCGTCGTACCTGCAGTAATTGCATGCATACGTTCTATTCGGCCGGGAGGAACACACTCACCCTCCTCCCCTCTGCTCTTTCCTAGACCTTGCACCCGGTGGTCTTTACTGTTGCAGAAGAAACCCATTCCTCATGTCCTGTCCCCGTGGAAGTCATGCTCTCTAGAACTGGCCTGGTTGCGATGGCTTCAATCATAGTGCTCCACATCACTTCTGTTACCCATACCCAGCCCTCCCACTTAGACCACCATGAATGACCTCAATGGCCACGCCTTCGAGCCCCCGGGCAGATCCTCAAGTGTGCGCTTTTTTCCCCGACATTAGATCGCACTAAAAACTACGAACTGATGGAGCGATCCCGTTCTCCCAAATGAAAACGCCACGCGTCGCTAATTGAACCCAATGATATCAGCCAGGGCACCTCTGAACGAACCGGCCGCTAGACCAGCCCCAGCTATACATGCTGTCTAGTCTCCCGAAGAAATCCACAAAGTCCACTCTTCGACTATACGGGCAAGAGTGCCCCGCCCAAGCTGACTGTCCTGGGACAGAGCTCGAGTCGTAATAAAACTTGTGGTGCTAAAAAACCAGAGGTTAGTCTTAAGGGGAACAAGTACCTCCGTCGACGCGCCTTCACCTTCCTATTTCCCTTCGCCCCACGGCTAGTCGCAATGGCTCGAGATTACAAAGGCGAGACAGGGCGGGAATAAATCAATGCCATGAACATCTTGGGAGACAAGTGCCTGGCCAGGCGTTGAGCTCGCTAGTTTTGCCTCGTATCGCACCTTCAATCTTGTTCTTCGGATGATTCTGCACTTACACGCCAATCTCCCCCATGACACAATTGAGTCCGCATGCGGGTTCCCCTAGTGCCCCCAGACTCGTTCGAACCAACGCAAGGTCAAGAGCACATCAGCCATCAGTTTTCACTCGCCCTGACGGAGAACACCCGTCATGGATCAATGATCAATTTCCAGCCTTGCAATCAGCGCAGTGCGCGTCTCTTTCCAGGGTCAGGCTTCTAAAAGATTCAAGGGTTTGCTTAGCGGCTCGGATCTTTCGCCAGCCAGCCTCGGAGCGTGCTTCCCTAATCCCGGTCCTCATAGTGGGAGGCCATCAAGCACGGATATTTTGCCTGCTTCTTCCCTCTCCAATCCCAAACTCCCTCCTCTTTCACTCCCCACTTCCTCGCCACGGTACGGTACATCGATTGCTTCGTACCCTTCATGTACAGTACAACCCACATCGATGCCTCCTTCACTCCAGCCCCCATCCTTGCTATCAGGCAAGCCACGGATTCCATGCTTCCAGTTTCTTGCTTTTTTCTTCTAGTCCCTCACGACTTCTCTGTCTCTCTTTTTCCGCATCACAAGATGGCCCATCGGCCACCACGTTCCCCTCCTGGTCTTACATGCACACCCCATTCTTAGCCGCCCCCTCCCCACTCTGCCCTTAGAATCCCCTCTTTCGGGATCGTTACGGAGTAAACCCAATACATGGGTGTATATTTCTTCAAGCCATCTCTTGCAGGCGCAGGCCTCTTTCGCAACTGCAATCTAGCCCAGTCGAATGGCTCGCCCCATCTTGCCCTATGAGTAGTCTCCAGTCCGTCGTCAATGTTTCTGCCCGAGTGGTGGGGCCTGCTGGAGCGATTACTTACAGACCTCGCACTCTATCATTTTCCCGACGCCCTCGTCGCCTACCTTCTGGGCAACACCCGTTTCATTTACATTTCACCTCACTAATCCTCTTAATCCCATTCCGCCTCAAAAGACATTCCATGTTTTAGCTAACTCTGGCCATGCGATAATCCACAGTCGCTGAGCGTCTCATAAGAACATTTGGTCTTCGAACACTTATATCTATACCCTCTTTCGCACCATTTACACCTCAATCCCCGCCTTACCCGTCCCCAACTGCCTCAGCTAGAAACTGAACCGTTTCAGGACATCAAGTCTCAGCTTTCCTCGCTATATTTTTTGTCACGCTCCTAACCTCGCCGTTGCCCCGTCGAGTGTCTTTCTTGCACCCCTTCTTCGCACCACAGAAAGGTCTACAAGCAGCCACTTAGCCGCCATCGTCTGTGTGGAAACGCAGCTCGCTCGCCACACCACTGCTAGGAGCATCACAGCTTGTTTGTGTAGCGTCAGAGGGAATGTTTTAAGTGCACGGCCTATTCAACGAGTCAGCCTCCTACGATAGATTGCGTCTGCCTCATCTGACCAGCAATACATCCAGTAGGGCATAGCGTCCTCCCCCACTAGGACACCCTTCTTCATCTGTAAGTGGCGTTAGACATAACTAGGATAGTCTTGCGTTGAGGAACGGACTGAAATTATCACTACCCCTACGCCGAGCATCTCGCCTACCCCATTCTTTTGAAACCTTCCTTGTTCCTGAAGAAAGAGGAAGAAGAAAAAAACATGGCTTGTTGTATGGGCTAACGCACGCCACACCACCCCACCAGCCTTCTTGAGAGCGGGAGACCCCTGACTACGGCGGTTGAGCCCAATCTCAACTGTACCGCTAGGAGATATATTCTGGAAACCTCCCCACCACCGGCCGGCCGCTGTTCTTTGCGCTTCTTCCCATAACAGGCCAGTGACGTCTCAGTTACTCGCCCTCGTAGAGCCGACGAGTCATTCTACCAACCTTCTCTACTCCGGCTTCCTGTCCTCACTATCACGCGCTACCTCGGGGCTCCCTTGCCCGTGGCTGCCTTGCTAGGTACGCCCTCGCCTGCCGCTTCGCCGTGCGAGCAGATCCACGCTGGTCGACTCCAGTAACCGGGTCATCTATCACCTTTAAACAGCTTCACTATCGAGCTACGCCAGAGCCAAAGAGCCCTCCACGAAAAGAAAAAAATTTCCGCCTTAACGGCAACTCTTTACGAGAAGACTGCACACTCTAACTTAGAGCCGTCAGTCTCCCTCCCCTCACTTGGTCCAGGCTGGTCGAGTTACTCACTGTATCTGTAGGCACGGCACTTGGCATTCAGACAGAAGCTTCGGCCTCCCGAAGTCATTCCCGTGGGCGTATGGACGATTCTGGAAGCGGCGCGAAGCAGAATGAATCAGCGGTTCACGGTGTAAAGAGTTCCCGATATCCATTTCAAGATCAACAGCCCTCACGACGCAACATGGCTGGCAGTGCAACAGAGCGCTTTCGGCCCGCTCCCCTCAACACATCGGCAAGTCGCGGGATGGCTGGCACAAGCAACTATGGGGGATATTATCAAGATTCGGCGGCAGCGTTTTCTGGCGCAAACATGGCCCAGGGCGGGCTCCTTACCAGCCTTCAGACTACAACCAGGACGCCCGGCAGCAGCAAGCGTTTGGCACTTACAATCCAACTATGATGTATCCAGTAGGCCAAGCCGCGGCCCAAAATCCTTACGATGCCTCGCAGCAGTTTCCAGGTAGGCAACCGGGGACAATGTCGATAATGCCGAGCGAGGTGCCCCAGTACTTCCAGTCAGATGGGGAGCGTCCACGCCGTCGTCGGCATTACCGGCGGCACAGTCATCAGGCGCAGCCTACCAACAAGCGCAACAAATATCAGCTTTCGGGGACGTTGCCTTCGGCTGGGGCGGGACTAGCGAGCTCACAAACTGCGGCGTCTGGTGTCGGTGTGGACGAAGCCGACTATTCAGTGCCAGCGACAGGGGCAGGTCTGGAAGAGAGGTGGGCCGACTATCAAGCCCGATTGGCGACAGTCTTTCAGGACATTCGGAGCGGATCCTTGAAAAGGGCAAGTGAGACACTCTTGAGCTGTCTAATTGGCTCTTGAGCCAAGTAGTGGATTTGGGTAAGCCCCTCCGACCCCGGTCTTTTTTGATTCGAGGATATGCAGCAAAGCATGGACCAACATGCAGGAAATCCTCTCCCCAACTCCTTCCAACTCATTTTGGTCCATGGCCACAAGCTAACCAGGGCACGATTATGATTGGCAGGTCTCAATGTGGACGACCGAACCCTCCATGCAGATCGGCTCAAGTTGTGGAACGACTTCAATCATGCATGGCTAGGGCTGTTACAACGGCAAAAAGACATGGCAGAAGGGGAGCAAAAGCCTCAGGGAGCCGAGACCCTCTTATCCAAGGATGACATGGAGAAGATGGGCAAGGAGCTTGTCCGGCTCTGTGACGGCGTTGAGCGGCATGGACTCGTCGACTACCAGTATGGGGTCTGGGAAGAGCAAATCATTACAGGTGAGTGTCCCGGGCCCGCCCAATTCTTTTACGAAAGCCCCGTCAACCATCTTTAACCGGCTTGTTCGATGCAGCTAACCAATCGTAATGATGCCCAGTGCTTACCGAAGCGTTGGACCTCTACGACTCCAGTCCGAGCGGTGCATCATAGAGCACATATTTCCGAATCAGGCTCACTGCCTATTACCCACTGGACCTACTTGAACCTGGACATGCCAATGGGTGTGCCTCGATGACGACAATGCGCCTGTCCTTGGCAGTAGGCTGGGAAGTGAACCTGGGGAATCTGACACTCTGCATCTTTCGGTTTCGGCCACCCTCGTGCACGCGCACCCCTTTCGCAACCTCTGGCTTATGAGCTGGTCTAGGCTATGAGAATAGGATGTGGCGCCTGGGTATCCATCCACTATCCGGCCAGTCTACCTCCCAACACTGTGCGGACAGGAAGCCCCACTTTTGACAGCACGAGTTGACCTCTGACTCGTGCATGCTCGGTCCATCAAGCTGTTATACCGAGCAGTCTGAACTGGAGGGTGCCTATGCTGCTTTCTACCCACTGCCCCTTTGGCAGGCAGCCCCGATACTGGGTGAACACAACAGCGGTGGCTTGTTTGGATCAGAGGGGACAGTTTCTTATCATTCTAGAAGCCACCTTCTTTTCCTCTCTCTTCTAACTTTCCTAGACGGAAAACGAAGATTTCATCGTCTTAGTCCGATTTGCAATATCGGTACTCGGGCCATTTTCCCCACTCTCTTCTACATTATACTTGTACTACCTACCTCGCTGGCCTCTCGGGGAAACCATTCCCCCTTGCTGTCGTGTATTTTTCACTACATTGCCTGGCTTTGCATCCACGGCCACTGTAGCTTTGGCCACCCTACCTCAGGCTTGTCGACTTTGGCTACCCTCACCCTCACCCTCACCCCTTTTCCATTTTCAGGTTTTTTTGTCTTGTCCCAACTGTTTCGGGGCTCTTATTTTCATTTTTATTTTTTACTTCGTCATTTTCTTTGTTTTAAGATCAGGTCTGGTGGAGAATTTTGGTACGTGAATACGAGAGATGATACCCTCTACGGAACATTGAATGGATTTCACTAGAACCTTGGGAAGATTTGCAGAGCCGTGAAGCCCCCGCGTGTCTCTTATTCGCATGTCCCTTTGACTTGCTTTGGATTTTTATTTTTATTTATTTTTTGTTTAGTGGGCACTGGCCCAGGCACAGGCATTGTTGCATTGTTGTCCAGCCAGTTTGTTTGCTTGGCTCGTTTGGCTTTCTCCGAATTCGGGGAAAGGCGGGTCATTTCGGAACCCTTTACTGTTCCTTCCTTTTGTTCTTTTTTTTTTTTTCTTTCCTTGGGGGACATGAATGGCACTTGCTGAGAACCTGGATCAACGACTTGGAGGCTCACGCCGGGAAAAGGAGGGAGTAATACTAGAGGTAGAACTGTTGGGCCATTGGGAAGGCCCCTTTAAAGGAAATGGATTTTTCTCGTCTTTTGTGCCCCAACTAGTACACTGATTTCTACTCTCTTCCGCCTTCCTCCATATGTTGCGTGCGTGAGATGCACTATCCACGCGAGCCAAACAAACCTAGGTATTTTGTATCTCGAGCGTTGTGGAGCGAGACCATGCGAAACTGATGAGCTTACGTTTGTGCTATGCTATCTATTTCCTGCCTTATTTAGGCCCAACTTTGTATGTTGCTCAGGTTTCTCTCCAGTTTCTCAAGTTGCTCAAGTTGTACAAAGTAGTTTTGCGTTCTACGCGGCACGCTAATGCTTGTACTTGGTAGAATTTGCTACTGACCCACAGTTGGGCATCAACTTGAGGCTTGCGGTGGGAGGGCAAGGCAAGAGAGGAGGGCTGGAGGGTGGTGAATGGGGAAGCTGCTCGTCGCACGGCAGGTGGACCCAGGCCCTCAGTCCGGTTGGTGATCGACCTCAGGGGCTGAACGAGGATCGAGTGGGGTTGCGTACCTCCCAGTTTTGGAAGTCCGCTGTGGAATCTGGGACAGTGGAAACCGGGATTTTAGAGTTTGGTGCAAGGAGCCCCGGGTCGAGGCTTGCATTTGCATATGCAAGGGAATAATGCAGCATTCTGCGCATGGGGCTCCGGAGAGTAACGCTCTGAGGATGGACAGACAGACAACCGTCTGGAGACTGTGAATAGAATATCGAGTATTAGGTATTCGGCGGCTGGTTGCCAGCGAAGTGGTAGTGGAATTTTTTTCCCCTTTTCTTTCTTGAAGCTCACCATTTTGGTCGAAGAGGGAGGGGTAGGGAAAAGAAAAGAGAAAGAACGCTTCTTCTTTTTCCCTTTTCCCGGCGACTTTCCCTTTCTTCGTGGTCCTTTTCCCTTCGGCCTCTACCGAGCTTCTGTGGAAAAATGAGGAAGAGAAGAACTGAAAGGATAGCTAATATGTGACATTGATCAAGTCTTGGCTTTCAGGGTTTCCAAGAATAGTACTGTACTTTGATAGGCACCAAAGGGAAGGAAAAGTAGCTGGGAAAGGAAGGGGTGAACGATGAATCCATGAATGGAAGAGGAAGGCGGGTGGTCCCAAAACACCCATGCCTCGCCATCAGAGACGGCCGGCGAAAGAATCACTTCATGGGGAGCGCTATGTTCAAGTCTCAGGAGCGTGCTACATTTGCCGAGTCTCCTCTTTCGGTTGGTTAGTCGTTTTGAAGGACAAGGATTTTGCGAACTCTGGAACTTTCTGGGGAGCTTGGTTTTGCCGTTGACCACTGACACGAGGTCCAGCATGAGGAGAACTGTTCTCCCGAGATTGCCTGGTTAGATTGCCCACCCCTTGGCCTGTCTATCCTTCCTCATCACTCCACACCTTGTTTTAGTGTGTTCTAAGAGGGAAAAAGAAGGTTGGTCTTGGGCCCTTGACTCTTTCAGCATGTTCTTTTGGAACTGTTGCCTTGCTGACGTCTTCGATCCCTCTAGGGCTCGTTCAAAGGGGTGGTGGGGCAGAGAAGAAAATGAGGAGACGTGCACTAGCGTGACAGGACACGAAGAAAGGCGAATGGACAGACAGACATGGACATGGCGCGTCATAGTGGTAATCATAGCCAGAACATGTCGGACGAATACAACCTCGAGGCAAGCGGAAGACACGGGCGGGGAAAGCTCCGCTGACTAAATTGGCATTAGACAAGGGTAATTTGGAACAGGTTTTGTTTTTTTTGCAGCAAAGATCGAACCCAAATTGATCTATCAGCTTTGAGCGTTCCACTGCGCTCGCTAAGCCCTATGACGGGAAAAAGCTACTAGGGAGAAGAAGGCACGAAGTCCCTTGTGACGGAGAGGGAGGTGTGGCCGCGTCAATGATCCCTTCTCCATTCGCCCCTTCCTCTCGCCTCTCCTCGCTCTTCTATTACGTATCTCGCGAAAGAGGTGGCTCTGTCTGCTGGCTCAGATACCTAGAGGTGTGGGTATTGCAGGACGCTCCGTCCTGTTTGAGTCGAGGCGCCAACTTACAAGTAGAAGTGTGGGTGCCAAGGAAGGAAGAACCGTGGGGCGGAGGCTGTGAGGGTCTCTGAGAAGGGGTTCTCTGAATGGCCTTAAAAGCCTCGGTACCCATTGGGCGTCGGACACACAGGTGGGATGGGCCAATGCAGTGGCTTGAGTAGAACTTGTGCCTTCAATGTTCAATGTTCCTTCTTCCCTGATGCTCCATCTCTTTCCCATTTGTGTTGTCAAACAGCTCTTCTGCTAGTCGCACAAACCTAAGCTTGGTCGAGACGGCTAGCATGGCCAATTTCGATCCCACCTTGGAAGTTGGTGTAGCTGCATCCACCCTGGTTGTACCTGCATTCACTATACTACAAGTACGAACAGGTTCGTCGTTCATTTCGGCTATCAGTGCAGGGCCTTGACGAATCAATATTCCGGGTCGACTCTTGTCAAAATGGAGCATTCTCGAAGCAAGGATCAGAGAAGAATTCAACATCGCGCTCCATACTATGACGGAGAAATTACTTTAATACTTCTTCCCCCAATGTCCGGCTTCCCCAGCAATTTGAACTGTGTGTGTGCGTGTGTTTGGGCAAGACCGCATTGCCGGAGTGCATCACTAGAGTGTACCTCTGTAACAACTTAAAATTTCTTCAATTCTAGCCCCAGATGTTTCCGAGGGCCCAAGTTCACGGGCAGTCACTCGAAAAGTGTTTAGCTTCCACCTTGACCTCTTCTTTCCCCTCGTTACTCCTCACAATATCCCAAACAGTTTCTGGCCATCAAGGTGAACGGGCCTAGACGTAGGCACACCCCACCGATTGATATCATCGATTCGATGAACCGCATTAACACTCACAATCAAGGAGGGCTGGCGTAGCACGCACCTTTGGTCTCGGTCGTTCAGTTCAAAGCGAAGGAGTGACGGAAGGATTCCGGTGCCGGCTGGTCTTTACGCTTCTTTCCTGATTGTGCTATTCGGAACTCCGGAAGCTCTTACCCTCTTTCATCCTTCTGAAGGAATTCTAAGAGCTTTGAAAAGATCCACACCCGTGCGTACCAGGCACAACGCAAAGTCTCTCTACCCCTTGGGGTACCGTGTCATTGTACTCGTTCCAGCTTCAAAGAGCCCCGAAATTAGCAAGGATGGGGCATGTCGGAGATAAAGGGAGAAAAAAATAATACCACGAAGCCCTTGAATGGAGACTAGGGTATTCGATCATTTTCATGATTCAAAGCGAAGTATATGCCTCTATGTTAATGGAGCCAGACGTCAGACATCCGGGGCCAGGGAGTTCGAGAACATCAGCTCTCCCTGTTCTAATTATATCGCTCCAACATTTCCACCTGCCCCTATCGAACCAAGTGCTCACGAGTGTTACAGGGAACAGGCTTTGCTGAGATGCCAGCGCCGGAGATGACCCACGGAGCTCTTTTACCACTAGTGCCTTAGCTGCTTCAAACTGGCTGCGGTTCGACAGATTGATGCCCTTGTTGTCAGTGCAGGCATTTTTAATATACCATGTAGCAGCAAGGAGACGGACAACTGTTACCGGCACAGCCCAAAGGAAAGTGTGACTCTATAGATGAGATTCTAGAAGCCCGAAGTGCGGCCGGTGAGGCTTTCGGGGAGGCTGCCCCGGGCAGCATCGCCTTGTCAATGGCCTGACAACCTGCACGAGCGACGCGAAGGCCGACAGGGAAGTCGGTCTGTCACCCAAGAACAGACATCGCCACATCCCCCAATGGGTTTCCTCGCCAATCAGCCTCGAGCGGTCCCCGATCCTCTAACACGCGCTCATGCCCCGCCCACGTCCGGCCCGTGCCAATGGCTGCCTGTACCTGTGCCTGTGCTTGAGATGTCGCGAATCTCTGAGAGTTCTCAGTCTAGATACCAAGACGAGAGGGAGTATTCCAAATAGTGAGGCATACCACGCATTCCCAATCACATGGCAGGTTCGGCTGCTGAGCTCGGTAGGGCAACTAGTTGTTCCGAGGGACTTCTAAAGGGTGAGGACGTCTTATCAAAGCGGGGGAAGGGGCTGAAGCGGGTGAAGGTGAAGGGGGTGAGTGGAATAATCTAGGTATTTTACGTCATCATCTTGGAAACCTAGCATTGCGCCTCTCTACCCGCCATCCCCATCTGTTGAAGTCCTATTTGGACCCGAAAGAACCATGTAATGGTGCCCAACCAGTGGCGAGTTTGAAGGATTTTGAAGACGGGGAGGGTGGTTAGCATCGCATCGTGTGGAGAAACCAGCTCAAATGTCGCATCGGCAACGTGCTCCGTCGTTGACGCGCTTGCGCACCTTGCTTTCTCCCTGGATCTGGACCACCACGTTTGTGCTTCAGAAATGGCCCCTCGCCAGACCAAAAGGGGGATGCGGGTGATCGCGCGGGTGTGTGCACATCGGGGGACAGCAGAGCGCGGCGAGTAGCACTGGCGTCGGAGTACCGGAATGTCACCTATACCCTTGAAAAACTTCCCTGAAAAAATTCTTCTCTTTGTCTACCGCCTCATCCTTCCTTTTCTCGCTCACCAATTCTTTCTCTTCGATGCCCGACTAGTGTGGCTTCAGCATGAACACGTTTGGAGGGGGATCCTTGCACGAATGCACAAGGAGTCGAGAACGGAAGGTCTTGACAGCTTGGATTCCCAACCCCCGTCGATGGGAGAGCCTCATGAAGGGTATCGATACATGAGAGTATCCCGTTTCCTGCGCATCAATGGACCTTGTTTCGGGCGCACAAGAATATCGTAAACACCCCCGGGCCACACGTCGTCAGTTCGGCATTAAAGACGGTGCAACAAAGAGCCTTTGGTGTGGAGGGAGAAACCTGGTTCAGGGTCTTGTGCAGTTGTCTGGTCTTCTTCGGGTGATTGTTATGCCGCCGGTACCTGGGGCCAGGTTTCAGGGACTAGGACAATATAATATTGTAAGTGATATGGAAATATGCCGAGCGACTGTTTGCTGGCTACATGTTTCGGTCATGGTGGGGAAAAAAAAATAGGAGGAAGCATTAATAGAATGGGCGAGGACACCGAAAAAGGGGTATTTCGAGGAGGGCTTCTCACGTTTCGAAACCAAAAGAGAAAGCCGAGGTAATAAGTGTATTCTAGACGCGATACAGACACAGTTAAAGTTGGGCAGGGATTGATAGAGTTCATCTGTCTATCTCCAGAAGCCGTAAATCATAAGAGTGGATCGGATATAGCTGTCTGTTCAGATGTAACAGATCTCCAATATGCCCCTCCCCTTGAAGGTCGATCCCATCTTAGGACCAAGCCCTCCGTCTGTTTTCACCTCGTGCTAACTTTTCAACTACGAATCGGAGGGCACACCGCAACGGGAGGAGCAACAGCAGTCCGAGGGGAAAAACACAAGAAAAAAAAAAGAAAACCAGGTTTCCATGCGCTCTGGTTCGGATCTTTCCTGGAACTAGACGCGGAACAAATGTGCATTGAATGGGCGGGGAAACCAAGGAAAGGCAGGGGCTTATGGGAAGAAAGCACCATTCGATGAGGAGGATAGAAGAGACGACGAACATGGGCCCGAATGGTCGCGGTGCGGATTGAAACCGTAGCGGTTTGCAAGTTTCCACGAAAAAAAAATAGCTGTGAGAGCCGTTGTTCCGGCCCGGTAGCGATCCCATCCACCTGCACGTAATATATCGCTACATATATTAAAGCACCTTGCCCGGGTTCGGAAAACACGCATCTGACCCTAATCCGCCTGTCGCGATCCAAGAAGCACACTTTTGTGGTGCCGAACCGTCCCAGACCTGCGCTCGTTTGTCCGATGATGCGGCCTTTCACATTTTATCTCCGCACCCTGACCTGCAAGCCGTCCCCAGTTCAGGTTCGATCCACTAACAAGGTCGGTTGCCGAGGCGGAAGAGAAACGATGTCTGGCAACGCATCGGGGACGGCAAGTGCTAGGCACTGATTATCAGACAATAGAAAATGTGGTTCGGTGCCTGGGTCAAATTCATGCGGACGGGAACGAAAACAGTCGCGGGGACAGCGGAACCTGGACAGGGCGAGATATGGGCCGCAGCTAAAACCCGGATGACTTTGGACACTTCAATACGAAGGGATATCACGGAAAACAGACGTTCCAGACCTGCGTCATGGATTTTTGGTACCGCAAAAATAGGCCGTGAGAAATTGCCATATCGTGAATTCATAACCCTCATACGCGGATCTGCTAGGCGCCGAACTGGGACCAAAGGTTGCCGTGTAAGGTTTTCAAAAGAGAGGGGAACAAGTAAAGGAAGTGGAAACTGGATGATAGAGGGGAGGGGGAGGAGGAAAAAGAAAAGGAAAGATCAGAGGTCGAGGATAGGAAAAGAGTCGGATGTTCTCTAACCAGGAAATTTCTGGTTCCACAAACAAGATCACCCTGCTCCAAATATTTCAAGATCATATTCCAAGCACATTCAAAACAAGCTGCCGTGATCCAGGTCATTAATACCCCAATGGGGGTCATGTTCTCATGACTTAAAAGTTGTCTAAACGGAACGATTAGCGAAAGGAAGGTTCGGAGTGAGCGAGGGGAAGGCAGCGGATGGCAGTAGCGTCCTGGCAAGAGCGACCATCGCGCTCCAAGTGCGGCACAATAGATCTGAACAAGTGGGCCTTGGATATAGATCAAGGGAATAGCAGGTGCAGCCCAGCGGAAACGCAACTTACCCAAAGTCATGCTGTTGCTGACATCGGTATTTTCCACCATCTTCTTGAACTCTTCGAAGCTGATTTTACCATCGTTGTCTAGATCCGCCTCCATTATCGTCTTGTCGACAATCTGCTGCAGCTGCTGGTCCTTGAGGTTGTTGCCCACCATCATCTTGAGGACGATGAAAAGCTCGCCGTTGCTGATGTATCCGTCGCGGTCGATATCGTACACTTTGAAGGCGAACTGAAGCTTCTGGTCCTTGTTTCCCTTGCTAGAGAAGGCGCTGAGGCCCGAAACAAACTCCTGGAAGTCGACGTCGCCACCACCATCCTCATCGAAAATGGCAATCATCCTAGAGGAGGGCCGCCTGTTAGTTACGGTTTATACACGCGCCTGCGCAGCCGAGCTCCGACGTCGATCGCGAGCCTCGTACGCAGGGTCCGCAGTATGTGTTTGCTAGGCACGGTGCATCGGTGAGTCAAAGTCTCACCTCGTTGCTAGCGGGTTCGAAGAGATGGCAGGTAGGCTTAGGAATTCTTCTCGCTCGATCGTTCCCGAGTTGTCCTGTATTGCCGGGCGGGCCGTAGAGTTAGCTTCACTTCTAATGAGTACCATTTGACCTTGTCGATATTGTCTAGAAGCTCCAAGGAAGCTCGGTTTCTAGGGCTTGGGAGTGAAACATGCCTTATCAAGCTTCATAAACCTCTTGCGCAAGCGATCCACTTCTTCCCTATCGACTAAGATTGGGTTCATTTTCTATCAGCGAGCTTATTCGAAAACATGGCCACATCGCCGTACGCCAAAGGGGGTTGTTCTCATCTCAGGCCGCTAAACGAGGCTGCGCGCAGGCGAGGGAGGGCAGAGGTGTAGCAAGGCGAAGAGCCTAGGCCAAGGAGGTAGGAACTCACAGTTGGACCCCTCGACAATGTTGTCAAGCACAGCGCTAGTCGTGTTACCCATCTTTGCGCGTGTGTAGACGTGGGCACAGGGAAAGGAAGAGGAAGAAGAGGCGGACGAGGGAGAGGGAGGATGTGTGTTTAGAAGATTTGCCGCGGTGGGTGGTGGGGTGGACGTTTGACAAAGGTTGAGGTTGGCAATCAAGAATGGGCTGCTTTAGGCGCGAGGCAAAAGGGGCAAAAAAATTAGGCGGCGTGCCCCTCGCTGATAGCGCAATTGTCATCAATTGATTGATGGATTGGTGACAGACGGTGGGGTAAGGCTCATGGAAACCTCGAGGCTCATTGTGGTAGGATTGATTGATAGGGGGACCCATTGGGAGGAGGGGTCGCCTGTGGGCTGAAATGGAGGGGAGGGGAAAACGTTCTGCTTTGACGGAACTCTCCAAGCTGAGCGGGACGGCTCCTGCGCAACCCTTGATAGTCTAAACTTGACGCCCGGCTAGCAAGGCCCAGAGGGGCCCGAGCGCAGTCAGCACTCAGCCCTTTTTCGCCAGTTGTTCGACTGGCTGGCCCATCAATCGATGGTAGTGACACGGCCTTGCAGGTTCGAATATTATTCGTAACTTTGACTTGAATTGTACAAGTATCATCAGATTGATCCATCCGCCATTCATATTCTGCTTTTTTACGACAACAGCTTGCGGGAGTGTTGCGGCCAGTGCGGCCAGCACCTGATAAGCTCTATCTAATCCTTGGCTTCGGATGGGCCCTGTTGAGATTGCAATAATAACATAACACGAGAAAAAGAAACTACCAACAAAAGGACAACCAGAGACGACCAAACATCAAACAGGCCTCCCTCGGTTGAGTTAGTCTCGCTGAAGCCAACGCCGAGAGCTTGGATAGGTCACGTGCATCGAAGCCCATCTAGTACATAGTACCGTACCAGTTGCAGTTGGAGGAAGGTACCGCGCTGCGTGTCCACCAAAATATTTAGCGGGGGCAGTTGTCATCTAAGTCATCGAGATTAATCATTGATATGAATTGAGGCCGGCCAGAAACGTGGGACCTCCATGTTATTATGTCATAGGAGAAGCTCACTGGCTTAGAGTTTGATGGAACTTTGATGAAAGTTTCCATCACGTGATTGCATGTGCACGGGCCTCATCCTCCCGCCAAAAGAAACAGCAGGTGTCCAGGAGAAGTTGTCGACTGGCAACAGCGAGGTCAAGAATCCCCCGCAGCATCTGAAAAGTACCATTTCGCCTATCCTCCAACACAAAAGATACCTACAATCGATCCAAAACACCGCCCTTCCGCAACACGACTCCAGGCGTCGTGCGAAAATTTCTTCGCCGCGGCAAAACAACCAACGTCGGCCTCAAAGTCCGCCCCCTTTGACCATCAAACAGCTCACATCAACAACGCAAATTCATCAATTTTTCAAGAATTCGAAGTCTCTGGCCTACGTGCATGACTTGATCGAATTTTTTGCGGATTTTCCGCCCACTTTTGGGGGTTCCCCTGGACCTAGCCCACCATGTCTACCAGGAAGGTGCGAGTCAAGAAGCTCAGCCCCAAAACTCCCCTTGGGGTGCACCGAGAAGATCAAATCGACCGCGGTGATTACGATGCTCTTACAACCGACAACCAAATTGCAACTGGTGTCGAGCAAGCCGAGGAAAATGTACGTTATTTTTCCCATATTTCTTGTCGCCTTCCCCCTTTCCCCCTTCACCCCTGATATCTCATGATATTTGCCTACGGTCATGTGACATTATCACGTGATATTCCTTTTGATGCGACGGCAAACTCCGTCGCATTGCGCTCGCGACATTCACGTTTTCCCCCAGAGCTTAGACGACTAACCGTGCAATATTTGGCTTGTGTAGGAAATCCATCTTCAGACCATTCTGAAAGAGGCGGGGACCAGCAATGACCAGGAGATTCCTGTCCCGCCGCCACAGCCGAGCAAAACCAACTATGATGAGCTCTACCTGTCCCGTTTCTCGGGGCCCCAGTCCTATATTCGTTTCTCGCAAACGGTAGAGGAGTGTGTGTCGTGTCAATATGACATGACAACGGAGGATGATGAGTTCCTAAAAGAGTACAATAGCAAGAAGGCGGGAGCGGAGGTGCTCTCTGAAGATGGCTTCGAGAGGATCATGGACGTGTTTGAAGAGACGGCCTCTGCGCAGACGCCATTCGCATCGGTGGATAACACAGTGGTGTCTTATGACGCCATGCTGCCCTCGTTAACCTCGCTGACTTCCCCACAAACGATACCCCATGCCAAGGCGATATACGAGTACTGGAAGACTCGTAGGATCGAGTGCGGAAACACGTCGATCCACCCGGCTCTCAAATTCGAGACGCACCCCGAGAGCGATGACATGGACCCGTATGTCTGCTTCAGGAGGAGGGAGGCTAGGCAAACACGCAAAACCAGGGCCCGTGATGTACAGAGTGCGGAAAAACTCAAGAAACTGCGGCGTGAGCTGGAAGAGGGGAGGCAGCTCATTGTCCTCTCACGCGAAAGAGAACTACTCAAGCGTGAGCTAATGAACTTTGAGAGGAGCATCTTTGAGCAGAGGCAGAGGTTCAAGACGATGAAGATCCGACTCGGCATCAAGGCCGATGACGAGGATCTCATCCACCAAAAGGTAAGATGCGCCCAAAACATATTCCTGCTGCTCGTCGGTGCGTGTGCCCGTGCTAACTCGAAGCAATTAGCCTCAGAAGAGAAAGGCTGCCGAGCCTCCGGCGCTGCAGAAGCCGCCAAGTGGGCCCAAAGCGGCCCCCGTCCGGACGGAGACGCGGCCTCCAGAACCGGAGCTCGTCCTTTTGGAGGACAAGCTCGCGGAGAAGGAGAACGAGCTTCGGCTGGATTTGGAGAACAAGGTTCTCTACCACCGGCAGTGGAATCAGGACTATGTGGATCTCACCATGGGGCCCTTGTCACCTCCAGACGACCAACGCACGGAAGATATCAAGTTCAGGCCAGCCAAGATGCAGTATCTGATGACGCCGCCGGCATCCAGTGCGTCGGATTCGATGGACATCGACGAGGAACCCCCATCCCCTGTAGTTGAAAAGTTCCCTGTTTTCCAGTTTAAGGCTGGCGGAGCTAGAGACCCCACGCAGCCACCTCGGCACCCGCTTTTAGACGTCGTATAGGCCGTCTAGGAAGGCTCTGGATAGATAGGCGTGGTCTGGCGCCACGAGGACTTCTCAGTGACTCGTCAGACAGGTGGAAGTACGACTCGGATGAGGACGACGACACACCCATCTACGAGGTGGATCCTTTTAACACTACTGCCCTGCGTTTCCGGTCAACTGTGCCCCTTCCCAATTTCATGTGGAAGAGGCCAAAAGAACTGTCAGCGATAGAACAGGCGAGCAGCTCACCTCACGGCCAACAACAACAATCCCAACAACCCTCACAGCAGCAGCAGCAGCAGCAAGCCCAGGGAACTCAGCAACAAGCCCAGCAGCAAACCCGGCCCCCTACTTGAGTCAACCTTGGTTGAGGATTCCCCGCGTCAGTTTAAAAACTGAAGAGGGTATCCATCATCTCTACTACTCCCACAACCACTAGCCGAATTTTTGTCCCAGTGACAAAACGGCGTATATTAATCCCGCGTGACCAGAGGCCGCGGTGGAGCCGAGCCGAGACTATTTTTTTCTTCTTTTCCTTGTTCCAGCTGTGCGATGGAACATTCTTTCTTTCCCTTCGAGGCCTGGAGAGTCTTAAGGAAAAAGTTAGCGCCTCGGGTGTACTAGTATATATTGATGTATGATTGAAACCACGACCTAGGCAGGTAGGCATACGGTCAGGCACAGGCGATATGACCGCCTTCACGGGGATACCATAGAAGAAATAAAATAAGAAATGTACATAATCATTCTGACTTACCTCGTCACTTGCGTTTTGTGCAGAGCTACCGTCCTGGTCACTCCTGTGCCGTGCTGCTGGCCAAGAACTGCTTGATGGCCAGTCACCGATGAGGCGGTACTTATATATATATCTTGAGGTGGTAGAGAGAATCATGCCGGCCTCTTCAAGACGGCATCTAGCTCCCATGCGAGTTACCCGGTTAAGGAGGAGAGCATGGCTCTCAAGTGTCGGACGGCCGGCTTGGAATATGAATATCTATGCCTGTCGAGGGTACCGAGGTAGATTTGAGGGGAGGAAGAGAGTGTAGGCGGTGTTGACTCGGCGAGGGCCTCGGGAAGAAACAGTTTGTCGGCTTGGCCAGGACGGCGATGCGGCCATGTTTTTACGTGTTCATAATTTTCTTGGGCAGCACACACGCCCTGGGGCACAGGTGGCCCTCGCACACATTCATAGATTGCTGCGAGCAAATTCCACGTTAGCTTTGGGCACAAAGGAGCTCGAGAAGGTTTGAGGGCTGGAGGGTGCAAGCATACTTTTGCCGCATCATGCCGGATATCCAAGGCACGCAACGCAAGGCGTCCTCCCAGAACAAATTGTAATACTCTGTCGGGAAAGACTGCCGGGAGAAGCGGCGGAGACGTTTCCGCAAAGAAGGGCCCGCAAGGGCAGGTGAAAAAATGAAGAGCAAGAGGAAACCGAATAGAGGACGGGCAAGGAATATAAGGATATGAAAAAGAAGAACCGAACAAAGGGCAATTGTTGTGGGGGAGGATGTGTGGGTGGTTGTGTGTGTTTCCGAAAATTGAACCCCCGGAGCGCTTGGCCGCCTGGGGAGCTTTCCATTCCGGCGCCCAGGACAGGTCCCATGCAAGAAGGAGGTTGAACGGCGGGGCGGCGGGCTAAGCTAGGCAGGCTTATGTAATTGCGCCGGGTTACACGGTAAATATTTTTCCATGGATTGCGTTCTGTGGGGTCTAGAAATTTCAAGTTGCCAAAGAATGGGTTTTTTTTCTTCGAGGGAGAATGCGAGCGGTTTCAACCACTGAAAAGCTGCAGGATTACGGAGGGGTGGGCCCGCTACCGTCACCGAGGACACAAAAATTGGGCAAAGCTCTTCACCGTAGCCAGCCACCATTCTGGAGCCCTTGGTGTACAATCCTTTAAGATATTCTAGACGGTTTTTTTAAAAAAAGAAGAAGCAAAACTTCTTTAATATTACATGTATTAATATCATGTTTCTTTCCTTCGGTGACCCCCTCGAAGGCAGTAAGGGCTTTGAAAAGTACTTGCTCGTTGCAGGCGAGTAAGTGGGTGGAGCAGCCTAGGCTTGCCATCACCCCGCCATCAACGACGGGGACGGACAAGGTTGTTCAGAATCTACCCCTCCATCGCTGGCTGACTCTCAGCGACCAGGGTCCAGCTTTTTTCTTTCCTCCAAGTGCCCCGCCGGCGATGTCAATGCCAGGGCTATTAAACATAGTCCCACGATATTGGCCAGGTGACGAGAGGTTCGGAAACGAACTTGCGGTGCTCCAGCTGTGGTCTACCGCCTAGAAACCCACGTTAGCGCGCCTAGTCTTTTTCGAGAGCCGTCATCCCGTCACTGGGAGAAACTGAGCGCATCCGCCTCGACGATATCAAACACCAACACCTCCTGTGGACGGAACGGTGTTTTAGCGCTCCATTTCCCCTATCCGGGAGAGCGCGGTCGTTCACGGACTCGCCTTTTCTTAGGCTCTCTTTTCCTTCATTATCTCCCTTGAGAACTCACCCCGCTCTGCTCTCTCATCCCCCCTCTTCCAACCATAAATCATGGCGAAGAAGCGAGAGGGCCGCATCGCCATCGGCTGCGAAGGCTCCGCCAACAAACTCGGCATCGGCATCATCCACCACGCCGGCCCCGTCGCCAACCCCACCGTGACCATCCTCTCCAACGTGCGACACACCTTTGTCTCCCCGCCGGGTACCGGTTTCCTCCCCAAAGACACGGCCAAGCACCACCGCGCGCACTTTGTCCCCGTCGCCCTCGACGCCCTCGCCAAGGCCGGCGTCTCCCGGACGAGGTCGACTGCGTCTGCTTCACCCAGGGCCCCGGCATGGGCGCCCCCTCACCAGCGTCGCCGTCGGCGCCCGCGCCCTCGCCCTCATGTGGGGCAAGCCCCTCGTCGGCGTCAACCACTGCGTCGGCCACATCGAAATGGGCCGCGCCATCACCGGCGCCGATAACCCCGTCGTCCTCTACGTCAGCGGCGGCAACACCCAGGTCATCGCCTACGCCGAGCGCCGCTACCGCATCTTTGGCGAGGCCCTCGACATCGCCGTCGGCAACTGCCTCGACCGCTTCGCCCGCACCCTCAATATCAGCAACGACCCCGCCCCCGGCTACAACATCGAGCAGCTCGCCAAGAAGGGCACCCGCCTCCTGGACCTGCCCTACACCGTCAAGGGTATGGATTGCTCCTTTTCCGGAATCCTTGCCTCCGCCGATCTCCTCGCCGCCCAGATGAAGGCCGACCTTGCTGCCGGCAGGGAAACCTTTACACCGGAAGACCTCTGTTTCACTCTCCAGGAGACCGTCTTCGCCATGCTCGTCGAAATCACCGAACGCGCCATGGCGCACGTGGGAAGTAGCCAAGTGCTCATCGTGGGAGGCGTCGGGTGCAACGAGAGGCTACAGGATATGATGGGCGCCATGGCTAGGGATAGGGGTGGCAACGTCTTCGCCACAGATGAGAGGTTCTGCATAGATAACGGCATCATGATTGCCCATGCAGGTTTATTAGCTTACGAAACAGGGTTTCGCACGCCCTTGGAAGATACCACATGTACGCAACGGTTTAGGACGGACGAAGTGTATATCGAGTGGAGGGACTGAAAGGCAAGGGAGAAGTAAAAGATAACACAAGAAGATGGAAAAGAATAGGGGAAACAGAGAAAACCAAAGCCTGCCGCCGTCTTTCAAAAATAAATATTTGAGAGAGAGAGGAATGCAAGTCCACTGGCTTCCTCAACCAGGAGTGCCTAAATGAGCAACATTGGTTGATGGGGCGTCTAGATGCTCGAATACTAAGCAGGACTCGGCAGCCACCACAGCCGAATACACAAGGATCCATAGATGGATCAATTTATTCAGGTCGAGGATATTTGGGAAAGTTTGCCTTTATTGACACCAATCTACCAAAAAAAAAAATTGAAAAAATCTCGGAAGGAATCTATGCCATTAAAGATCCAACAGCCGTTCAATGTATCAACATTAATACGCCGCCCCGGGTTGAGCCCAGGCGCACTGAAACTCGGAGATTTTCTCTCTCGTCAGCGTCTATCGGCGGGATACGGTGATGGAAAGCTCCCGTCCCTCCCCGTAGGGATCATGATGCAACACTTATTCCCCAGCACCATTTGCGGGGGCAATTGCCACTTTATGGGCTGCTTGGTGGTTTGTGAAAACTGTGATACCATTCTATCTCTTCTCGCCGTATTTAGTCATCAAGACTGGTGGGCTTATAGACAATAGTGGTCAAATACTGCATCGCGGATACGGTTAGCCTTTACTTGTAGCCAGTACTTCGAATAAGGGGGGGGGAAGGGGGAAGGGGGAGGGAGAGATGATGCCAACGTACCTTGTTCTTGTACCTGGTAGTGGCAGAAACAGCCAGAACATTGTTCTTGATGCTGCTTGTTGCCAAGTGGTTCAGGACGGTGTGGTTAGGAAGTGTCAGGACACTGTTATCATCCTTGATTGGCGCGGCTGCGTTTAGAATCGGCTTGCTCAGGAAGCCGGGGAGCGAAGGAGGAGTTGGCAGCTTCTCGATAGCCGACCAGGCGTATTGGTAGGCGGGCGAATCGTCCGTTTGATCAAAGTCTACTAAATACTTGGGGATTTGCCTCACGTAGCTCTCGGGAGGCAGCACAGTTCGTCCGCGCAACGGCTTCTGCCCCTCGGTGGTAGCCTGATTTTCATTGGCGCCTTCCTTGCCGGCTCCCGTCTGATTTGGCTTGGGCACATCATCGGGGCTCACTTCGATATAATTGACGAGATTGTTACCAAAGTCTACAGTGGTGGGCAGGTCGGGGGACGTCTGCATGATACCATCAACCAAGAATCGGATGTGGTGCGTCCCCGGCAGGATGTTGATTGTATTCTCAAAGCAGCCAGGCCGACCCTCTCTGCACAGATGATAACACTCGTTAGCGGGATTCCAAGGGCAAGCGCAATACTAGGACGGAGAGAAACAACACACGCCTCTCAGCGTGCAAGGCACGCGCCTAGAGACGAAAAACCCTCCCCCGCCCCCTCAAAAAAGAAGGAAGAAGAAAGAAACCATGTGCGCATACGTACATCTGGTGTAGTCTGTATTTGCGGTTCCATTGGAAAATGGTACCAGTCACGTAGACCTTTTCTCCGCCCTTGAGCCACTGCAGCTTCGTGGGGACGGTGGGCCTTGTCTTATCCACGACGAGGCCATCCTCCTCGTCATCCTCATCGTCAAAGCTGTGACTGCTTAACGCAGACGCCTTCCTGGGAAAGGAATCGGCATCGAGGGGTTGGACGTCGCCGAGTGCGTCACTCGCCTCGGTGGCGGCAAGGATGGGAGACCCGGGGGTGTGGAGTTCCTCTTCGATGGGAAGCGGAAGCCTGGGAGGCCGTGTCAGGTAGGACAGGTCGGTGATGCTGTTGGAGGCGAGCATCGGCTCAACCATGTAGTGGTGCGACCGGGCGCTCGAGGGCTCGATTGGCACGTCGACGGGTTTGGAGGGCTCGTCGGAGACGGGGATGGCTTCCGCGGCCTTCACCTGCTGGGGAGTGTTGAATCCGGTAGTGCTGGTGGAGTTGGAATTGGGATGGGTTGGGGGCGAGGAGCTGTTGAGGCTGGTGACAGACTGGGGGAGGGGTTTCGGGTGGTTGATCACGTTGGAGCGGGTGGCGGGGGCCAATGATTCCTCGGGCGGGGCGGCGACTCTTTGGGTTGTGTGCATGGCCATGATACTCTTGGAATCACGCTTGCTGACTGACCGATTTACGCCGTGGCCGTGAGCCTGGGTGTGAGCGTGATCGTGAGGGGAAGACGAGCCTGGCGCTGTGGCGGGTTTTGGCGCCGTCGAGGAGGGGTTGTTCCCCATGCTCGCGGTTGGTATGCCACTGTGGGCGGTGGGCCGGGAATATAAAGGGGATGGGAAATGAGAAAATGGGCTGGTGCCGAACGAAAAATCTCGTTTACGGGGCACGAAAGTCCGGAATTGATCGGGGCGGGAAAGGAGGGGGGTGCGTGTGTGTGTGTGTGTGTGTGCGTGTGGATGTGAAGTGACTTTTTTTCTTTTTCTTTTTCTTTTTCTTTTTCTATTGATCAATGTGGTGGACGTGGTAGTATTTTAGACAGTGAGTAGTCTGTCTGTTTTGGGTACCGCAGTGCAGGGCCAAAGGTAGTGGTGAAGGAGTTAGGTCCCGCCCGACATCAATGGTGAGTTGATGGCGGTTGGTCTCTCGCGGGGCTGGTGGGTGTATCGCGCAATTTTAGCAGGGTTTCATCAGGCAGATACGCTATTGGGGAAGGGGCGAGCGGTACGGGGGCGCCGGGGGAGGGATGCAAAATGAAAACACCGTCAGGTGGACAGGTTTGCGAGATCGTGGGATTTGGGCGAGTTTTGAGAGGACGAGATGGCACGGGGAGAGTTTGGGTTGTGTCGGAATGGGATGGGGAAGAGCTGAAGGTCGAGGGAGTAAGTGGGGGCCGGCGAGTTGGGAGTTTGGGTCAATGGGTCTGTCTGGTCTCGCCTGGTGTGGTCTGGCTCAGGCTGGTGCTGGTGTCATAGTGGGGAGAGCCACACTGACTCTCACAGGCAGCGAGGGTGAGCACTTGAGCCATTGATCTTGCGTGTTCCATCGATCTGGGTCCAACACAGCACGAGAACTGACTCAATCCACTGTGGGTTAAGTGCTTCGAGGCCCCAGAGGGGTAGGGCGAGCTGTGGCTACAAAGTGGATGGATCCATATCCAATGGATCCATCAATTCAATTCAATCAATGATTTCCGCACTTTCTTCAAATGGTGGGGGTTGTCCGTGCTGTGCTGGACTCCTCACATTCCATCCCAAGGGTTGTTCATCAATCAAGAGAACATCAACGCCGGGCTGGGAGACGCAGTAAACAAAATTAGGACTTTATCCAACCAAAGGGGGCAGCATATTCGGACGCTCATGAGTGATAATAGCTTCTCGGTCTGGGAATGGGTATTGAGGTGATGCACGCAGGGTCCCATCATGTTTTGGAGGCTGCTATGCGGGTACATTAGCTAATTAATGCACGTGGTGCTCAGTTCAGGTAACTTTATAACAGAGACTAGTGTAGGACTCCCTGATGAGGACCAGCTTCGTCCATGGTCCATGGATGGTTGGACAGACATTTTCTCATCTCCTTGAGCTACCTCTACCACTGCCGTTTCATCCTTTCATTCTTCCTGCTCACCCATCTCCTCTCCTTCTTATCCCTCTCACTAACAAGATGGTTAAGGAGATCCTGCGCTCAAGTCAAGTGTGCCTTCCGTGGACAAGGAGACGTGAGACTTGAAACCCAACTTGTAGATTGACAATGGTGACGTCGACTTGAGAATTAATAACTCCAGTTGTTGTATCAGTGCGCACTGGAGTAGACCCTGATACTCACATGTTCTAAAGTTCTAGCGTACATAGTAGCATGCCCAAGGCTTTAGTCGCCTTAACATCGAGACGATTAGCTATGTCATGTCGCACCGTTTAAGCCCTGGAACTCTTTAGAACAATTCGGGTAGCGGTCTAAGAAATATTTAGTTCGTGACACGATGCTCAATTTGGCCTGTTCCATGTGCTCGAGAGCTCAAAGTGAGCTCAGAGCATTGAACCCAGCCTGGAGTGGCAATAGTCATTCTCACGTGTCTGTCCCTATTTTCCGGGAGGCTCTTGGTTGATGCTGCTGGGCCCAGACCAGGCCGGCTTATCTAAGACCCAAATGTCCAATCTTATCTTATCGACGATAAGCAGGCAATGCAAGGGTGCCACTCAAATTTTTTTCCCGTCATCGCGCCGAGCCTCGTCCCCCCGAAATAACTCGCCTTGCGAAGAGACCTCATACAAGCGATCCGCGTCGTGCCAACTTTTCATCTTTCCATTAGCGCCATCGTCAAAATCGAACCAAAGCACACAAAACCGCCAACATGAACTTCCCTAGACCCCAGATGTCGGAGGCCGACCAGGCCACCGCGATGGCGAAGACGGTTCGTTTCTTTTTCACCCTTCATCTCGTCTCCGAGGATCGGACGTGACGACAGCTAACAGGTGAAATTCTTGCGCGACTTTAGATGGAGAATGCCATGCAAAACTGCTTCATCAAGTCCGCGATATCCGGTGTTATGGGTTTTGGCATGGGTGGTGTGTTTGGACTGTTCATGGCATCTGTAAGTTAACTCAAGCTCGAACACTCACCCCCCTTTTCGTGGCTGCTTTGATGCATTCATCTATATCCCTTATCCTACCTTCGGATGCCGGATCTGCTAACTCTTCCCGTTTCAAGATGGCCTACGATACCCCCTACCATACGGTCGGCGCTGGCGGTGCCGCTACCCCGTCACCTCCCTCCCCTCCGTCAGCAGCTCCAACACGGATTCAAGGACATGGGCCAGCGATCTTGGTCGACTGCCAGAAACTTTGGCAAGGTTGGCGCGCTTTTCGCCGGCATCGAGTGCGGCGTCGAAGGCTTCCGAGCCAAAAACGACCTCGCCAACGGCGCGATATCCGGATGCCTCACGGGTGCGATCCTTGCTAGGAACGCTGGTCCGGGAGCGGCGGCCGGTGGTTGCGCGGCCTTTGCTGCTTTTGGTCTCGCCATCGATGCGTGGATGAGGCAGCCCAAGGACGAGTAATGGAAACGCACATAAACGACGATTGCCCCACGCGCCTAATCTAAGAACGGCTTCACAACTACTCGGTCTCTCGCGTGGGCCCAAGCCGCGCGATTATATCTGTTTATGAAGCGCTGGTAGCGAACGACGAGACGAAAAGTGACCTTTGTGCCTACCTGCAAGACGCGAAGGGGGCGGGGCCGAAACACCATTCTAGCGACAGCGAAAGCCGCAGCTGTTTGCAACAAACGAGTGGGAAGAAAAAGGAGACGCGGTGTACATTATTTAGACTTTGGGGATGGACTACAGGCGTTCCGGATAGCATTTTTCTTTTTGGCCCTTGTTTGGAGGTCCTTTTTCTCCATTTGCCTCGTGGCGTGGACATTAGAAAAATACTGGCGCGACACATGCCCCCTTCTCTATTTTGAAGGCTTTGTATAAAACTAGCATCAAGTGGCATGGCCACCCTAGAGACACATCTCAACTTGATACCATGTCCAAAGACGGTCAACTCGCCTCGTAACATTGCGCACCTTGGGGCCACCGCCGTGTTTCCGCAAAGGTCTAAGGGCTAGCGGACTATTAGGGTGGAACATCGGCGGAAACCATCAAGAGGCCGCTCGTCGCCGCCCTTTCCTCGCCTCGTCCAGCGCCATGAGAGATTGTGAAGCTCCCGGGCCCCGCCCGAGTTGGGTTGTCTTACGATATTGCAGATATTGCAGAGGAAAGTGGAGCAAAGTATGATTATTTATTAGGCCTTGGCAGTTTACAAACGTCTGGCGGGATGAAAAGAGAGGAGTCTAGATGAAAATCCGAAGAGAATAAGAGCGATTTTGTGCGTTTGTCTCGTGTTGGCGTAGTTGGCATGCAGCACGATTTGAGGTTCTTCACACTCATTATTCTCCGGCAGAGGGTGAGAGAATATGACGTGGGGGACCCCTGCATCGCACCTTCAGTTTATGACTGCCCCACCCGCTCCGCTCGCCGTCTAAGACCGATTCCGCCTGCACTGAGAATCGAGTCACTCACTGCTTTACTGCTTCTCCCGATTCGCTTGCTGGTCTGCGCCGCTTCTTTTTTGTTTTTCTTTCCCTCTCTTCGTATTAACTTATCATCATCCCTTTGCGCTCTTGCGCCCTTTCTTTCATTTTCTCCTCTCCTCATTCCCCCTCCTCTCACACTCCCCTCACCCCCAACACGTCTTCCCCCAAAAAAAAAATGGCATCCAGAGCCTTTACCATTTCCAAAATCGCCATCATCGGCGCGGGACCGAGCGGCATAACCTCCGCCAAGTACCTCCTCGCCCAGCGCGCCTTCGCCTCCATCGTGCTCTTCGAGCAGCAGCCCGAGTCCGCCCCGGCCGGCGTCTGGCACTATACCTCCGCCGCGCCGCCCGCCCCACAGGGACCCCAAACCGATCCCTTTACCCACCCGATCCTCCCCTCGCGCCCGGGTCTTCCCACGGCGGCGGCGGCGGTAGTGGCGCGGACCCGGCGGCCCCCGTCTTCATGTCCCCCATGTACGAGGAGCTGCACGCCAACATCCCCGGCACCCTGATGAACTTTACCGGCACACCATTCCCCCGAAGCCAACGTGTACCCCACCCGAGAAATCATCCGGGACTACGTTGCGCGGTACGGCCAGGACGTGAAGCACCTCGTCCGCTACTCCCGCGAGGTCGTCGACCTCCGCCCCACCCTCGTCGATGACGGCGGCCGCGCCGCCTGGGACCTCACCGCCCGCTCCACCCTCACCGGCGACCGGGAGCGCCACACCTTTGACGCCGTCGTCGTCGCCAACGGCCACTACTCCGTCCCCTTCATCCCCCACATCCCCGGGCTCGCCGACTTCGCCGCCGCCCACCCCGGCGCCGCCCTCCACTCCAAGCAGTTCCGCGCCCCGCGCGCCTTCGAGGGCCAGAGGGTCGTCGTCGTCGGCAACGGGCCCTCGGGCCTCGACATCGGCTACCAGATCCACCGCGACGCCCGCGAGCTCTTCCTCTCCGTCCGCTCCCCGACCCCGCCCGAGAAGCTTGCCCACGTTGGCGCCGAGGAGATCGCCGAGATTGCAGAGTTCCTGCCCGCCTCGCGCGGCGTGCGCCTCGTCGACGGTCGCGTCATCGACGCCGTCGACACCGTCGTCTTCTGCACCGGCTTCATCTTTAGCTACCCTTTCCTCCGCGAGAGCATCCCCGGCCTAATCACGGGCGGCAAGGGCGTGCACGGTCTCTACCGCCACCTCTTTTGCATAGAACATCCCACCCTCGTCTTCCCCGGCCTCCTCATGCGCGCGGTTCCGTTCCCCGTGGCAGAGGCCCAGGCCGCCGCCTTTGCCGCCGTGTGGGCCAACGCCTTATCCCTCCCACCCGTCGAGGAGCAGTGGAAAGAGTCGAAAGGGCTGGATGATGACTTGGGGGACGCCATACACGTGCTTCCCAAGATGGCCGACGCCATTTACATCAACGAGTTGCATGACTGGGTCGGCACCGCGAAAACAAAGGGTAAGGAACCGCCGCGCTGGGGACCCTTTGAATTCTGGCAGAGAAAGATCTTTGCCGAGGCGAAACTGGCGTTCGAGAGAGATGGATGTAAAGCGAAGAGCCTCGAGGAGCTCGGCTTCCATTTCGACCAAGGCGCTGAAGGCTTCGCTCAAGAGTCCGAACCTTAGAGACTGCGGTGGAGCATGGAGAATGGCATATACCCGAACGACCCTTTAGAATCTCGCTATTGTAATAGTTGCCTTGGTTCACGCAGCTCTATCCCTCTTATGCGTCCCCCTTTCTCTTTTAGTCATCTCGCATTCATATCAGAAGCATTGCATTTGATGTTTTTTTCTTTTTATTAGCTGTTGCAAGTATTGAGATCCCATCTCCAGTTGGAACATGAAAAGAAAACAGGACCGACCGCCTTCCCAGTTTCGATTGCCCATTCCGTACCGAGGGACACTAAAGTCAAATAGTGGTTTCCCCTTTATTTTGCATTGTAAAACTCCGTCTCCCGGCCCACCTGTCCCCAGGAACATTTCGTCATTTCCGAATAGCTCCCGAATCCCATGACCCTATCTGTCGCTGGGGAGGGGGTAGAAAAAAGAGAATGTTGGTAAAAAGAAAAGAGAAAAAAACAATAATTCTCATCGTGGACTCTCCATCTAAATCCCCGGAACAAGAACTGCATATCCTCTGGTGTTAGAGACTGCGCTGCCTCTGTATCCCTATTCATTGTCGAGTGGATCATTCGAGTCTTCTTCTCCTGCAGCATAACGATTCGGCTTTCTACCGAATCCTCAATCACAAGATTGGTTATGATACAAGGTCTATTTTGGCCAATGCGGTGGCATCGATCAGCGGACTGCCACTCAACGGCCGGGTTCCACCATCTATATACCAAGTTAGTAAGGGTGGCTCTAGGGATCGTATTGGGGTAGCTATAGAGCATGGGTATAGCTTGGAAAGGGGGGTAGAGAGGGGAAATACTCACGGTTCTACGAGAAACACTCTTGACGCCTCTGTTAGATTGAGCGCGACTCCTCCCGCTTTGAGAGAAACCAAGAAGCACTCGACATCGACATTGGTCATGAAGTGGTTAATAGAAGCATTGCGCTGCGCAGGCGTCATGGTACCATCCAGCATGACCGTTGTGAGGCCTGCATGTCGGAGTCTCCACTCAATGAGCTGCAGCATCGATGTGAACTGGGAGAAGATGATTGATTTGTGCGTCGAATTCTCGGAACGAAGCTGGAAGAGTTCGTGAACTAAGAGCTCGATTTTGCTCGAAGATGTCCAATTGTCCATTCGAATCCGGTTCACAATCGACGACTTTTTGAAGAGCACTTGGTCTTGTTCGATTTCTGGTTGCACCAGGTCGATCGATAGGGGATGTGGCATCTGGGACAGTCCGGAGCCTCGACATTATCGAGGTAGCTCCGCGCACACGAGCGGCAAAAATGGTGCTTACATTTGCTCGTGATGGCATCCTCCGCAGGAGACTCGCAGATGCAGCACTCCAGTATGTTCTGCCCACCCTCCGCATTCCTCTTTAGGACAAGGTCATAGTGATCCGCACTCTGTCTTAGGTGCATGATGAGACTGAAGATGTTGGCATAGTTGTTGAGAATCGTTCCATCGAGGGCAAAAGCTTCAAATGCTCTTCGCGCATCTCCCATGATCTTTTGACCACATCGTTCTCGGGCTCGCTGAAGAACTGGCGGCTGATGTAGAGCTCTTTAGTCGGCAGCTCCATCGATTCGGTGTGATTTTTCTTGAGCCGACGAAGCATGATACGGTCTGTCAGGAGAAGAAGCCTCTGGAAGGCAACCTGGCCCGCGCCCTGTTGGCCATGCCGCTGGATGGGGATGAGGATTTCTTGGTTGAATACGGAAAAGTGTCCGAGGGCACCATGTGAGCATGAGGAGCAGTATCTCGAGGCGCCAAAGTTCCAATTTGGAAGCTCGCATGGACAACTTCGGCACATATACGTGCTAAACGGGCGGACGTCCAGGAATTGAACCAGAGAAAAGAATTCCCCAATGACATTCTGCAGGGTGTGCCAGTAAGGCACCACCGATACGTCCCCTTTAAAGCAAAGCAGGCTCGTGCTGTTGACGTGGTACGGGTCTGGCGGCATGGTTCGTTAGCCTCATTTACAAAATGAAACATTGATGGGGAGATGGAAGGTACCTTGATTTCGTGCGCCTCGTCGAGAATTAGGCGATGGAAGTCGATTTTGTGGATAATGCTGGGCTGGGTATGAATCTCTTCGGTGCAGTTGTCTCCCTTCCTCTTCCTCCTATGGCCCTTGGTCTCACGCCGATACATGGATTCCAGAGAGTTATACGACATGATGATAACATCGTATTTTTGAGCTCGTTAAGCTTCATCGACTTCGTCTCCAAATTCGTGGCGTGGTATACCAATGTTTTCAGCCTCTTATCTGTGTACGAGTCGATCTCCGACACCCATTGGAGAAGGGCGACGGGGGGACGAGAACGAGGGATGGCTTGCCGGCAGGAAAATCCGACATAATGAGAGAAACAGCCTGGATTGTTTTGCCAAGCCCCATCTCATCTCCGAGGATGCCACCTTTGTACTTGGAAGCTTCCATCTGTCTCATCCACGACAGCCCCTCAAGTTGAAACCCCTTCATTCTGCGATGGATACTGGCAGGCTGCTCGGTGGGAAGGGGCTTGATGGGCGGCTCGCTCTCGAGACCGCTCCATAAACCTACAAGCCCGCGGTGAAAAGACTCGAGCTTCTGTCGAATGGTTTGGGCAGCACGTCCATTACGCGAGCCAAAACCACGGCGATTTTGCACAGCTCGAGCGACCTGTCGGTCGACTTCATTCCCGTCAGCCTCAATCGCCAATTCATCACTGCTGACATCGCTAATCTCAGTTTCTAAATCTGACAGGCCAGTTGAAAAGTCCGAGGGAAGTCCATCCTCCTCCTCCTCTTGCTGAAGTAGCTGCGACGCCGAGATAAAGCTACTAGGCCGCGCCGATCGAGCTGCTCTAGAGATTCGGGCGGCGGATGCCCGCGTAGGCTCTGACGCGTGACTTAGGGGAGTCGCGCTGGTGCTACCGTGAGTAGCGGCCGTATATCGCACATTCTGCCTAGTGGATCTCCCCGGGCGGAGCAAGCTGCCTTCGCCAGGTTTTAGTCTTTTTGCTGGAGGCTCCATTTCAATGCCCCTTGGTAGGACCTCGGTCTCAACAGGGATTTGCGCGGAATCCTCCTCCTCTTGTAAGCGTTTTGCAAGGAGAAAATCAGCCGCGATTCGAACATGCTCCTGTCCCGGCAATAATGGCTCTTGGGGGAATTGCGAGATAAACCCACTCGCCGGAGGGGTTGTGGACGCTGGGTCGTGCTAAGCCTAGTGGATTTTGAAGAGGGTCGGTGTGACGGGCGCTGCGGTAAGCTGTCTTCGTCTGACGATGCGTCAAGTGCACTCCGCGACGCCAGGACGATAGAATCGTCGGTAGTCGACTCGGCTCTGCTTCCTAGTAGGGATCGTCTTGTTAGACGGACTTCGATCCCCGAAACTTCGGCCGTATTTTGCCTTGTGTCGGAAGCCTTGGCACTTGGCGTTGCGGAGCGAGAAGAGACCGGCGTGCTCAGGAGACGGCCACTTCTAGTGACGCGGGTGGAAGGTACCGGCTCTATCTCTGACAAGGCCACCCCATTGGATGACTGGGATGGTGTAGAAATGCCTAACAGGCTCAAGTTAGTTGTCATGTGTGAAGGTGGGAAGAAGGGGAATGGCGAGGACTTGGGTTTTGGGGTGAAGCTGGATATTCCGATTACAAGCCCTGACAAGATCGAACTCACCATTTACCACAGTCTTTGGTTCCTCATTGCCCAAGAGCGATGCTCGACCACGACCTCTCTTACCGGCCATGGTGGGGGTTTCTCGAGGCCAAAACGGATGCAAAAAGAAAGAAAATCACCCGTGAATGGGGTGAGTATGGGTGAACCCGTGGCTTGAAGAAGAGATAGGTAGTGGCTTAGGATGTCTGAAAAAGTGAGGGACAACTGTGAAACGGATTGTGTAGCTCGATTACGATGAATAACCAGTGCCACGGAAAGGGGAAAATTTTCCCAAGAAATTGGGGCAGTGCCGAAGAATAGCGATTGAACAGCTCCCGGATGGTGAGGAACCTTGGCTGGCGTGAAGGCAACTTGAAACGAGGCGAAGGGCGGGTGGAGAGAGAATAGATCTTTCACTCTCGAGAGGCAACTTCGGAGGCGTGACAGTGCGCGTTGAGGGAGGACGACCCAATCACGACTCATTCACGAATTCACGTGACTCTCCCTGTATGTCCGGCCCCTGAACCGATCCGGAAGTGGCGAACGTGTGGTTGAAATCGGAACCTTCCAAGCCAAAAGCAGCCTGGCCCTCGAGTGAAATTCGCACGTGATTTCGCGTCAAGTTCCTGATAGGCGGGGAGGAACTTTTCACGTCCGCCACTCGCTTCCGTGAATTGAGGCTTGGGGGTGACCAAATCTCATAGCATTTCATTCCGATCTGTTAATTTTCTCATCACGCCCTACTGCTATTCTATTCTCGATTACACTAGAGCCACGATTTTTTTCTGATTCCCAATCATCCCCGATCATGTCTGCTCAAGACGAGCAACCAGGGGCCAACGGCGACGGCCGAGGCCGCCGAGGCCGGCAGGGGGTGCAGAGAGAGAGAACATCACAGGACCGTAAGTGCTTGATCCTTTTTTAAAGTAGTTTTCATCTCTTGTGGAACACCAGTTAACGTAGCCGTTGCCAAAGACGTACTGCCCTTTCAGATTTCTTATCCGTAAGTTTTGCATCTAACTGTGCCAAGATACCTACTAATACCACTCTTCACCAGACCTACAATATCTCATCTCGTCATATTAGGCGTACCGTGCAGCTTCAAGGGCCGGCTAGCAGGAGTCAAGCCCGCATCAATGAGGCTCATGAGCAGGGCGAGACGGAACCCGGACCAGAAGATCCTATCGGACGTGAGCCGGGCTTCGCCAATTCCCCACCCAACGGCCAGGGTAGCGAGGACCAGGATGATGACGAAGAGGAGGAGGACGACGACGACGAAGAAGAAATCATTGCACGACCTACTCGCGGCGCTAAAAGGCGGCAAGTAAGAAGGCCGCCCCGAAGAAGTCAGCGCCTGTGAAGAAGCCGCCCCCGCCAGCTAAAAACAGCAGAAGCGGAAACGACCCGATGACGATTCGGATGCCTCAAGTGACGGCGGTAACTCGGTCAAAGACTTTATGAGCATGTTGAGATCTCGGGCGGGTCAGGTCGATCATTGCGAACTGTGCCTCAAGAAATTTACCATCACCCCGTACACCAAGACCGGACCGAATGGTGGCCTCTTGTGTGCCGACTGCGGCCGCGTCATGAAGGACGAGAAGAAGCCAGAAGTCAACAAGCCTTTGCCCAAGACCAAGCCGTCCATGAAGGTACTGGGGAAAAAGCGCCAAGTGAAGAGCCAAATTATGAACGGAACCTTTAAGCTCGGGGCCAAGAGTTTGATCACACTTTGCGTCGAGACCCTCGCCCGAAATGTTGACCTGGTGGAGTCCTTTGGCGACCTGGCTCCCCACCTTGTAGACAAAGTAGCGCAGCGGCTGTCGAAGCGTCGTCTTGTGGATTCCAACACCTTTACTTTGTTTCTCCACCCGTCCGTGGAGGAACTTAGGATCTACGATGCGGCGAAGCTCACTGAGGAGGATTTCATTAGTTGCTTCTCCATCTGCCAGAAGCTGCACCTTCTCAAATTCCGGAACGGCATCCATTTTAACGACAATGTCGCGAGCTATCTCGCGTCCCGGAACATACAGCTAGACCACCTCTCGGTTCATGGCTCCAACCTCCTCAGCGACCAGGCCTGGATCAAACTTCTCGCTGCAAAGGGCACGGGGTTGACAACTCTTAAAACCCACTTCACAGACAAAAGCTTCACCAGTGATGTGGTCGCGGCGGTTGTCAAGTACTGTACTGGTCTGAAAAGCTTGAGCCTCCAACACATTGCCAAATTGTCGTCGGAGGGGCTGTCTCTCCTCTGCGGTCTACGTAAGATTGAGCACATCAGCTTGCAGCTCAACGACAAGATAACTGCAAATTCTTGTGAAGACCTAGTCTCTCATGTGGGGAAGGGCCTCAAGACACTCTCTTTCCGGCGCGCTCTAAACTGCACCGATGTTCTCCTCTGCATAATCCACAAGACATGCCGGAATCTTAGCAAATTTCGGCTCACGGAATGCGGCAACTTTTCCGACAAGGCCTTTGCTAGCCTGTTTACGGATTGGAGCAATCCTCCGCTTGAGTATGTCGACCTTGTGAAATGTCGACACATGGACTCCGCGAATGCGCGAGACCCCGAGTCCGGGGTTGGATTCGGTTCAGCCGCGCTGAAGGCGCTCATGAGCCATAGCGGACACCAGATTCGGCACCTCAACCTCGATTCAGCGCGCTACATCTCGGTCGACGCGTTTGAAGAAGTGTTCTCAGAAGGAAAAGTTTATCCTAGGCTCGAATACCTAGAGCTTTCTTTCTGTGGGACGGTCACTGACTACGTGATTGAGGGCATCTTCAAGGCCTGTCCCAAGCTTAAGGAGCTCATCGTCTTCGGCTGCATGCTAGTCAAGGGGCTTGTCAAAGTTCCCCGAGGGAAGCTCTTGATTGGTGTTCCTAACGTGAGGGGATGATTATCGAGGGTGAAGAGGACTACTTCTAAGGTCGATTACACGCACTCTCGCCTTCCACTTTGACCTTTTCTCCCCCTTTTTTTCTTTTTTCTTTTTCTTTTCGTTTTCTTCCTGGAGTTGTGGATCAAAGGTTGGCAATCATGTTGGCTGGGGCGTGTTTGCACCATTTTTACGCCCATCGGATATGGATGTATTGCTTGATTTTCACCTAGTTTTGCCGGGTTCCAAGTTCTTGACGATTTCCAAGCCAGCCATTCCGCTTCTCCCAGTGGTCGATTAGCTTTCTACTCTTACACAATGGGATAATGTTGATACGTCAAATCTCTCTAGCTCCACCGTAACCACCCCTTCGCTTGCGTCTTTAACGTTAGACGACGGCTGTGGCACCCCCGAGCCTCAGTGCCCGCCACATACTTCCCTCTGCATGCAATGCTTTAAGCCAGTAGCGCGATTCTCGTTCATGCAACAAACCAGTCAATCATCATTCATTGTAGTGCTAATGCATCGATAAAATCCGTGTCTCCAAAATACCATATCCCAATCCCTTTCCTTAACCAAATCCCACGACTTTCAGACGGAAACATTGATGACCCAAACCCCTAAGATACCCCCTTTCTCCCCCAAAAAGAACTTTGAACAATAAAATGATGTCAGATGCAATAGATCCCCCAGCAAATAACTCCTTTCCACCCAAGCCCAATCAACAAACTCCGGTATCCCCCAGAAGAAGAAGAGAAGAAAAAAAGATCAACATAGAATGATTATCCGCTTAGGGAGCATTGTCGCCAAGGTTCCTGAAGTACTCCTGGTCAAGAAGGGAGAGGGTCTTGACCCTCTCAGCGAGCAGCTCCTCGGAAACGGACTCGTCTTCGTCCCTGCGGGAGGCGGCTGAGCAGCCACCGACACTCTGGAAGTAGCTCAGGTGGGCATCGACGGCGAGGAGGATGGTGCCGCCGTTGCAAGAAAGGTTGCTGGTGCCGGTGCAGACGGTGATCTCGTTGGCGGCCCAGACGCCGTCGTCGGCGGCATTGGCGGCAATCCAGTACTCGGGGGTAGTATGGCGGAAGCCGAGGATGGCGGGCGGCAGGCGCGGGACGGGGTCGGAACCGTGGGTGACGCGGTAGTGGCTACCGGACTGGGAGCTGACGTAGTCGACGAAGACGGAGTTGCCGACGCGGGGGAACCGTAGGTGAAGATGTCGATGGACTTGGACAGGACCCTCCGGAGGTGGGCGCCGGCAATGGTGCCGACGGCGCCGCCGAGGGAGTGGCCGGTGACGACGACCTTGTACGAGGGGTTGCTGGCCAGGCCGCTGTTGACGGCGGATACGACGGCGGAGGAGATTTCTTCCCAGGCGTTCTTGAAACCGGAGTGCATGGTGCATCCCGAGGGAAGCCCGAGGGGCAGCCGGTGTAGCCAAAGTTGAGGCTGTTGGGTGGGAAGAGAGCCGGGTGGTTAGTCCAGTCGACGTGTTAAGTAAGGGGGAGGGGGGATCTTACTTGGTGATCCAGTTCAGGACGTTGCTGCTACCCCTAACCGATACTACGACGGCCTTTTGAACGGGATCCACGGCGACAAAAGCCGAAAGTCCGAGCTAGGTCCACTGCGTGAGGTGTTAGCATATATACACACAAAGAACTTGCACGGTTTTACGAGCTAGGGAGAGGTCCCTCCCCGCGGGGATCCGAACTCACGAGATGGTCTTGACGATGGTGGCCTTGTTGGCTTGCACGCTGGCGCAGGTGCCGGAGCCGCAGGTGACCAAGGAGCCGGCGGCATTGTTGGTGTTGCAGTAGGCGGCGGAAGAGTACTGGACCCAGAACTTGAAGTTGGCGAGGTCGGTGGCCGAGACGGCTATGGGGGCACAAGAAGAAGAAGTGCGTGTTAGTGACCTTTTTTAACAGACACGATGTGTACGGAATCAAGGCAGTGGACTTGACAGGGAAGACATACCACGACGCTCGATGGTTCGAGGCTCGATGGGAGTCGCCGAGGCGAGACCGATGAAGAGGGCAAGCTGCTTAAGGGACACCATTGTGGGGAGAGAGGAGACCAAAAAAGTTCAGGGACGAGGACGAGAACGAGGATGAGGATGAAGAGCGAGGATGCAGAATCGACGAGTCCAACAGATGAAGCAAAAAGAGACACAAATCTCACGATCCGCGGGCGTCTTCTTCATATATACTCGTTTCCTTGGAGCGCCATGTCAACCCGCGCGAGCATCGCCAGCGTGTATAATCCGTATATGGCCGGACAGGGCAAGGCAGGGCAGGGCAGGGCAAAAAAGCTTGTAAGCCAAGAGAATCGCTGAAGAGGGGGACCGGGACCCCGGTCTGACCCAAGCCTCGGGGCTGATGGCCGAAAAGAGTAAGTATCATTCAACGTTGGCGATCTTTTTTTGGGGCTCTTTTCTTTTCCGTCTCTTGTCCCAAAAATCGCTCCGCGCTTCTTTGATTCCTCCTCAACGATGCGCGAGGACGAGCCAGGAAAAGGCCAAAGCAGGCCTCGTCATTGTCGAGCTGTCAAAGAAGCTACCCTTGGATGCGCAAGCAAGGGACGGAGCAGAAAGCTCAATCGGGCATGGTAGGAGAGGGGGAGACCTTGTTCTTGCTCCGTCCTTTTACCTCTTGGTCTGTCCTTTTTTTTTCCCTTTCCCATACTTTGATCCGCCAAGCGGATTAGTTCGGATGGCATTAATTGGCGGAAGAGCGGAAGGGGGAGACGAAGAGGAAGGGGAGAGAGGCTTGTGTGCAGTATCTTTGGGGGACACACTAGCCGGGTCTCGAACCGCCAGCCTCCAAGGTTCCCGCGTGCATAGACTGGGGCCCGGGTGGTCATCTGGGAGCATCGTGACCATCGATCCGGGGAATTGTGGGCTGCGATATAGCATGCAAGGCATTATAGGACTCTCGTGGTGGATGGGGTATGATGGGGGGTGACGAATGGGGGCGGGTAAGGGTGAGGCTTGCAGCACGGAGCACCTGGACAGGGGTCCCGATCAATGGGGATTTAGACAGTTGAGTTGAGGACATTCATCAATTCAGGACAATGGATCCAATTTGAATGGAGCCCGGGGCGCGGTTTGCGGATTGATGGGATTTGAGGGCAGCACTTGATGGGGCAACTACAACATTGAGAGACTGCACGCCCCTTGCGCTCATTCTTCGAGGGAGGCAAGTGCCTTGAGCCCAGGGCTCTATTCATCATCACCACTGGCGGATCAATCAGGCGGCTAGGCCCGTGCAGCTGTCTGGCCAGCCTTCCGAAGAGCCCCAGGGGAGCAAAAAGACCTCAGTAAGCACTCCCCACGATTGACCAAAGAGTCTATGTTGCTTGTCCTTTTATCCCAAGCCGGCCCTTCCCTCCCCCACACACCCACACAACATACCCCATCCGCCGAAAACAAAAAACAACGAATGTAACAATGGCGATGGAACGGTTCGAGCGGTCAAAAGGAAACACTTCGGACGTGATAACCCAATTCAAGCTGTTTTGCAACGTCAGTTGACGAGGCACCGGGCGAGGAAAGAGGGGAAAAAAGAGCCAAGTTTCTTTTTTTTTTCCTTCTTGGCCGGAATGCGGGAAGGAAACGCGCGATGCACCGTCAGGAGAGGGAGGTTTTGCGCCGAGAGGGAGGTTGGTGGGTCTTGAAGAGGGCAGAGGCCGGCTCTTGCGGTCAAAAATGGTCTGGGGTAGGTAGTAGGGTAGGTAGTAAGGAAACGACTCGGCCTTGATCTAGCGTGCACATCTGTCTGTCTTGTACGTGAGAGTGTACGTGTGCGCGCCCACTTGTAAGGCGTCTACTGTGAGTGATTCTCTCCATTCTCTCCCTCTCGTTCCACGTGAATGAGGGGAAGAGGGGGCGCGATGCGGCGCGATGCAACCTGGAGCTGTGATGTGCTTCAAGGAAAGGGGCGACGGATTGGCGCCTTCCTCATGAAGAATATTTGACTCGAGGCATATCAATCGTATATGTCACTTGGAAGTTTACTATCCTTTACAAGGCATACCTCTACCCCTCCCGATCTCTCCTCTCTCTCTTGCCTTCCTCCGATTTCTATCTCTCTCTCTCTCTCTCTCTCTTTCTTTCCTTTCAGTGCCAGTTGAGACGAGATGGGAGCGTACTGATAATACCGGTATCGTCTAAAAAAACGTAGTTATTGGTGCGGGACGAGGATGGTGGGGTGCTGACAGTGGAGTCTCAGCCGGCCTGACCATCGCCCACTTATTCCGAGAAGTGGCTGCCAAACCAGTCCTTTACACAGACTTTCATAGGCCGGCGAACCTCCTTCCGGGACCCGCCCGTGAGCGGATGACACAAGCCAGGCACACACACACACACATTCACACTCACACTCACACACACTCGTGCGCAGAACATTGACACATCCATGGATCCATGGGTGCATTGCATCCGCATTTACATTCTCGCTTTTGCTCCTATCCCCAGTCTCATCCCCTTGGAACCTGCTGTGGCGATGGCTTTTCCGCGCTGACAGCTTGCCTTCGGCCGCACCTTCCCAAGGGCCATCTGGGACCTGACCCGACCTGACCTCAGCATCAGCCCTCGCTTGCACGCCTTCATCCACCTTCCCCCAATCATGCTCTTCCTCTATCCTCCTATTCTCCCCTCTCCTCCTCTTGCGCATCGTATAATTCCATCAACTGCGACCTGTATACATGGGGGAATGGCGAGTCTGCCTGAGCTGATGCAGGGGATCACATCGATCTCAGGCACCACCGATCGCGATTGGCGAGAACGGGGGTTTTTTAATCGCACAGCCCAGCCAAGTCTTTCCGGTAAGGTCTTTCGCAGTGGTTAACAGTTGTGCCTTGCGCCTCTTTTCTCTCCTTCTCTTTTTTTTTTCCTTATCTTTTTCTTCTTTCTACAAGTACGAAACTCGAGCGACGTCTGATCTTGAACCCTTTGATCTTATTTCCACAACAATTTTGCTTTGTGATGACTTGAAGTATCCATGTCGTCGATCAGGACCTACTTACCCTTTTGACCATGTTCGCATTAACACCGGCTTTTATGCGCCGGGGTCTGTGGTCTTGGCGCGACGTTGTATCAGTCCATCCAGATGTCCCCCAAGCACACGCGTAAAGTGCTTGTTCGTGGATGGGGTCTGGGCGCCTTGAATGAAAAAGGCGAAATCATTGTACAAAGTATTACCAGATGGTCCCGGATTGACCTGGTCGTGGATCTTGAAAAGAAATGGCCAGTGTTGAGACTAGAAGCACCCAAGGAACAAGCAGTCCAGCGGTAGCTTCAGTTATTACTCAGTGCCGAGAGCAAGAAATCCTCTTCGACAGGGGTTCACGTATTCCAGCGTACGGCACGCACAACTTGGTCCGTCGGACCCGAGAACCCCAGAGTCCACCAATGATCCCCCGGTTCTCCCAGCACCAGTCGATGAACTTGGGATGGATCCAAGAGGAAGAAAGGACGTGAGCGGCGAGCCAGAATCTTTTTCTCTCCATCTCGCAAATAGCCGTGCTGGCTGCCGTCTCGTGCCCGCAAATTTATTCCTCATCCCGCTCACGACTAATGTGCACACCATCCCCATTCCTAACTTGGGAAACATCTGGAATATTGCGGGCTCAAGCGAGATACGCCCGCCGAGCCTGGCCCGTCCGGGACAGTAGCAATATCCCAACCCGACTTTGCCTAGGGAAGGCGAGCTGAGATGAGCTGAGATTAAACCATCGCGGGGAATAGCACATTCTGTCCTTTGTATAATGTTATCACCACGAATGGGTTTAGGGACAATGAGTCGACCGGCAATCATCAATCTATAGCCCACCTAGTTAATAACGCCCACAAAAAAGGCAGACCATTATTCCTCGACCATTGAGCTAATACCTCGACTATAATTTCCTTTTCGGATGCAACTCTATTCTTTCTGTTATTATTACCTCTTGGCTAACATCCCCGTAAACAAACGCAACCCCTAGTAGGGCTGAGTGGATATTTCGGATCAAGGAACAACGCGATTTGTATTTTTGTTGGGATTCTCATAAGAAAGAGTGTCGCGGCTGCTACCTCACATCCGCCGACCTGCTCGCCCTCTTGGGGGTTTGCTTGCGAGGCAAACGGCAGAAGGCGGGCGTTGACGGGAAACGAGATATCCAACCTACTCGACCTAGCTAACCAAGGATTGGGCGTCCTTCTTTCTAGAAAACGCGGCCCTTGGCAAAGAGCCGGGCCCAAGTCTTGCCTAGCCAGCTCTTGAAACGTGAGGCAGAGCGGGAATGAGAGCCAACTATCCGGAGAGAAACTGCTAAGATGAATGAAGTACGCATTCATTCGGAACGGTAATCTCTTTTCGCTCCGTACTCTTTCCTTCTTCCATGGCTTGGCCCTGTTGGTGTCTCTGTCGCCTTCGCCTTCGCCTTCGCCTCACCTAGAATGGGAACGCTGTTAGTTCGTCACTCCGATACGGTGCTTGAGGTTTTTTAATAGCCATGTTCGCAAGCAGCGCGAAGGCGTGCAGTCTCTAGGGAAAAGGTTGCATAAATTCTAGGCGTAGAGCAGTTTCGCGGCTTTTCTTTTTGTTTAAGATGTGCGTGACGGGATGTATAGCCTAGCCACCCGTCGGAGAGTCCGACTACATATGCAGGAGTGCTTCATTGCTTCCAAGGCGGAACCATGGTGTCCACCCACGCCCACAAGTCGGCCAGGCCACCCTCGTAAGTGAGGAGGGTTTCTCCTAGGCACACGATGCTGTGCAAGTTGGCCCTTGTAAGATGCCCACACCTCCTGGGCCCCTTGCTTCAAGCTAAGTTGTAGCCTTGGAACGGCTGAGCTGTGAGTACCATCATTCTATGAGTCTCCGAACAAGCGAGATGGCTCGGGAGACAAGTTAAGATTCCAGTTCTGGTGGAGACGACATAATGCTCGTGAGCTTCTCGATCGGGATTGCCTCGTCAACCTAGCAATTTGTTGTTGTATCCTTGGACATTACCGAGGCCACAACGTGAATACAGTAGCGAGTGTGCGTCCTGTATATCAGGCAGGAGAACCAACGAACGAAGCCTGCAAGCTGCATCGAGAGACAATCCCCCTTTTCGAGGCCACGGAGGAACAGGGACTAAACGGGACCAAGCTTGACTTCCTTTATCCTTTGCAGATATGTTAGCCCGCCCTCGGGGAGTCGCTGTTGCACCACACGGCGACACAGCGAGTGCGCTTCTATCTAGATATAAGTTTGCATCTTTCTTAGTACTAAATTCACCCACCGGCCTAGGGCGGCTCATTCTCGAACCTTGGCCGAAGCTAACTAGCCCTTGCTTTCGGATGCTGAGTCTAGAAGAAAAGACTAGCATGCATAGCCCTTCCAGGACATTTCGCCACCTCGTACTTGTGACAGAAGATTATCGCTGCCGACTCGCACACATAGCATACTTCCTCTGTTTAGGTAGCTGCTAGGACATCTCTAGGCCACTCCGCGGAAAGTGGGCTGGGCCTGCTCACCTCGGGTTAGGTCAGGTTTGGGGAACGGAGTTAGATGGAGGGGAAGACGACGAGGATGAGAAGAAAAAAAGAAAGGATCTTTCTGGCTTAGCAAGTTCGTATAGGTACACAGAGGATCCGAAAGCAGACCTCGTTCTATCCATGCCTACCCTACATCTACTCATACATCACGCCGCCCCACGTAGCTGACCCCCAAAGGTATCCATGGATCCCTCCCATAATCCCATCGCGCGGTGGTGGAGTGTTTTTCTTCGTAACCTTGATTCAAGATGCAATGGCGAAGTTCATCCAGCTACAATCCCGAACCATTATCCTCCTGAATGGACCAAGCGGGAAGCAAGGAAGCGCCTAGTTGGAGAGCCTGCACCTCCCCTTCTCCAATCTCCTCAACAGAGTTTTCCTTCCGTTCTTCGTCCTGATTCTCGACAGGAAACCGTGCTTCCTCTTCCTCTTCAACCGCGAGTTGCGGTTCATCGTGTTGCGCGGGCCGCAGCGGACCTGCGCCGCCAAGAAGGCCGGGTGGCACGAAATGGACGTCTGCGGGACGAGATCGAGGGCGCCCGCGGCATTGGTGGTTGTCTGGAGCGGCGTAAAGGCGGCGGGGCGGGAAATGGCCGCCGTGTTGGGGAGGAGAGAGGGGCGGAGGCTCGGGAGGGAGGAAAAGAGTCTGATGAAAAATTGGCGGTGCTGGTTAGTTTTCCAAGTCCTTCTGTCTTTCCCGCTGTTTCCCACTGTGGGGCTCTTTGGTTTCCACGTATGCGCGATATTCTCCCCCTCCTCGCTGAGTACAGCAGAGAAGCGAGCCGGGGAAAACGTCTCTTACCTGGCGGTGGGCGTCGTGCGAAGGGCAGTCGGGAGGATGGGGCGCGCCGTCGCGCTGGCGGCGAGGCGGAAAAGGGGTTGGCGGATCATCGCTGTCGGCTCGTTCGGCGAGCTCGCACCCGGAAGGGTTGTTGTTTCCTCTTGGGAAGGGACGAGTGAAAGGCCAGCCGAGGGGTTGTTTGCGGAGGGCTGAGCGCGTGATGGTGTCGAGAGGCTGTCGGAGAGCTTTTTCGAGATGATGGGACGTTGGATGCTTGAGGCTCAAGACGAGAATTGACAAACTAAATTTTTGTTGTGCTCGGATTGGTTCGTGCTTGTGCCGACTGTTGGCGGCTGTCAACACAAAAGCCGTTAAGCTTCGTTTTGGGTGAATGTGGGATATGGGCTTTGACGTCAGTTCATGTTCTCATCGAATTCTTGTCAATTGGGACAAAGATTTGGAATTTGAAAAGACAAAGTTGAAGGCTTGTGCAAGACTGTTATATATCCCATGTTTTTGGGGCCGGCGGTCAAATATCATGGCGGATTGGCTTGTGGTTAGAAGAGTGAACGGAATGGCACAGGCACAAGCGGGCAACAAGCTCGCTCACTCAGCAAGCAAAAGGCCAAGATGAAGCTCAATATTCAATTGTAGATGTAATTTTGTACAAAATATTAGATGAAACTTGAAATAGAGAGATACATGTTCACGTTAATAAGGAAGAAAAGAAAGGTCAGCTGAGAAAGTTTGCCTTTTTCCCATGGTCACTCCGCCCATTTCCCAATATCAGATAGAAAATGGTCTTTATAGCCTACTCCTGTCGTTGCCGCCGTTGAGGTACGTGCCGCCGAGCCTCAGCATGTCGGCAGCCTCGCCCACCATCTCGTCGACAATATCACCGGCGCTCTTGACCTCCTGGATGATGCCGGCGACCTGGCCCATGAGGTGGGGAGGTCGACGTCCTTGCCCTGGTCGAGGTCGTGCTCGAGGGGCACGATGCCGCTATCGCACAGCTTCTTGACTTCGAGGGGCCTGTCGTGCCAGCCCTGGATGTAGGCGTTGGTCTTCATGCGGAGGGGCGGCCAGAGATGACGAGGGTGGTCTGGGTATCGTCGAGGGTGCACTCGACGACGGCGTTCTTGTGCTCCTCGCTGCAGTTGGCCTCCTTGGACGCGACGAAGCGGGTGCCGACCCAGACGCCGGCGGCGCCCTGCATGAGGGACGAAGCGAGGGCGCGACCGGTCGAGATGCCGCCGGCGGCGACAACGAGGGCCGTCTGCTTGCCACCGAGGGCGGCGGGGCGGTAGCGGCGAGCGACGTCGACGACGGCGGGGATGAGGATGGAGTTGGCGACGGAGCCGGTGTGGCCGCCGCCCTCGCCGCCCTGGGCGCACACCATGTCGACGCCGAGGTCGAGGGCCTTGACGGCGTGCTTGGGGTGGCCGACCATGTTCATGACGAGGATGCCGGCGGCGTGCAGGCGGTCGATGACGCTCTTGGGGGTACGCCGACGGCGCAGACGAAGAGCTTGGCGCCGGAGTCGATGGTGATGTCGATGAGCTCGTCGAGCTTGCCGCCCGTGTAGTCGTGGTTCGTCTTGCGGGCGTTGCCGCCGACCTGGGGCAGGGCCAGGTCGACGCCGAAGGGGAGGTCCGGGCGGCTAAAGTTGGCCTTCATCTCGGCGATGATTTCCCGTAGTTGCTCGGGGGTGTACATGAAGCCGCCGATGACGCCGAGACCGCCGGCGTTGGAGACGGCGGCGGCGAGGCGGCCGCCTGAGACGCGGGCCATGCCGGCGAGGAGGATGGGGTGGGAGATGCCGAGGAGGGAGGTGAGGGGGTGGTGATGGGGGCTTGAGGCGCCATGATTGCGAGATTTGGGGGTTGTCTTGCGTGCGTGTGTGTGCGTGTGTGTGTGCGTGTGTGTGGATAGGAAGCGGGAGTGTTGTGGAGGCTGCTGTTGATGCTGAGCCGAGATTTTGTGAGGAGCAAAGGGGGACAAGAGAGGAGGGTGGCGTCAAGGAAGATGGAAGATGGCGGACGTGGAAAGAGAAAATAGAAAAGGGAAGAAAGGATGGATGTCACAAGGAAACTAGATATACTATTTAAACAGCCAGAGCGAAACGGGGAACTCGATCGACGACGGAACCTCCTCTTTGACCTCGTACCCAAATCCAACGGTTTTTAGACTGGCAAAGCTCTACTCTCTACGCGGCAGCACATGGGGAAACTAAACTAGAAAAAAACCCCAATTGAATCGACGGCGGTATTAGCTCGGGACAGGACAGCAACAACGCAGAGGTCAGACCCTATCAAAACCGTCCCCTCTCCCTGTGTTTTTTTCCTTCTGCGCCCCCGGACGATACGTGGAGCTCTCGGCCGGGTTGGTTTTAGCGTTAGCTCATTGCCCGCCCCTCCTCCTCCCCTCAATCTCGCTTCAAGGCCCGTGGTGCTCTGGCGTTGGCTCGGTTTTTGCGGGGAAGATGCCGAGGTATCTCGACGGTCACAGCCCCCATCAACGTCAACGAGCCAGAGCTTCGAGAGCTTCCATCTAATAGTTTCCCCCTCATGAGACTCGACACTTTGATGAGGCAAAACCGTGGAGAAGAAGAAAAAAATAGCTTGGATCGCCGCCCCATGCCTCGCTTCCCCGCCCACGATTCCCCTTTAGCTTCTCCCTCTTTTTTTTCTCTTTGTCCCACCTGTCATGTCGTCACTCACTGCACTTGGTAATTTCCTGGGCGGAAATGTATCGGTTGTATGTGTGTGCACTCTCCATTGCTTACAGCCTGCAGCTTTCGAGATAGTACGAATGGGGCTCAAATTATTCTTTTTTGACAGGTGCACGGGGAAATAGTGAGGTAGGGACAGACACAGAGACACCCGAGACGAGGGTACCCACGGATACGCGGGGAAAAAACACCAAAGCAGAGGATGGGTCGATCAATGACACCCTGAACGGATCCAATGGGTTTCTTGGGTCCCTTCCGCTCTGTACGTACACATTGCTTGGGACGGACTCCCGGCCTATTGAATCGGCCCAATGGACCAGGAGACGATGACGGTATAAGACCATCCCGTCCACAATATAATACATGTAGAACCTTTCTTGGGATTTTGTGCACCTTGGTGGGCCGCTCAGGGCACAAGGGAGCTTGAGGCTATACGTGCTGCCAACATAGGGCACCGCGGTAGCAAACAAGACGAGACAAGAGAGGCATGCTTTTGCTATAATTGGTATTGGGTCAATTCCCATTGAATTCGTGTTCAACGTCTCTCTACCTCATCTAGCTTCAACCCGGCGCTCCGTCTTCCTCCCCTTGCCCGTATGCGACGTCGCCAGGGCCTACCAGTCCATACTAGCGCTACATCATGGCTCTCCTCGGTCCTTTCGGTAGTAGTCCACAACAAGTTTCCACCGGCTTTCATCATCAAATCCCATAATCTCTCCTCCCCACCGTGCAGTCGCTTTCCTTGCTGCCTTGTAATATTATCTATGGTTCGTCCGCCATCTAGGTATCATGAAATCTTTCCTCCGACTCCTCAAGCAGCCACACCAAACAGATCTGCAAATCGAGGCTAGGCAAACCTGAGGCGTTTAACACAAAAGAAAAAGAAAAAAAAAGGGATAAAAAATGATACAGAAAAAGAAAAATCTAATACATATCGAGAAGCGAAGAGAGGAAGGGGGCGGAGGATCTTCGTAGTAAAGCGCACGGCTATGGTGCGAAAACGGCGCCTCACTCTCTCACGGCTAAACCTGCGGTGAGGTAAGGGAAAGGCCACGTTTATTCCCTCTATCCGAACATGGGCAGTCGCGCTGGTACGAACCCGCCATTCGGTGGCGATTTGGGCAAGGCCAACGGTAATGCCGCGGATATACGAGGTTCTGCTGTTTCCTTGATATCGGACTCGAACTCTTCGCCTCCGTTGCGGACCGGTTCCGCGTCTCGCCCATCCTCTGGCGGGTCGACTTCAAATGCGTCAACCTGTTCGTCGGGTGAGGCTGGCTCGTCCGCCTCCGGGATAGAACCCACGTCACGAACCTGCGACGATGGTCTCCTAGGGGTTTCCGGGCCGGTAGTAGTAGATGGGGGTGTGTCCTCGCCGACCAGTCCTCGCTTGTGTGCCAGCTGCGCCGCCGCGATGCGCCGCCTCTCGATTTCCTCGTCTTCTTCGTGCGCCACCCGCTCCTCCTCAAAACGCAAGTCTTCCAACGAAGGGGTCGTCGGGCCTCCACCTCCATGCGTAGAGTCGATACTCCTTCTCCGGCTCGAGTACCCCGAGTATCCCGACGCCACCGTGGTGCGGGACACCGTCCGTGATATTGGCCTCTTTCCTTTGCTGCTCCTGGTCTTATTGCTCGCTCGGTCGTCCGCCCGATCAAAGGGGAGCGTGAACTCGTCGTCGAGCGGGATCGCGTCCTCGTCGCCTTCGCCATCGCTCGGGAATAGATCCCCCTTGACCTGTACGAGTCGGACGTGTCCCCGATCCCGTCGTGCCGCTTCGTTTCCTCGTCCGCGTGTTCGCTCCATAGTGATAGTGCTCCTCCGCATCGCCCCCGAGAAGCGGCGCGTTCTCGTCGGCCGCGCCGTGGTGGCCGGGGTGGTCTTGCAAGTCGGCCGCGCTCGGCTTGTACCGCAACGTGCCGCCAATCTTCCACGGGAGCTTTCCCAAGAATCCGATCGGTTGGGTGCTGGGGATCACGGTAGGGTCTTCCCGGCTCGGTTTCCGACGATGGCCCCTCGTGCCGTAGCTCATGCCTCGCTTCCGTGCCGGCTGTTCCGTGACCTCGCCTCCGCCTCGTCTCGTTGACCCGCTTCCTACGAGCAGCCTGTCCCAGTCCTCGTAACTCCACCCGCCCAGGATCCCGCTCGAGCCCTCTTCCTCCTGGTACCAGTCGTCGTAGAAATCGAAGCTGTATTCGGCGCGGCCTCCCGCCCGTTCCCTCTCTCTCCTGCGCCGCGCGCGCTCTTCCCGGTCGCCGAGGCATAGGGAAGTGCAGTGGTCAAACGATTCCCCGAGCGATGCGACGCAGGGGTTGATGTAGTTGTGCTGAAAAGACCAGATCCCCGCCGCCGCATTTTCCGTGACCGCCTCGGCGTTGTGCGAAATGCGATTCCACCGCTGTCGCAAGCGGGGTCTTCGAGAAAGGCCATCAAATCTCTCGCGTAGTCTACCCTCGTTTAATGTCCCAGTATTCTTTTTTGGTTTCCTTTCGTCTCAGCACACCCCTTTCTGTTTCCCCTTCGACGTTTGGTCAATTTTGACCTTCTAGATGAGGATGCGCCCCTACTGGAGGCGTGAGGCGTGGCGTAGCGTGTCGAGTCGAGCCGATGGGCAAGCTGGGCGCCGACAAGAACGACGTAATGATGGCTTGCTAAAGGGGGTTTGTTGGCGTTGGGAGAAGGCTGACATTCCGCAGGCCAGGCGTCGAGCGGCAGCTGCGGAGTGAGCGAAAATCGATTCGTCTACGACATGTGGAGGCGATTCAATCACTCGGTTGAATTAATTACGGCGACGGACGGTATACGGCGAATGACGGAGGGAAAAGAGTGGGCGCCAAGTGAGCCAAAAGGAGGAATCGTTTTTGAGGCGTTTGTCGCAATTACTGTTTTCCCAAAGATGTTGAGAGAAGGGGGAGCGGGTTTCAAGCAAGCAGCTTTCGGTTGTTTAGGTTGACATGGAATATCGCTGATGTCGCCAGGCTCCACGAATCCTCAAATCAGGATGTTTTAGGTGGTGCCGAAGTATTGGCCCCAAAAGAATGGAGAGAAGGAGCACTACTGCGGCCAATGACGAGGCAGTGGGGTCCCGGCAACGTTTGTGTTGGGTTGGTTGACAGTTGAGCATTGGAAGAGTGAGAGGCCGACCAAGGTGCACTAGGTCATCAAGCACCCAGTTTTACTGCATAAACATCCGTGCATTGGGCGTGGTATGCATAATCATAAATCACGCTTCAGTCAGGAAAGTTCAAGAGGAGAACTTCAATGCACGGACCATGCTGCAGAACACTGGCTGCTTGGGAAGACTGCAGGACAGCATGCTAAGCAGCCAAGCAGCCAAGCAACAATGATGGAGGAATGAGGGCGTGGACTCGAGGCGAAGAAAAGCAAATATGTTTGCTGACTCATCTCGTGGCGTGGTGGCAACTCCCGCCCACCACCAGTGGTGCCCTGAAGATTGATGGTTTTGGAGTCGGGCGATCGAATTCACATTGTGATCAATTCAGTTCCCAGTTGGTTTCATCCCCATACATAATTCACCTATATTATGGAAGTGAGGTTCCCTCTTTAGGAGAACCCTAATGAGCTGGAAAGCGAGAGATTTCGCTTTTGTGTTTGATGAGCATACTGAGATATCGTGGCCAATCCTTAGCAAGCCATCTATGCCTCGTTTTTCTTCAAAAGCTCTTTGCTCGCAGTCTTCTTTGGCGCATGTGGTCTATCTAGCATTGCTTCATGGCGATTAAAGACTCCGGCGCATTCAAAGAGTTCTCGGAAGCGAGGCAAGTGGTATGCGATACTGGTTCTTATGGAGGGTGCCACTCCACCACTTGGACCAAACGGAATTGATTTTAGCGGAATCCAAGTCGGAACCCCGCCCGGCTCCCCACACTCTGTACCCTACTTCCTCTTCCATCTACCCTTGTCATCCCAGCGGCGAATTGAGGCACGCTCGCTGGGCATCCTCTTCCATGACGATGGCTTCTAGAATCAGCAGCGCATCCATCTGAGATTGACCAGGCCCGCACCATGATAGTGAGGTTAGATCGTTGACGTAGGGGCTGGCCGTCCGAGTCGGCGATAGCTCGCTCGGTTTGGTGGCCGAGTCCACGGCTCGCCAGTAGGACATGGACGTTAGCTAGACCGAGGCACAAGCTTTGCTTTCTCACCTCCCAGGGGATTAACCACCCTTTTGCGTCGTTGGCTATTGTTCTATCTCCTGAATCTAAAAGAGAAAAAAGTTTCTTTTGAAAGTTTAAGCCTTTCTGTAACGGGTCTTTCACAATCATACCTTGGAGACCCTGTAGAGCTCCCCTGCTACCTCTCAACGAAGTTGGCTTGGATAGCAGATTACATCCGCAATTGAGCAAGCCTGCTCACCGACATCTTGGGTAGGTCTGGATTAGAACAGAGAAGGGGACTGTGCTGTCGTCTTATAATCATCCAAGAACCAACCAGAGTTGTTGTGCGGGATGAAGGGGATGGAGACGAATGAAGACCCATTGGAACCACCCATACTTCGGTCGAGGCGGGTGCGCTTTGCCGCTTGCGCAGTACCGCCCCCGTCCACCCACCATGGAAAAAGGTTCCTTTTGAAGTCGAGCTTCCAATTGGGCCCTGCCAGTGGCTCGATAACACAGATAGTCCCACCACTTTCGTCCCTTGCCATTTTTTCGCCATGTCGCATCCTCTAGCTCCAGTTGCGGTCCGGGATTCATGGGATTTAATGATTTGTAATCCCGTCTTGATACCAAACTCGCCGACCCTTGTGTCGCTCCTTCCTCGAGGAAATGGGTGCGACGCCGTCATCGCCCTCGAGCTAACCTTTCTTCTCTCCTCCCGAGAGTTAGTATCGAGTCCGCAGGAGATACTACTTTTACCTTTGTAGCCTGTCCGTGATAGGCATCGTATTCTTCTTTCAGTTGACTTCTGCCTCCAACTCGAACACATATTCGAATTCCAGGCTTGCTCGGCCAGTTCCCCCAATACGACTAACTTGCCTCCACTATGGAGCTTGACGACCCCATTAGTCTCGCACACGAGGCTCTGCCTCCCCGAGGGATCTCGGTCACCTCTTCTCCAAGACCGCCGTCAATCGTAAGCCGAGCGCGATCAAGCAATATTACAAGTTCTTCGCCATTCCCGGTGTAGGCAACTTGGCAGGAGGTAAGAAGAATCCACTATCCTCCTAACACCCGATCGGTCAGTCTCGGTGCCGTGACTTATCCCGATACTCCCGGAGCCTAGGACTGCCCAACTCGCGCTTCTTCCCTTTTGAGACTTTGGAAGCGCAGTCCGCCAAACCCGAGCGATGGACTCCGACTCCCAACTATCCCGACGGGGAGGATGATCACCTAGACGCCACGGGCAACGGCAGCCAACCCAAGGCCGCCACCCACCTCACTGTCCCAATGGCTTCAGGTGAAAAAGACCCTGTCAAGAAGATCGACCTCGAGACCGCCCTTCAATACGGGACCGGTGAAGGTTATCCGCCCCTTCTTTCCTTCGTACGTCAGTTCTCACAGCGAGTTCTGCATCCCAACGTTCCGCACTCCGCGGGCGTTGACGTCGTCATGACCTGCGGGTCGACAGACGGCTTTTCCAAGACCTTGGAACTCTTCAACAACCCCTGGAGCGAGGGCGACCCCATCTCGCGGAAGCAGGGTCTTTTGTGTGAGATATTCATGTATTCCAACGTCTTGAGTCAGTCTCAACCACGTGGCATGAATATTGTTCCTGTCGAGATGGACGCGGATGGGATGCTCGCCCATGGCACCGGTGGCCTAGAAGACGTCCTGGAGAATTGGGACTCATCCAAGGGACAGCGACCCCATATGTTGTATACTGTGACGTGAGTAGCTGCTGTTCATTTGTTGCTATGATCGCGAGTCGATTTAGTATCTTTCACCCCCTTCTTCCCCTCTCTCCTCCCCCCTTTTTTTTTTTCTTCTTCTTTCCTATGTTGCCTCAGTTCTTGTGGTTGTTTCTGGCTCCTCTCTTTGAAGAGTCGGGTGGAGGGGAGATGAACAGAAGATGGAACCCCCATTCCAGAAAATCAATTGACCGGAAGCGGGAAAAAAGAGGATGAAAAAAAAAAACACATCAGGGGAGAAAGCAAGAAAGGAGAGACCGTTTACTCGTAAATGCAGGTCAAGTACGTCTTATATTATTAACACGCGTGACAGAATGGGCCACAACCCAACGGGCGGGGTGCTCCTGTACGACGGCGGAAGGAGCTCTACGCCATTTGCCAAAAGTACGACGTGATCATCGTCGAGGACGATCCCTACTGGTACCTGCAGTACCCCTCCGCCGACCGCGCAGAGGCCCGCTCCAGGCAAAAGCCCGAGCCGACCACCCAAGTCCCGCCCGCGCCGGCCAAGTCTTCCGGCTACGAATTTATCGACTCGCTGGTCCCCTCGTTCCTCAGCATCGACGTGGATGGCCGCGTCGTCCGCCTCGACACCTTTTCCAAGACCGTCGCCCCGGGTTGTCGCCTGGGCTGGATCACGGCGCAGCCCGCTTTTATTGAGCGATATGTCCGGTAGGTCTTTTTATTTATTTCTAAAATCCCTTTTATTGACATTCACATATACACCAATATGACCTCTCTCTCTCTCTCTATATCTCGTCCTCTATGGCTAATCACAAGTGTAATCCACCCGCCCCCTCGCTCTCAGAATCACCGAAACGAGCACCCAGCAACCCTCCGGCTTCGTCCAGAGCATGATTGCCCAGCTCCTCCTCGGCCACCAAACCGAGACCGTCGCGCGCTTCCTGTCCCTCGGCTCCAAGGAGCGCCAGACCTTTGCCGGCTGGTCCACCGACGGCTGGGTCCGCTGGCTCGCCGGCCTCCGCGGCTCCTACGAGCGCCGCATGAACCGCATGTGCGCCATCATCGACGAGTACTCGTACGAGCCCCGCGTCGCCTCCAAGCGCCCCGGTCTCGACAGCGACTGGGCCTACGTCTTCACCCCGTATCCTCGACTATGTATGGCCCCGCGGCGGCATGTTCATCTGGCTCAAGGTTCGCCTCCACCGCCACCGCTGCTTCGGCCAGCAGGGCAAGAGTCGCACCATTGACGGGCCCCTCATCTCCGCCGCCCTCATGATCTACCTCACCCACGCGCCCTACAAGGTCCTCGTCGCCCCGGGCTCCATGTTCGCCGCCAACGACGACATCCGCCAGACTCTCGCCTGGTCCTGGTTCCGCATCTGCTTCGCCGCCGAGGCCGAGGAGAAGATTGACGACTGCGCCCACCGCTTCGGCACCGGCGTGCGTGAGTTCTTCAAGATCAAGAACCCCGAGGATATTGAGGAGCTCTACGAGGAGTTTGAGCCCCGCATGCTCGAGAGCCCGGATGCGGCGGATGCTTTCTCGGGTTTGGGTTGCTAGTCATCAGATTAAGGACCCGCGCACAAGAGAGGAAGGAAACGAACAGGAACAAAATGAGAGGAACGACGGTGCAGCTAAGACCTTGGCCAGAGAAGGGTTGGAAGTAAAGGGTGGATGTATATTACGATGAGAATTCCGCGCTAGGTTCGGAGATGAGCATTATGATCCATTGCCCAAAGACTACGTATAAAACCAGATTCAAAAGTAAAAAAAGAAAATAAAGTAAAATAAAAAAAAATTATACAATGTCTTGAGGCAATTGACACAATTGACAGTGGCAGAAGGCGCCGTGTGCATTTTGACACCAACTTTTGTTTCGTGATATGCCCAGATTACGAATATAGGGGTAGGACAAGAGTACAGGCACGGGCACAGGCACAGGCACGGATACACACACATGCATACACACAAAGTTTGGACAAAGTTTGGCTTGTCGCGAGGCGCAGCAGACACGGCGGCAAGACGAAAGGTTGTTTGAATTGAACTCTTATTCATCATGGTTAAGAGGACTTCAAGAAGTTTTAACCCGTTTACGCCCCTCGTATAACAGCCGAATGCCAATCAATGCAAGACACATCTTCTTTTTATTTAAGTCCTGCCCCCGTTCTTTGCCCTTTATGGGCAGGCTTCATCCTCGTTAGAAAAATGTAGTCAAGAGACGCTCAATTGTCCCACACAAACCACCTCACACGCAAGCTGAACCGGTACCTGGGAGAAGAAAAAAGAAACATTTGATTACCCTATTGTAGGCAACGTTTATTTCTTCTCGGCAGCGGCCTTGGCGAACGCCGCGGCGTAGGGGTTCAGGCGGAGCATGACCTGCTTGTTCTTGAGGGGTTCTTCTTCTGGACGACGGTGCGGCGGGTGACCTTGCTGCCCTTTGGCGCGTTGAGAGCGCTCTGGGTCTCGGAAGAGTTGATCAGACGGGTGAGATCAGCCTGAGAGACGATGTTGGAGGGAAGGAGGAAGTCCTTCTTGAGGGCAGAAGGCTCGGTGGTGGTGCCGTAGATGGTGTCGAGGGCCTTGAAGGCGGAAGAGGTCCAGATGACGAAGCGGCCAAGGTGACCACCGGGGGCGAGCTGGAGGAGGTTGAGGGCGGTGACGGAGCAGGTCTCAACACCGGGGATGTTGCGGAGGCCCTTGTAGAGCTCACGGCCGTCGGTCTCGGGGTCGTAGATGACGAGGGGACCACGTCGCTGGCGGAAGCGGCGGCCTCGGAGCTTACCCTTACCGGCGCGGATCTTCCTGGAGTTCTTGACCTTGGAGATCTCGGGGCCGGCACCGACGGCGTTGAGGAAAGCAACGGCGGTGGCGGTCTTGGCGAGGGCGGCACCACCGACAAGGGCGGAGTCGACGACGAGGGGAACCTCGGCGATCTTGAGATCTGGTGGCCACGGGCCAAGAGGAGGAGCGACGGCGGTGGCAGCGAGGGCGGAGCAGGTGGCATAGCGCCTAGAGTACGACAGAATTTTGTTAGCGTATTTATCCTCGGTGATTTGCTCGTTTCCCCATGGCGACCTTTCGTCCACGAAAAACGGGAGGCATCTGAGAGTAGAAAAAGAGAGAAGCATGCTTACCTCTGGCCCTGGCTGATCTTGATGTGCCACTTGCGCCAGGTCTTGGTGGGAGCGAACATGCGACCGGAACGGCACATGTTACCGAAGGCAGCCTGACCGGCACGGTGAGTACCACCACCAGAGACACGGGGAATACGGGCAACGGCACGACCTAGGTTCCATATCGTCAGTACCACAGTCCCGCCTTTTCAGATTCCAACGTATATTCTGCCTTGTCTCGAACCGCCAATGCCATTGATGGGAGGGGAGCGTCGAAAAAAATTGACACTGCAAGCCCCTCCCACAAGGTGCACCACCACTACCACAGCACAAAAGGACTTTTCCAACATGCTGTTCCCCCATGCCCCATCCTGGCGAGCGGTTCGAGACATTGTAGATTTCGTGGCGATTGAGGCTCAAACTAACCAGTTCCCCAAGACTCGGCAGAGGTCTGGTGACCGGCCTTCACGCTGACGGCGTAAGGCTGACGCTTGTTCTTCGCCAATCCGGTGTGAACCTTCTGGACGACATCAGGTCGGATAGGGCTGCTGAAGACAGCGGGCATGACATGGGTCTGGCCCGAAGGGCGACCATCTTTGCCGATGATGCTGACGGTAGGTCGGGAGGCCATCGTTTCGGTGGTTGTGTTTTTCGTCGATAATTCCTGGAAAAAGAGAAAAAAAACCTGTGGGTTAGTAAAAGCCGGCAAGTGGAAGACCACGGACTCGAAGTCTAAATGCTTCGTTGATTGTCGAGCGGGGGAAAGGGGAGGAAAGGAGGGAGAAAAAAAACGTACAAAACGAAAATAGGTGGCTCCGGTGTGGTGGATGAGGTTTGGATATCGTGAAGGCCTGCCGGGGCTAGAAATTTCGCAAATGTGATTTTTGCTGCAACATTCGTTGTGGGCAGACCCTAATTGCGAGGGGTACGTACCTTCCGAGCGTCAACATCCACCATGGTGGGGTGGGTCGTTACCTACAATCACGTGACCAATTGCAGGCCAGGGCCTTGACGTCTGAAGAGGACTTCAATTTTGAAACAGTCTTTGTCAGCGTGCGTCCAGCTTGCCAGGCCAGGAACTGTGTTCCAAGCTCACGTTAGCTCCACCATAACTCTCCAAAGCTGTGAGGGCATCGCCAACGGATGGTGCTGATTCAATTCGAACCTTGGGTATAGCTAGATTCTTCAGAAACAACGTTCAAACCTCAATTGATTCTGTTGGAAATTGGCTATTCTAATTGCGCACTTGGGGAAGATCAAGAGCTTCTTCCTCTGAGCTGCTACTATTTTCGCCCGCTCTTTCGCTCCGCCTTTGTGATGCGGAATGATATGAGCCCAGAACGCTATTACTTGTAAAATGGTACAGGAGGCCGATATCTCGCTCGACTAATTTTGCGCCGCAACAACTCGGAGATGGGCGCAAGGGGTCGAGAGATATATATGGCAGATGAAGAGATCAGGTAGTTGGCCAACACAATTTTTAAAAGTAAATTGTTCTTTTGGCTGGTTGATTGACATCATGCATTGCTTGTAAACCCGTGTCCCGCGCCCGCTATATGTAGTCGTCATCATCATATTATCGTTCGCAAAGGGCGGGGAACCACGTCCCCGTGGACTTTGCGCAGTCTAAAGAACAAAAAAGCACGCCTCGTCCATCCACGTCTATGCTCTTCCCGCTTACAGCGGAGGCCGAGCACGGTATTCACCAGGGGTAGCTTCCAATGTGCCTCTCGTCCCTTCTTGTATACCATCCATCGCATTACTTCATCCGCTGGGCCTTTTTCGTGCTTGGTCCTGCTTCCCCTTGCGTTCTCCTAGGCGTTCTCGCCCCTTCTAACTTTACTCCCACCTCTTCCACATCATTTCGAGCTTCTTAGTTGCCTCATCAACCCAGGGGTCACCCTGTGGCTGCGATCTTAGGTGATTCAGCTTAGCTTGAACCTCCACTTCCCTGTTCTTGCGCTCAATCACCGCATCCTCCAGCAAACGGGTATCCCTGCGGCGACACGTCTCGTCGAAAAGTATCCGCATGCGATCCGAATACAGCTGGCACGTTCCGACCGGCAGGCGCTGGAGGTACATGGAAAACTGCTCCGTCAGGCTAGGGCTCTCGCTTAGGCGCGGGTACACGAAATCCTCAAAACACTCGTTGCACACGGTAAGCTCGGGCAGCATGTCCATGATGTACCACCTTTGATTCTGCATAGGGTTGTCTCGCGTGCAGCTAGGGCCTCTTCGAACCACCCGAGACGACACGGCACTGATGTCTTCGGCGAGCTGGGCAAGCTTGGGTGCCCCTCCGGTCGTGATAGCGGTGTCCGAGGCATGCTCGAGGGCGTCAAAGTAGAGAACGGGTACTTGGCGATCCGGCGAAGGATGCATGGAACACTGCGCGGTGGAGGTTTGGCTGGTGGAGTCGGGCAAAACGAGAATGCCGCGCAGATTGGGTAGCAAGAACTCAATAATCATGGTGCACTCGTAGCACACGTTGAAGTTGGGTATGGCGCGGCGCGTGATCGGATCCTTGATGGTATTCCAGACGCGAGCCCCTCGCTGCGAACCGGGACACTCCTGACCAGCCTCGGTGGTCGCGCGAGTCGTGGTCGCGATGCCGGTGAGCAATCGCACGTCGGGAAGCCGGTCCTTCATCGTGAAGAACCAGGCGATGGGATACCATAATGAGGTGCCCATGCTGCAGGCGATCTTTGTTCGTGAGAGCGCCACGGGGCCGGAATGAACTGTGCGCGATAGGTCGAGTTCGCAAATATCTCGCTGAAGCAGGTCGGGCAGATGTGGAAATTGTCGCAGCGTGGTAGTGTCAACCAGTCCGCCATCCCCGCCACGGGCTCTTGCCTAGGACAAGTCGGTAAGGCAGGAGGCCGTGGCGGCGAGGGTCGTCAAAGTATTCACGGACACTAACGTCCACTATAGACTGCGCTGGGGCTGGGCCTGGGCGGGAGCTGCTCGGCATAAAAGGATTGGAGGAACTAGCCTGCGTCTGATTTCTCGGTGGAGAGTGCTGCCATTCGGACCGCGCATATCTGCTTCGGCTCGAGTCCAAGGGTTCACGGGGACCCGAAGGACCGGTAATCTGGATAGGACCGGGCGGGAAGCCCTGGGTATCGCGGGGCCGCGGCCGCGGGTCCCAATAGCCCCCGCCGTGGAAGTTCATGCCTTCGTGGGTTGGCATGAAGTCAGATGTGGGGTACGGGGAGCGATGGCGGGAGAATCAAAGACCTGATTGCTAAATGTGGCGGGAGACCGCGGGCCACGGGGCCCAGGGTGGGATGTGGAGTCGGCGTAGAGGTTCGGACTTGCGGCCCCGGCCGTGGTGGATTTCGAGCGCGAGCGGGAGCCGGTCATGTGCCTGGATGACGACGGCGCGAGGAGGTTGCCCGTAGAGGCACGCTCATCATGGACTACAACAGTCTTCCGGGGATTGCGACGCGAGGAGGGGGCATCGGACACTATGTCATCATCCGAGTACCCGTCAAATCGGCGCAGGCGTGTCTCGCGACGCGGTGGGGGACTCGGGCCTTCTGGCTAGCGCACCTCGCAGCGTCTCTGGACGGGGAGGAGAGCCCCTGCTTGATCGTCGTGACGTATGTTTTGACGGAAGCTCCGAACCGGGCCGGGAGCGTTTAGGGCCGGGGCTGATTGAACGTGGACCGCGGTTAAACGAAGGACCGTCGGGCCGCTCCTCGGTAAAACGCTCCTTTTGCTTGGCCGGTTGCGGACGGCTACCGCTAGGGTGGTAGACTTGCTCCCGATTTCGGGGGCCGTGTTTGATGACCTCGGGTGAGAGGAAATCATCTTGTGCCGGCCTTCCGCCGTGAGTGGGAGACTGGGGCTCGTAGGAGCGGTAGTCATCGTAGGCAGATGTTGAGGACCGGCTCCGCATATGTCGAGGCCGGCGTCTGGATTCGCGGCCGTCGGCACCTTCGGTGTCGAGTCGGGGAAGGTCATGTGGGCTCTTTCGTCGGTTTGCGGCGCTTGGCTTTGCGTCTTTGGAGCTTGACGAGGGGCTGAGCTTCGATGCAGCAGCAACCGCTGCGGCGGCCGCAGCCGCAGCAGGAACCCCTCCAGTCGCCTTCTCCTTTACCCCGGGGTCCGTCTTTTCGCCTCGACAGGATCCCTCTTGGCCGGTCGACCCCTGCGGCTGTCGGGATCCTCCTCCGGTTTAAGGCTTTGCGGCTTCGTATCTTCGGGATTGATACTAGCACGAAGCGCTGCTCGACGGGCTCGGTGTTCTTGCGATCATTGACCACGGGCTCGTTTGCGGCGGGTGCGGTAGGATCGGTGACCAAGACGAAGCGCTGCTCAGGGTTGTGGGCGTACTGATAGTCCTCGTTCTCGAGAATGACGGGATGTTGGTCGATATCCCCTTGAACTTGGCTTTTCGTGGGAGTATTCTCCGTGGGAATCTTCGACGTCTTCCACGGAGGGTGGCGGGGGCGGGGTAAAGTATCGAACGGGGGCTCTGGTTTCGTCGGTTGAAATGAGGCATCGTCAATGTCTTGACCATTCGAACCGCCATAGGAGCGGGAAGTTCGTTCGAGGGACTCGCTCGAGCTAGATCAAGGCACGGGCGATTAGCATGTGGTGGGGGAGGAAACACGAGGTCAGTAGGGTAGGAATGGGAAGGAGGCACCGAGGGCTCCGAGGGCCCGCCTCAATACTTACCCCTTTCACTCGTACGGGTCCGGCCGGTGGGGAAGGACCCCGTTTGAAGTAGGTTTTGTATATCGATTTTAGGATCGGCCATGTCGGGCTATGAGGGTCGGTTGCGAGTGCACGAGGGCTGCATCGACCACACTACATAGACAAGGGTGACCCAGATGGGAAAGTTGCGGCGCGCTAGAACGCTAGAAGGGAGAGAGGCGAAGATGACGACGTTGAGAAAGGGAAAGAAATTTGTTGTGGTCCGGATGCAAATCTTCGGCGTTTTTTTCCTTCGCAGCAGCAGCAGCAGCTGCAAAGCCGTAGCGAGTCAGAGGTGCTGATGGCGCGAAGAGAACCGGAGAGGATTCCACTCGGGTCAACCAATAAGCACCAACGTCCGACAGGGGGTGGTGGTGAGGGCTTTGGGGGAGCGAGGTGAAGTGGTCACGGCTTTGTAGTGACGGGGAAAGATTGTGGTCGAAAATGCGAGTGCCAGCCTGAGGGAAACCAGGACGACATTACCATGCGAGGGGTAGGATGCCCGAGAGGAGAGTTGCGAGCGGCCTTGAGAGTTGGGGGAATCCTGCGAGAGCCGGTGAGATTTAGTGCTTTCGGCGGGAGCGAAGGGCAGCCGAGGAAAGCTCAGCCTCTTTAGAATTGAGGTGGGGTTAGCAGGCGGAACGAGAGGCACTGGTCAAGAAGGCCGGCGGAGACGGAAGAATCGCATTGATCTCACAGAGGGCTGCGAGAGCAAAAAGAAAAAGAGTTGATTGAATCGGTGCCTTTGTTTACAAAGGTTATATTTCCAACCTTTCAGGTGGCACAGGGGGTGGAGCCAGGACGGAAATGTTTGAGGGTTGAAAGATTGATCCATGCATGGCCTGAATGCAGGATCCAAATAATTGGGCAGAAGCGAAATAAAACCGCCAAACAACAACACAGTACTTAATACTGACTGCACATCTATCTGCAAGACAACAAGTGATTCATCAAAGCACTCACTCATCAAGGGTTCACCAGGGTTTTAAGACAGGGCCAAAAGGGACAAAAGAATGCTGAATATAATACATGTTGGATGACTTGAACTCGCCACATTTTGATCCCATGCCATCAGTATCAACCCATTTACAATCAAGACGGAGATTTTTCTCTTCTTAGAAATATTGGAAATAATGGTGAGTTTGATTTTCTCATCATGTTCCACAGGTATCGCACATGACAGCGAGGGACGGTGATGTGGTGATGTGGAATAGTGGAGGAGGTGCTGCGAGGTCCTGCAGGCAGGAGTCAGCGGTGGGGCTGGCGAGGTTTCCATTAGCTCGGCGGCAGGAGCTCCTATGACATAATGCCGTTGTGACCCATGGAGAAGGTGCTGGACGCTTCCATTGCAAAACTGCTGCATGCAATGCATGGATCCATGGATGAATCCGTGGATCGACGGATCAATCAGTGCTCACTTGCCATCGGCCTCGACTAGCGGCCTTGCCATCGACATTGTGTCGAGCAGCGGGAATGGTCAGCTCGGCAACCCCCTGTTGCTGGAAATCAATCTGCTCATCATTCCTCTGACGATAGGGATGTTGTCACACACCACATCCCCCTTTCTTAGCACTTTGTCTTGACCTGAGTTTCTCGAGCAACGCACGAATCTCGGTCCCGTCCCTGGCGCCCTGGCGTTCTCGCGACCCAACTTCGGACCCAACGGAGCAGATAGCTCCTGGAACGCTGCCCAAGGCCCACTTATGATTGAAAGCGCACCCAGGGACGGAATGCGAAGATGAAAGAAAAAAATATTACCCTCCCTCCTCTTCCCTTGCGGGATCCCTAACAGCCTTTTGCACGTTGGATGGGTAGAACGAACCGACTTGGTGGGATTGGATGGGTTCAGGATACACAGCATGGGAAAAGAACCAACCAGCCGAGAGTGAAGGGGGGAACAACAACAAGTGGCCGCTGACTGCCCACCATTTTATCCCTAAAATAGCCCGCCGATGGCAAACCCGGATCTCAGATGAAACGCAAAGCCAAATCCTCCAGGCGAGATTGATGACGAATGTGCGCCTCAGCCCTGTGTAAGCGAATCGACGGCGCGGGAGAGAGCTGGGAAATAAAGCCAAACTAGCCTGGCTGTGGCACACTTGTCGTACAAGGGCCAACGGCGCCAAATGGCCATCTTTCACGCTCCGATAAGATAGCGCCACCGGCTGATATGGTGAAGCGCCTGCATCGAATTTGCGCAGGCTGGGTTGCCGTGCCCAATAAGACCTTGCATTGTCCTGTCGCTGGGAGTGCCTGCGGTGATAGGCACTTGCGGATCAATTGCTTCCATAATGATTTTGCAATGCAGAGAAGAGAAGAACGCCGGGTACCCAACATCCAGTGAGCAACAATCATCAATGGGCACAAAAACAGTGGCAATGAGGGGACTTTTACTGCCTTGGCTGCCTGCTTCATATTGATTATTCATATTGGGATCTCTTCCTTTCTTTCGGGAGAGAAAGGTTCGTTTGACTTGGGATCTATTTATTTATACAGGCAGAGGAATTCTAGACGACCATTCCTTGAGATTTTGTTACAGTTGACTCTATAATCAGTGTACGGCAACTGGAGCCAAGCCCCCACGGCGAAACCTCCACCAGAACTGAGCTAGGCCGACGGCCCCGGCGCAGACAATGGCAACACCTATTATTGGTTCTGATATGACTGTGCGCAAGATTAGGAGGACGCTGACCACGCTGAATATGATGGGATTCCCGGTCCAGGTGCGGTACGTCACCGGGCTCGTCCGAAGGGCATCCCTACGGCGGAGCAGGAGCAAGCCGATGACGGAGGCGAAGAAGAAGATGTATTCGGTGACGCCGATAAAGGTTACGAGTCCACCGAAGCTACCAGTAAAGAGGTAGACTGTGGTCATGGCGGCATTGAGGAAAAGCGGTAGTCTTTGCGCAGATGAAGAGAGTGGTTAGTGGATATTGAGCCTTTAGAATTTTTACAAAAAGAGAGAGGGAACAAGAGAAGGCCTCGTGTAGAAAGGGTAGAACGACGATGGCCAAAAAGAAAAAGACACTCCAAGGGAAACGAGATTGGAGATCACCGCTACAGAAAGAAAAATACTCACATCGGCACGTGGTCCTGCCACCTCAATCTCCTCGTCGCCGCAGCACACCACTGAACGGGAGCCGCCAACCAGCGCGGGGCCCAGGATAGGGCGGCGTCGATATGCTGAGGTTCGTCGCGGACACTGCTGCAATGGACGTTGGCGAGCACGTCGGGGAAGTAGCCAACCTCGGCGGCAGTGACGGCGAGCTTAGCGGTGGCAAAGGTGTTTGCGTTGAGGGCGCCCATGGCGGAGATGGAGACCATGACGGATAAGAGCACGCCGCCCCAGGCGCCAAGGGTTTGTCTTGCGAACTCCTATATCGGGAATATATTGTTAGCAGGTCCCCGTCAGCCAAGGGGACCCGGTGGATAGAGGATAGGGGAACGCATTGCACGGGCCGGGGAAGGGGGCAAAGTGAGGAATCGTAGGGGAAGAGCTGACGTACCACCGAGACTGTTCTGCTCGCCCGCATCAGGTCCATGGGTAGACAGGTGTAGAGGGCTGCGTTGAGCAGGACGAAACCGATGATGACGGCCGTCATGGAGCCGTTGACGACGGCGGAGAGGTCTCCTCGGGATCCTTCATGTCACCAAGAACAAAACCGACCTGCGTAAGCGGAGCGGCATTAGCATGAGTGGAAGTTGAACGGGGCAGGAGGGGATTGTACATACCGTTTCCCACCCGCCGTAGCAATACAGCACGCCGAACAAGGCGGTACCGAAGCCTCCGATCCAGGTCCAGGCGTCAACGGGGGCTGGTCCACCATGTCCCCGAACCACCCGCTCGGCGACTCCGGAACACCGGCACCGGTGCCGGAGACAAAGTACACGACGCCCACGACGGCGATGATGCTCACGGCGGAGAGCTTCAGGACGAGGAACTTGTTGGCGACGCTAGCGCCGGCGGTGGCGCCCCGGCCATTGACAAAGGCGATGCCCCAGATGCAGAACAAACCAACGATCTTGAGGAGCCAGGAGGGGGCGGGCGGGGCGGGGACAAAGGGGCGGGTGATGTAGTCGGCGAAGATGGTGGCGATGATGGCGTTGGTGGCGGGCTTGGCCATGAGGACCCAGGCCCAGGTGAAGAGGAAGCCGGCGGGGTTGCCGTAGCACCGGCGCATGTACTCGAGGATGCCGCCGTTGTGGGGATGCGCAGTCCGAGCTCGATGAAGGAGGCGGCGCCGGTCCACACGAGCAGGCCGCCGAGGAACCACACGGCGACGCCCCAGCCCGGGTTCGCGACGTTGGCGGCGACGAAGGACGGGACGGTGAAGATGCCGGAGCCGATCTGGAGGCTGATGACGAGGGCGACGCCGTTGAGGCGGGTGAGCTTGGCCGCCCCCGCGGCGGGTGATTTGGGGACCGCGGTGGGAAGGTCCGTGGGGCTGGGGAGCAGGGTGTCGTCGTCTGTGGTGGCGAGGGGGATGAAGCCCCTGCGACGGGGAGACGGCTTTCCATGGTAGTTGGAAGGGGGAGGGGAGGCGAGCAAGCCTGATGTGGTGAAGACCCCTGCAAAGTTCCCTCAGTCAAGCGGGAAAACAGTAACAGATAGGCGAGAGAAGGGACAGGCGGCGCGCGGTCTAGGTCTTGGCTACATTGAGGAGACACGCCTCGTCTATCTCACAGATAAAATCTACTCTAGTCAAAAGGAAGAGGGAGGATGTTAAAGGAAGGGAAGCGTCGAATTGGCTTGCATCCTGGTTTTTCAAAGATTCAAGGGTTGACGATGAGGCACGCATGAGGTGGTCAAGGGGTGAGGTGAGCTGGCTGGGGTGGTTGAATTGTCCCGAAACGAGGTCGCGTGGCTCATTTGGGCTTGGTTCTGGGGTTGAAACACGTCATCCAATCTTTTAAGCAACTTTTTTATTTTTTATCCACGACAAGCCAAAGGCCCGTGATATTAATACATATGTACGCCAAGATCCGAAGCCACCACTTCCACCGCCACCACTCCTACCGTCGTTAAGAGGACTGTAGACAAAAAGACGAGAGAAGCAAAAAAGTAAACAGAGAAAACTGAGGCTAGAGTTAATAGACGTCTACACCTTTTGTGTTACCTGCATAAACATGAACTAAAAATTAGAGATCTCTCTGATTTGACGTCTAGTGCCAGGCATTGGCCGTTTTGTTTCTGCTGCGCGAGAGTGACAGAGCCACCATGTCTGATGATATATAAAGATATCAAATTGATCTATCCAATACCCTACCATTACGTCGTGCTAGATGTACAATTTTTTTCCTTTTTATGTTTGATTCATTCGAATATGTCCTCGCCCATAAGCTCAATGGCGCGGGACAAGCGGCCAAGCGGCCAAGCCCCCTTGTTCAACACCTCTCAGCCTCTTCTTATTTATCCTCCTTGATCAAAAACTCCTCGATATCCTTGTCCTCATCGTCCTCCTGCAGCTCCGACAACCTCGTCTCCTCGACCTCGAGCATCTTCTTGAGCACCTCGCGCTGTCGCTTGCGGGCCTTGCTACCCCAATCAGCCGAGGTCGAGGTGTCGACCTCGTCGGCGTCGGGGATCTCGGCGGCGACGCGCAGGCCGCCGCGCATCTGGTTGGGGGAGATTTCGGCAGCGCGCTTCTTGGTCTCGGCGTCCTCGCGCTCGTGCTGCTCCATCTGCGACGCGCCCGTCATCTTGACGAGGTAGGGGCGGAGGAGGAGGTAGGCGCCGATAATCATGACGAGGCGCAGGATGCGGTGGAGGTCGAGCGAGGCCCAGGTTTCGCCAATATTGGCGACGTGGGCTTCCGCCATGGAGCGGAGGCGGTTGAGGATGTCGGCCATTTTTTTGAGGGAAGTGGAAAAGGGGGGATGAAGGTTGGTCGCGTGAGAAGCGCCCCGGGGACGGAAGCTTTTGGGATGTTGTATCGAGGGTGTGGACGGCGCGGGGAGGGACGCGAGGGGTTTTGGAGCAAGAACGAGGGTTTCGCCGACTTGAGAACGGGCGGAGAAGAGGTTGGGCGGGATACTGAGTCCTTGGTGGGGCAGAGGGTCGATCTTCGCAGAGGACAGACGTAAGGTGTGTGGGTTAAAGAAAAAAAAGTTCGTGGCGATGACGATATTTTTTTCCTTCCTTTGTCTATTATTTGGCGCAGCTTTTGTTGGAGGGATTCCAGAGCTTCCGCTTGGTCGAAATCGCACGTGGGGCGGGTTTCCGTGCTGATAAGCTCCAATTGCCCCTTCTAAGTTCAGTGGATGGGAACATTGAAGCTGGCCAATCAGGGTCTCTCTTCTCACGGCGTTGCAGCCAGAGGCTCTTCCCCCGTGCCAAGCCGCTGTCTAGCGCTGATTGAGCGTCGGTAGTGGTCATTGATTGATTTACAAGGCCAGGAGTGGACACCGAACAGCCCTGTACCTTCCTGAGTGCCAGGCAAGTGCAGACACAATCACACTTTGTGGTTCAATTGTACTTTGGAGCCCGGCTCCCTTCACCATTCAGTTGATTGGATCGATTGGTTTCTGCACCTACAAGCCGAACCCCACCATAACTTGCCCTTCGCTCTTGCCTATTCCCCATTCTGGCATTCTGGCCCGCCCAAGTGCTTATTATCTTGCTGGAGGAGGGAGCGATCAATGCAAGTCACCCCGCCAAGAGCAACTGTCTCATTCTTTCCGTCGCGTCTGCTCGCGAATTTACTTCATCCTCAAGTTCAAGCTCCGTCTGCTCCCATTCTCCACACATTACCGCGAACCCCTCTACGTCGCCGAGGAACTCCCGTATTATCGCGTCTCAATCCCCGCAAACTCTCTTTTCCCTCCAGCCGACGAGTCCACCTTTTTTCTTTTGTACAAAATGGCGGACGCCGGGTCTGACGAGAACCAGCAGGTAAGAACCGTGAACTAGACCCCCAAAAGATTGAACTCTCCCTTTGGCTAACATGGATGACTCTCCTCTGCAGGCACTTACGCAGGCCCTATGGTTTGCCATCGGCCAGATGGTGGATGAAAAGGTGATCAAGGACAATCGCAATGCGACGCCCCAGTTCATCGCTGCCTTGACCCAGGTTGTGTGGACGCAAATGGGTAAGATGCTCGCCCCTCCTCTTCTTCTTTTTCTTCCCTCTCTTCTCCCCATTCTCAACCTCTTTCCTTTGGCTCACGTGAACCCAAGAGAGCGTTGCTCAAGACTTGGAGTCCTTCTCCGGGCACGCCGGCCGTACCACCATTTCCACCGACGACGTGCTGTTGCTCTGCCGGAGGAACCAGGACATGCACCACATCATCAAAGACTTCATCGATCAGGAAAAGGCCGAAAAGGCTGCCAAGGGCGACAAGAGGTCGAGAAGGTGACGCAGCCCTTCCCTGGTGAAACGAGAAGAACCCACCGTCTCTCTTTTCTTCTCCACGGCGGAACAGGAAATGCAATGTTGATACCCCCGCGTATGGCGCATGTCTTTGGTGTGATGCCTCGGTAGACGAGTGCTCTTTTTGCTTGTTTCACGGTCATTGATACAATGTGATGAATGAATTATGATTCCTGTACTTGGAATGCTCTCCATGATAGTGTGTGAGATGGCTACCAAAGAAGTTGTGAAGAAGAAAACAGAAGATGGGCTGATCCTGAACCTGAAATCTAAATCCGCACGCACATACGCACCACGCCAACGGCATCAAGTCTTTTAGACTGCCCCTCGGCCCTTTACCGATACGCTAGCTACCGTCCCTGCCAAGTTCCAAAAGGTAATATAGACAATTTCGAAGAGAAAGGATGGTAGGGAATCTCCCTCACCCGAGATCAAAACCAGAGCCACGCCGCTTTCACAACACGGCCGCCACATGCCATCACTACGGCTTCTCTCACGCCATCGCGAGGGCGAGCGCACCAAACGCCACCACTCCAGCAAGGGCGCCTCCGGCACCGCCAACTCTACCCGCGGCGCTCTTGGACCCGTTGTCCGACTCTCCAGAGCTGCTGCCGCCCTTTTGCCCTTGCCGCCGCTGCCGGACTTGGAGGACACGGTCTGGGCCGCCGCCGCCGCAGAGGCCGGCTTCGTTGGCTTGAAGCGGATGCCGCCACCACCGCTGCTGCCACTAGAGGTGCTGTCGTCGTCGTCCCCAACGGCTTGCTCTTGCTCGGCCACCTCCTCGGGGGTGAGGCAGTATTGGTCGCCGGTATCGTCTTCGAGGTAGCAGTGGGTGCCGGCCTCGCAGTAGTAGCCCGTCGTGCAGCACTCTTCGGCCACGATGGGGGCGCACTGCCACACCTCGCTGCCGAAGCAGCACGTCGTCGAGGGTCTTCGCACCACCAGTCGTATCCTTCGGCTACAAGTAAGGGGCAAGAAAAGGGCGGCAGTTAGCATATACATTGTTTACACTTTCTTTCTTTTTTCTTATCTCCTTTCGATGGTAGAGGGGGAAGGGGCCTCGTACTGTCAGTTCCGCAGTGTTCTGCTGTCGAGGTGTCTACTTCATCGTTCTGGCGGGCTTGTATGGACGCGGTGCGGGCTAGTGATCGGGCCGGGTTCAGGGACTGGGATGGGTTGAGGCCGGCGTGGACGCCCGAGACCGTGATCACGGCGGCGACTAGTAGAGAGATGTGCTTCATTGTGTGAGTGGGGAAGAAGAGACGATACAAAAGATGGGGAGATGTTCACGGTGGAGGAGGCAAAGGTCGTGGTGGCGCCGTGAAGACTTGTTGGAACTGTATTAGACCCGGTATCGAACCTGGAATGAGACGAAGAACTTGCTCCCTCCCTTGAGAAAAAGTCAACGACCATCTCTCATTTTATATACTCGCAGTACGCGAGATGGTTCTAATGTCTTTGGAGCTTTGGAGTCCTCCCCGTCGTCCATGCTTTCTTCACCATGCTCACCTCACTCGTCGCTTTCCTCTCCTAATTCGGCACCCTCGCAATACGAGTCTCCTTTTGGGCATGGTTCCTTTTTCTTAGGGTTGTTCTGTAGCTGCCACCCGGTACTTTTTCTGGTTTTCACTCCCTTTCTCGTTTATCTCTTCGGGGATAACCTTCCAGGTCCCTTTGCCATCTCCCTGCGGGGGAGACAGGCGCGAACCGTGGCGCCGGAGCAAACGGGGTGAGCGCTCGGCTCTTCCACCCTCAGCCGTTTCTCAGCCCAGCAAACAGAGCCACCCCCGCGATATACCGGACCAGCGAAGAAAACGAGCGTGGTTCGGCAGCCCGCCGAAAAAAAAAAAAGACCACACCAGATTTGGTATCTAGTGCGATGAGATTTGGGTCGACAGCCACAATTTGGGCCAGCCCTTTGACCTCCCCCGGCTCCGACAAAGTCCCACGACCGAAAGGGGAAAGTGCGGGAGAAAAGGAAAGATTCCGTGGCTTGACAATCCTAGGCGTCCAGGACCTAGGCCTAGGTTGGCAAATTATCGACTCTATATTTAGGGTTTTTGTGTAGACCATGCGGCTGAACGAGCCGAGCTGCTGGACCAACCCGAGTAATGTTAATGATCCCAACGCTCCTTGTCGGACTCGGACGTGGCCCACGCCGGCGGAGGAAGCCCATCAAGACGCTGGCAGAGACAGGAGAGGGTTCTCCGACGTCTTATCTTTGGCACGAGCCACAAACAAACGCTTGTCGAGATGGAGAAACACGAGCATGTGACGAGCGAAGTTGAGGTTGAGATTTTGATCTGAGGAATGAGATACCTTCAGCCGGTGAGCATGGAGCGATATTCAAAGGGAGAGTCAAACTGAACCGGGCAGGGAATGTTATCTCGTAGCCATGCTCTCCATAATCTTGCTAGCACGCTTGGACTCTCCAGGTCAATCTGGCAAGATCAAGGCTCTCACACAACAGTGGACTACCTGCTCTACTCCGTTTGATGCAGCCCATCTTTCGTCTGGTAGATCTAAATGGTAGGTTTCATCCCTAGAGAGATATATCTTTGATAATTCTTTTCTCGCGGACGTTTATTGCATCCAGTGATTAGACAACTAAAAGCGCTGTGGTCCGAACAAAAAGGGGCAATAGCCACTAACAATTCCTGGGGCGATGACATCAACAATTTGACAAAGGCAGTGGCCGTACCTCAATGCATCAATCCCGATGGAGCCCAGGTCGATCACCGGCGTTTGCTGCTTGGAGACCGGATCGGCACTGAAAGGATTCGCTTTGAGCTGCAGTCAACCCGCAACTCGCCCCTCGCTTAATATTTTCCCCACCAAAAGGGGCTTTGAAAACCAAGTTTACACAGGCAAGACAGGCAAAGGTCGCAGACGCCGCCGGCGAAGTGGGCGACATTGCATCCCGATGTAGATACACGGATTAATAAAAGAGTCTCTGAGTCCTTCTTCCCCAAGCCCTTTGCGATGCCTCAACGATGCCTCAACGCGACATCGCACAGCTTCACGATTCCTCCCATCTCATAGACTCGAGCCCTCGAGTACCAATTGGCCCTCTTCCCACTTGCATCGAGGTTGAGCAGAGCACATTCGCCCAGGCCACCATGTTTTACACCAGAGAAGAGGTCGTGGCCACCCTCACAGACTACTACACCTTTCTCTGCCACCTCAACCTACCCACCGAAGCCCTCAAACACCCTCCCCCGAAGGCTGGACCTCGATCCCCGCCGAACCCCTCCTCGCCCACGGCCGAGCGACGCCGTCATCGACCTCCTCCAGCACCTCCCCTACCTCAGCCATCCCGACTTCGAGCCCCAAGTCCTCCCCGAGACCACCTGCGTCGACTACTCCGCCCTGCCCTCCGAGTCCCTCGACGCCCTGCGCCGCGGCCGCTTCGACTCCATCGTCGACCCGCCCTTGGACGACGACGAAGCCCTGGACCCGGACTGCCTGTGCATCGCCCTCGGCCGCCGCCACGCCTGGTCCCTCATCCTCGACCTCGCCAACGGCACCATCATCTGGTACAGCATGGACGGCGAGTGGGACCCCGAGGACCACGACCTCGGCCGCGTCCTCCCCGACGACTCGCCCCGCCGCGTCGCTCCCGACGACGGCCCCCGCGTGGCGCGCCCAACCCACCTACGATCTCAAGTACTTTTTCGCCGACTTTTGCCGCGCCCGCCTCGCTTGCATGCACTGGATTCCTCACGTCGACGGCGAGATCCGCTCCGTCGACCCCGCGAGGAGCTGGGCCGCGAGGATGCGCTGCGCCGTCGCATGTTGACGGAGGCTGGGTTTCCCGACGACTTTGATCGGGACAAGTGGTTCGAGGACGAGGGCCACAGCCAGTTGTGAAGCATGAGAAGCAGAGAATCTACTGGTCCTACTGTTCCTCCTAGAGGAAGGGGAAATGGGGATGCCCACTGAAACTCGGACCGCCCCAAGTCCCCGTTGGCTTTCACCGGCGGCAACATGAGAGAGTGCGCGGGAGAGCGAGCAGGAAAAACGCCGACAACGTAAAAGACATCACCCGGGCCAGCCGATGATGGAACCCATGCACGCATCTTGCAAGTTGGTGTATGAAATCATGAGACGCCTTGTATTTTATCTGTATCGCATTGTCTATAGTCCTTGTTTCTACCCTTTCAGATTGGTTTCCTCAGCCAAGCCCTATCTCTCAGCCTGTAAAGGCATGATATGCTGATTACCCCTTCTTCAAAACACCGGATATAATGTCCAAGAATAAAAAGAAAATACAACAAAAAGAAGGAAGAAGAAAACTAGATATTATCATGTGTCCGCCCGCGCCCCAAGTTCTTCATCCGCTCAGGAGCCTCTCTTCTGTCCGCCTCACTTGCGCCGACACGAGTTACTCACAATCTTTTGGACATGAGGATCCTGCTTCTTCCAAGTATCGCCCATCTTCTCCGCCGCCCCGTTGCCCTTCATATCCTTGCGAATCTTCCCCAGGTCCCTGTACGCCCTCGCGCCCCCGACGCGCCCGGTACCCAGCAGCATACCCAGGATCGCAAACGGCGCCGAGCTCGGGTCGTCAATGATCTCGTACACGCTCAGCCCCGCCGCGGCCCCCAGCTCCATGGCCGTCAACATGCGCGCAATTGCCGCCCCGCCCGGCCGAGGCTGCCCACCGCGGCCCCGACAAAGGGGATGAGGAAGAGCACGCCCGAGAGGATGGTGAGGATGAGGTCCTTTTCCTGCGCCTCCTCAATCTCCTTGCCCATCTCCTTGACCTCCTTGATGCTCGTCAGCGCGTCCATGAGCATGAACACGGGCGCGCTCAGCACCTGGATCACGTCCTCGGGGCTGCCCTCCCACTGGCCCAGCGACATGTCGATCTCCATGGCGAAGAACTCCGACTCCACCGCCTTGAGGTTGCCCCGCGCCTTGTCCATGACCTCCTTGGGGTCCGGGATCTCGACGTCGTCCTTGCCCCGCGGGAACCCGCGGTGCGTCTGGACGGTGTCCAGGCACCCGCCCGTGCCCCCGAACCGGGCGTGCAGTGGAACTCGTCCTTGTAGATCCCGAACTCGACCCAGTCGGGATCGATGCCAAAGTCCCACAGCCCGTCCTCGTACCCCTTCTTGTCGTCCAGCTCGTACCAAAAGTTCCAGTTCTCGTAGATGCCCGGCTTTTTGCGCACGTCCTCACACGGCAACGACGAAGCGTCATCCTTCTTCGCGTTCAGTCCCCTCGCCCCCAAGCACTTGAAGTGCTTCGACCCCTCCCGCATAAACTCCTCGAGGCGCGAGTTTAGCGTTTTCTTGATATAGTTGGCGTAAGTGTCAAACAGCCCGTCGTACCCGTCCGCCACATCGTCGTACCCGTCCATGGCGTCGTGGAGCATGTCCGTCAGCACGCGGAGCGCGTGCACCGCCGCGCACACCGGATCCATCCCCTCCGACTTGTCCGCGAGGTTCTTTAAACTGGAAAAGGTGGCCGACCAGTCGCACTCTTTAAAGTCGCCGAGGTCTAGGTCCCCGTCGCCCTCCCGCTCGGTATCGGCCCGATCGAGGCCGAGGTCCACGGCCCAGTCGCTCACGCCGCCAAAGTTGAGGCCCTTGTACCAGTCGACTCGCTTCTCTTTAGTCTTGGCCCCCATGTACGCCACCCACTCCACATTGTCGTACACGAGCATGTCCGAGTCCGACTCCTTGTCGTACCATGACTCATACGGCGCCCCGCCGTAGCCGTCGCCGATGAGCATGATCTGGCGGATCTCGGCGTCGGCCAGGTACCCGCTTTCGCCCGTGCACTCGCCCTTCTTGGCCGGCGACTTGTTCTTGGCCCCGAGATACTTGCACATGGGGCCCTTGCAGTCCTTCTTGGCCATTTTAAAGCTGCGGCCGAAGCTGCTGATGCCGATGAAGAGCTTGGTCGAAGGCACGCCTGCCTTGGTCACCATGCTGAGCGCTGACTCGGTCTCGGTCTTGTTGACGTGGCTTCGGAGGCAAGTTCCAGATTTACACCCGGGCTGAAAGCGTCATACATCTTTGGTTAGCCGAAGAAGCAAATGAAAGATTGGGAGCGTTCAGAAACGGAAAGAGGAAAAAGGCGAGGAAACCTACCTGGGCGTATTCATTATTGACATCCCACTGCCCGTGAAGGTCATAGGTCATGTAGATGATGTAGTCGACGACCTTGCCGATATCCTTCATGGGGAACCATTGGAGATACCAGTAGCTCGCCGGCGCCGCAATGGAGACGGACTTGCTGTCGGCTAGCTTGGACCGGACAAGCTTGAGGAACTCGACGTAGTTGTCACCATCGTCGGGGCCGCCCGGCGTGGTACCGGGGATATCATCCGCTCCCGGATACTCCCAGTCAAAGTCCACGCCGTCGAGCTGATGCTTGTTTACAAACGCCACGACATTGCTGGCAAACTTTTCTCGATAATCCTTCGTCACACCTCTCCGGAAGACGGAGATTGTGGCCGGCTCGGTCGAGAAGGCCCAGCCTCCGAAAGAGATAATCTTCTTGAGTTTGGTATCCCAGTTCACCATCATGTCGAACTGCTTCTGCACGTCTTTGACGTTGATCTCAAAGTTATCCGTAATGGTCCCAAACGAAAAGTGGATGTGCGTATACGTCTTCTCGCTAATCTCCGTCACGTCCATGTGGAGGCAGTCGCGTTCCTTGTTCCAGGCTTCAAAGTACGCCACCCGAGAGAAGCTCGAGGGGCCTTTGTCGTTGTTGACGATATCGGTGCCGCAGTTGGAGACGCACCCGTTGGTGTTGTTCTTGGCAGTACCCGGCGTTTTGTTGACTGTGGTGTCTACACAAAACTGTGTATCAATTTCATTGTTAGCCAAGAAAAAAAAACACAGAGAGAAAAAGGGAAGAGGATAAGAGATGGGGTCGGGACATACGTCGACAGTCGTGCCACACTGACCCCAAACATTGCAGCACGCATTCAACGGACAAGGGTTGAGGTCGGCAAACTTCTTGCCCTTGGCCGGTTTCTTAGTCCCCACAACAGTAGGACCGCACAAGGCATCGCCGTCCGTGGCCGGCAGCGGCGGGTCACCGTCGCTCAAACAGATCCTCTGCTTCGGCGCGAGGCGGTTGCACCCGGCCCAGCCCCACGTCTTGCCCTTGTTGAACTTGTCAAAGTCGCCGTCCTTGAGAAAGTACTGCGTCTGGATCTCGTCGCACAGCTTGTTCTCGATGGCGACCCAGAAGCAGGTCCCGTCGTCCTTCTTCTTCGGCCGGAGATCGGGTTTCTTCCCGGCGAGCAGCACATGATGTCCCGCGGCTGCAGCTTGCCGCAAAACGTGTCCTTGCCCCCGCCGTTGTACTCGTAAAACTGCCTCGTGGAGATTTTGCACTTATTTTTCGCCAACTTGCCGCAGTCGTCGTCTTTGCCGACCAGCTCGTGTTTGCAGGTGCCGTCCTTGTTGGGCTTGGGGGTGAAGTCGGGCATCGTCCCCTTGTTGCAGCAAAAGTGGTCGCCGGGGAGGATGCCGTCCACCTCGCACCACTTCTTCGCCTTCGAGTTGAGCTTGTACAGCGCCGCGACGTCCTTGAGCCCGCACTTTTTCGTGGCAATGCTCCAGCAATCGTCTCCCGAGCGGACCTCGTAGGTCTTGCACTCCGCTCGAGGAAGCAGGCCCGAGTGTGGGCTCCAGTCTGTCTGGTCTGCAGACCGGGCATTTATGTTATTGCCGGCTGCGGATGTGGATTCCGAGCCGATTTCGGCCAGGGGTCGAGTCAGACGCATCCATGGTTATGGCTGTTGCCGAGATGATGCTAAACTCTTGGTCTGGCCAGACCTCCGAGGCCTCGAGGCCTTCGAGGCACTCGCCGTTATACCATTGGCCTAAAGCGCCGTGAACCGCCGCAATATCACCTGCCGCGTCGGAAATGATGCCAAAAGAATGCTGAACGGACCGGGCTTGCTTTGGTCCGCACAGCTGCGCGGCGCTCGCGGAAGAAAACGAGTCGCTGGCAGACTCAATGTAGTCGGCATACTTGTCTAGAAGAGCAGCGACAGAAGACTTTTGCACCTCACCCCCAACGAAGACCCCAAGTACCGCCGAGCCCTTCTTGGCGAGCCTTGCGACCTCCGAACATGTAGGGTCAACTTCGAGGTTCCTCGCAAGCTCCCTAGCCGCTTCCGCCACGTCTGCCGACGAGGCCAGAGAGGCTTGCCCCGAGGACCGCCCCGAAAGAAGCTGGATGTCGGCCTTGGAGGACTCCGCTGGAGAGCCCGTACCGCAAGACGGCCCGTACTCCTGGTTTCGATACTCATCACCGTCGGCCGTGCAGGCTCGGAGATCAGTGGCCCCCTGGTCATCCCGCGTGAGAGGGAATCGAATGTTGCTTTCGAGGAGCTGCGTCTTGCCACAGGCGTCGAGGGCCGCCAACCTGTGCACCACGCCCCAGCGGAAACCGTCTGGGCCGGCTTCGGAGCAGAGGACTGCGCAGCCGCCTCTCGGGCGTTCCGGGACGGGACTATGGGGAAATGTGGAAGGGGTGGTGTGGTTGAGGGCTGCTACACCGGCCGCCGCAAAGCCGAGGATAGCGGTTAATGCCACCATCCTGCTAGACTTGAGACGCCCGTCTAAGAGGACAGACTAATATGGGAAACACTACCGAGGTTGGGGATAGAGAGATGGGCAATGAGCGTGAAAGAATGCAAATGGCTTGGGGAAGAGGTTGGTGTAAACAGGTAGAGGTGAAAGGGTATGAAAATGAACGACAATAGCTAAGCTAGAGCGGATGAAGGGCTAAACGACTGGATCCCATTCATGCTCTCTAACGAGGTGAAGGAGAAGTAAGAGAAGTGAAGGGCTAGATGCAAGAGCAGAAGAGCCGTGTTAGACGAGGACTTAGACCAGGAAACGTCTACCGTCTTAAACGAGTGCATAGAAAGAAAGAAAAAACCCCGGGAATAAAGGCCGATTAGAAATACTCGTATAGACCGTGGGCATCGAGAGTATAAGCTCTACGAAGTCCTAGATGCTTCACGACCTGCCAAGAAGTTCGGATCGTCCACGCCATCGATGGCTCATCTACCAAGCACACACAGGCCCGAGGCTGGTATCATTCACCCGCGAGGCAAAGCACACACTGTCTCTGGCTTAGACTTTTTGTCCTAATTCTTTTCTGTAAACAATTTTCTCATTCAATTTTCGGCGCATCCCTCGCCTTCGCGCAACAAAGCCCCCCTCCCCTTGTTTCCCCGCTCCCCACATCATAGTTGCAGTCGAAGGATCCTGATGCCAATCTTGATATCCAAGTCCTTTGGTGTTCACGTCACGGTGCGTGGGATGCGTGCCGGAGTATGGCCGTCGCCAGGCTGTGTCCGTTGAACGAAAAGGACGAAGCGAAAATCCTTAAATATATAGAGTATCCACATTGTCTGGCGATTCATTCAATCCATTTGTGGGCTCTCCCACACTCTGTGTTCCTGCATGGGCGAATTGGAGGGCGTTTCGTCCCTCGACAAATGCCAATCGCGAGGCGCGGGCCTCCAGTTCCTGGTTCGCGCCCCGACATGAGCGACGATCTTTCCACAGGGATGGTAAAGACGGCAAGACCTTTTGTTCTTTTCTTCTTCTTTTTTATCTCCTTCTTTTCCCGGGCGTGCTTTGCTCCACTTGCCACTTCGTCCTGTCTCTCGTACCGAGGTAGGCTCAGCTCGCTTAATCGTTTGCCTCGCTGCCTCGTTCGCGTTGCGAGAGCGCTTCTGTTCCATCTATACATCAGTCAGGAAGGCTGTGGCTGGAATCTAAATGCGGCCGTCAACGCTTGGCATCTACCTTGTGTTGTAACGCCATTAGATTGAGATCCCCAGGCCCCACGCCTCCATCTCAGACTGTCTCCCATCGCCACAATTTTACATCCGGCCGGATCGCTGCATCTTCTCTTCCATCGTCGAATCCTTCCGGCACCGAAACAACGGCATTGCTTCACAGCTGGGGGCGCTTCGGGGCAAGATCAACGGCACCGCCTAGCGCGTCAAGAGTCTTATTCAACGGCAAACTTAGTCCTTCACATCATTGAGACAAAGAGGCAACAAAAGAAAGATGCTTAGCCGGCCATCGCCATCTCCTTGTGCATCCTATAATCGCCAAGGCTGACCCTCTCCACACCGTCAGGGCCAATCGCGACAGCGAGAAAGCCCATTATACAGTCACCATCTCATGGAATCAAAAGGGCCTCGCCGACATAGCCCCAAGGGTTGTTTTTAAAAGTAGCATCAACCGTCACACAGAATCTTAACCCGGGAAGCGCGCTCCATCGAGCCAAAACGGGAAAAGGGGTTTCGTGGAAGAGTGGGGAGCCACCATGGAAAGCATCCTCGCGACGTAGGCGTAGGTGAACGTGGTATGCCTCCTTGTCGCTATTCTATTGATATACCAAAGGATATCTATCGACAAAAATCTTGCTTGTCCTGGCCTGGGTCGTAGAGATGCCTCCTCAGATCTTCCCTCTCCACTCACTTTCTTTTCCTCCCTTTCCCCCATCTACCTTCACTTGATTCCCTCACCACTCCCTTGCAAGGTTGTCCACCTTGTAGTCCCCACACTCGTTTGCTTCCCCAAGACGAGTGTAAAAACCGTTTTGCCCTATCTCCATAGCCTGGCGGCCCTTTGAGCACGGTCGCCATGAGGGTCAACGGCTTCCCACTTTACGCCGTCCTCTGGGGCATCTTCTGCCTCGCCCGCCCCATCCTCGCCTCCAATGAAGCCTTTGGCTCCCTCATGCTCTTCCTGTACAATGCCTACCGCTTCGACGAGACCGTGAGCAACGGAAAGCCCGGCCTCGCCAACCAGTGCAGTCCCAAAGACAGCGACGGACCGAGCAGCAAACTCAACCGAGGCTGCAACTTCCACGGCTTCCTTCGCCATGTCCTTCGATCATCCTACGACCCCAGCGCTGGCGGCATGAAAAAGGTGTCCGACCCTTGGATGCCAACCGAAACCGAGGTGGTTGACTTACATAAATGGTCCAGCGTGAATGCCGATGCCGGCTACAACGCTGCAAGGGTCATGGGCTCCTCTGGAAACTACTTCAACTCGCACCTCATGTTCCGCGTCGTGGCCGCTCGCGTCAAGAAGCTCGCCGCCAGCGATCCCGCGGGTGCGGGTGCCGTGTCAGGCGGCATGCTAGCCTCGGTCGACCGTATCCAGTTCTCCTGCGGGCGGATAATGCTGCCCAGATGATTACCAAAACTGAGTCCCTTCTCGGCGGCGACAAGTCCAAACTCGTGAAAGCCGACGTGGGGGCCTGTACGGGCTCCCCGGATACAAGCAGGTGGACGTGAAAGCCACACTAGGAAAGCTGAGTGGGGATAAGCTCTCAAAGTTTCGCTCTTCCTTGCGGGGGAAGCGGCTGACAAGCTGAAGAAGGACGAAAACCTAGTCTTCCGCGATGTCGTGCTTCTGCGGGATGATCTCAGCTTCGGGGTTGGAGGTGAGGGCGCGGACCGTTGCAGCGGGCGCAACCGTGACAGTGACCAAAGAGACAAGGATGACAAGAAAGAGAAGGACGAGAACAACCAGTCGTGCAAGAAGCCAAAGCGATCCTTGCTAGACTCCTTTGCAAATATGCTGTTCAAGAGACAAAATGGCGGCGGCAGTAACAACAACTGTCAAACCAAAACGGAAACCGTATATAAAACCGTGGGGCATCATTACCATACCCCAGACGTGTACTGCGACCCAGACAAGTACACGCAAGCTTGCTACCATTATCGGTGTGTTTCTCCTCTAATAACCCTTTCAGCCCTTTACCTTTTCCCCTTCTGCTTTCGAGTTTCCTTTCCAATCCAAGGTATCCTCGCACCGACTCGCCTAACTCTCCAATCTAGATCCGTCATGCGCGCCCAAAGGGCACGGAGTCCATGACTATCTTCACCTGCAACGACGGCGTAGCCATGGGTCAATCTGGTAGCGCAACTGCCGAGTGGGGATCCACCGCGAAGGCCAATGGCAAACCCGCCGAATATGCCCAGCACAACTATGCGTGGTCCGTAGGGCTTCCGCCTCGTGCCAGCGTGACGAGTACCCGCCCAAATATTTCTGGCCCAAGGCCAACAAGGATAACAAAGGAAAGAAGGCGCAGCGCGTGCGCTTAATCCCACAGTCAGATAACGGACCCGCGGGAACGATTTGGAAGGGATTCTGTGACTTGACCGGAGAGTACGGCCCCATGACCAAGACCAAGGTCAATGGCGCGAACAAGGTCATCGAGAACGTCGACTTGTACCTCCGAGCCAGGCCGGCGGACGTGAATCAGAACCTAGGGGCAGACAAAACAATGAGTAAGTTGCCTCTCCTCTCTCTCCTGACCCCCTTGCTCCAGTTCTTGCCGCCTATGCTGAGCTACTGATACTAAAACTTTTGCGTTTCCTACCTTCAGCCGAAACCACAACGTCCTACGTCAAAACTGGCCGGGCTGTGTTTTCTCTCCAATTCGAAGACCAAAAGTTCAAGCTTCCAAACGATGGCCTCGATGACAACCCTTGTCTGCCAGACATCGTACGCGGCACGGATCCTGGCTGGGCTCTCTTAACCTATGATGAATATTACGATCGCAACCCAGATCTACAGCAGTACACGGCCCTTTACAAGAACGTCGTGGTCCCCGCAGCGCTGCCACCTATAGTTCCTCCCGCCCCTCCCCCCCCCCGGCCCCCGCCCCCGAGGCGACTGCGCCGGGGTACTCGCGCGGACTGGGACGAGGTTGTCGTCATTGATACAGACGAGGAAACGTGTATCAATGGCGGGATGGGTCGACTGCGCGAGATGGAAGATGATTATCAGGAGTTCAGACGCCAGCAGGGCGGCGTCGAGGACCCTCGGCGGTAATGGGAAGTCCAGACGTTGTCCCAACCGATGTTCCTGTAGGCGAGGGAGCAGGGTGGCCCCTTCCCGGTGCGGAGACTGGGCAGAGTGCAAGCCCAGAGCTTCCAGCGCCCACGGGTGCATAGAATAGGACGGATCTAGGCAAGTTTAGCTGAAGATTGCTAAAGAAGATAGAGTTCTGCATCAGAATTGCCGTTCGCCCCTTGCGTGATGAGAGACACATGCGCACTTCTCTGAGATGTCGTTGAGGGTCGGCTGCCTCGGCTTGGTCGCAAAAAGGCGGGGGTCGCAGTTGGTTCGTTTTAGTATCGGAGTGCACGTATATCTCTATAATGTCGAGTCCTGTTTAATAATGGGCAGAGATCGAGCCAACCGCGATATATTCAACCAAGATCTAACTTTAGCCACCACCTTGATAGGTTAGAAGATGGCGTAGAGAGGCCATCCATAAGCCCCCACCCGAGAAAGGGTCGTCCCACAAGCCGGATTCGGTGACGAGCTGTATTAAACCTCACACTACAACACTCTTTGGTGTTTTTCTCTTTGTTGAATTAAACCTGTAAAGCCATTTCCGAAACCCAAAAAGGAGGTGTAAGAGGGAAGGGTATCCCTTTGAATGGCGTGGTGTAAATGAAATAGACCAAAGAGGAAAGAAAAATAAGAAGAAGACAAAACAACTAGAGTTGTGCCGGGGCTCTTAAAGTCGGAAAATTTCTCAACGCAATCAATCATTACCTCCTCAAGCTAGGTGATTGCCATTCGTGGTGGCGGTCTTGGCTTTGGCTCCGCTGGATCCGGCAGCGGCCGCAATATCGCCGTACACACTCTTGTAGTTGTCAAGCACGTCCAGGAGACGGCCGAACCTCCGCATACAACCAGCACGACGTTGTGCTCGTCCCAGGGGAATTCGAGTCTTTCGAAAGCGTCTCGAAGTCTGTTAGTTCCGGAAGGAGAGGGAAAGTAGGCGGGAGCGAGGGTAGCCCCGCAGGCAGCCTCGACAACGAAGCGGGCATCGTCAGCAAAATATACGCAGCTCATGGCCGCCTCCCAATCCTCGACGGCAATAGAGGATAGGTTCGAGTTGGCCAGCCACTCAAACGTTTTGGCAGAAACTTTGCGGGCTCCAAGCGAGGTAGCGATGGAGGTGATGCTATCGAGGGTAGCATGGGTGCCGGTCCGGACGCATTCTCGCAGACTCGCAGCGCCTTCCGTTTCCACGGCTAGCACACGGGGGTCTGTCCAGCAGGCCATCTCGTCGACTCGATACCGGCCATGATGCCGTTTAGCAAGCCGCCGCCGCCGACACTACACACGATGCCGTGGACCGGCACGTCCATCTGCACGGACAACTCATCGATCATGGTGGCGGCACCCGCCCAAATGTCAGAATGGTCGAATGGTGGGACATAGACACCGGCGGCATCATCTCGCATGACAACCTCACGCAGGTGAGCGTCGGCTTCGGCCCAGCTAGCGCCAAACTGGTGAACTTGGGCACCAAGGTCACGTAGCTTAGAGACCATGAGCGGGGAGGTGGACAGGGGCACGACGATGGTAGCAGGAAGATTGAGGGACTTGGCGGCTACAATGCAGGCGAGGCCAGCATTCCCCCGACGAGCAATAGAAGTGCGGGGGTGTAGAAGGAGGCGGCAGCGGCAGCGCGGAAAATGAGATTGCCGATGCCGCGAGACTTGAACGAGCCAGAAGGCTGGAGATTTTCAAGCTTGAGCCAGATGTTGCTAGTATTTTCGCGTTAGAGACTGAGGAAGAGCAAGACGCAAGCGGGCTCCACAAATGGAACTCACCAGCCGGCGATTCGAGAGAGGGCCTCATTATAAATGCAGGGGTTCGGCGCCACGGCTGTTGGGCGAGAGGTGGAAGGGACTTCATTGTGAAGATATAGACGCTGGGCAGAGGGATTCACGCCGAGATGAGTGAGATTGATGGAAACAAAAATCAAGAGCAGCTCGGCCAGACGCAAACGGGAGGAACAAAAGGTACGCAAAGTGAATGAATAGAGGGCCCGGGTATTACTTGTACGTGGAGAGGAGGTGGGCGGGTCTCGGGGTTATAAAGGCGGAGACAAACCAAGAGAAGAGAAACCCTCAATCTTGGGATAAAAGGTAAAGGAGGTTCACGGCAGGTACGATCGTCACGCGGGGGCCGGGTTCGGAGTTGAATTGATAAGCGCGGCCGCAAGAGGAAGGAACAGGAAGGGGACGGACGCCGCAGAATCTACCAGCTGAGGATGCTCAGGGGTACTTTGTACCGACAGATGAGACGACACGCACATGGCGAAGTACCAGGAGAAAGTAAAGCCAGCAGAAGCAGCGGAGGGAGGTGTACATCAGTCTGTGCAGCGGAGTGTCCATGTAAGTGGCAACTGGGAGTGTACGTAGGTGGACCTCAAGTGTTCTGACTGCAGGGCCAGGCATCCATCCATTTGATCCTGGATTGATCCATCAACGGCCGTTCAAGCGCAAGTAACGCCAAAAAGAACGAAAAATTCCTTCGTTCCAATGAGGAGGTATCGATTAATCAGGAAAAGAAACGTAGACTTTTACAAGGTACATTCTACGAGGTTCTTTTGCTAGCTTCGACGTTTTATTAGTCAATTCGAGAACCACCGAGTCGATATCTGGGGAAAAGTTGACCGACTCGGCAAACCGAACCCACCAACAAGGCTTTTGTGTGACCTCGCGAATGGGGAAGGGAAGACCTGGCATCGTGCACCTTCTCTCTTCAGTTACAGGCTACAGGGCCACCTTCCAGGTCTTTTCTCTCTCCGCTCTAGTTTTTCTTTAGTCGTGAAACGTTCTTTCCTCTCATGGATGTCTCTGCTGTCCGAGTTGCCCTTACATAGCCCAAAGAAAATCAATATTTTAGGGGCTGGACCGTAGTTATCCCCTGCCTCCGCCGATAGCCGCGCCAGCGGACTAAAAGCCCGCCCGGTCCCCACATCTCCACATCTCCGCGCCCTTCCCTCTCAACAAACTTGAAATTCTCCCCAAGGGCGTCAGGCGTACCATCAGACGTGAGACTATGCGCCGCGGAAACGTAACGCGAACTCCAAAAATAAAAACCTTCTAGGCTCTTACGGTTTGTTCCTCGACGTTTGCTTTCGATGTGTCATCGAAACCTGGGGCCACGTGTGTCCGTGTCTGTGTGTGTGTACCCAGTCAAGGTGTAAGTGCGCGGTGTCATGATACCCGGCCACCGCAGCCCTGACTTGTCTGGGGATCGTGAAGCAACTCGAAACCCCCAGGCACCTCCTCGCTCCATTTCTCGCCTTGTTTCTTTTTTTTTTTTTTTCTTCCCTATTGGGGGCCACGAGACTTGGCCCCCTTCCGCCTCCGGTCCTGACCGACCGCGTGCCCCTATCGTCGGGTGTGTCTCGTGTCAGGATTCATCATCCTAGCCCAGTACCACTCAGATCTCAATGCGTCCATGCGCATCACGATGGCTGCGAGGTGTGTCTCTGTGCGTGTGTGTGTGCGTGTTGTTTTCAATGTATCGGGGCGCGTCTGGCCGCTCGGCTAGGAATGGTTCACGGCGGACAGAGCCGCTCACCTCCTCGAGTCTCGTCGGAGCGTAATCGGAGATGATTTTAGGAGCTGTGTTACGAAACATTCCGCACCTGAGCAAAGGCCAAGATGCGGAGAGGCTCAGCGTTGACACTTTTATTTCCAAGGAGATATCCTTCTTCTGCTTTGAATTGTGTATTGTGAGGAACGGCTATCTCAGTCTCTCCGGAGCCATCAGCGCCATACTAACCGCGCTATTCAAGTCGAGTGATTCCTTGTATTTTTGCAATTCACCTTGATCCTAGTCGGGATGAATGGAACAACATCACTCACTACACTTAGAGCGGCTTCCCTCAAACTTGGGGTCAAGTAGAGTATGAGTGAATAGGCAGATAGAACTGACGCGCGAGTATGGAAATGGTGAGCCAAGATGAAGACGGTGAGTGTCCAAGTTCTCCTGAATCATCGCCTTTTCAAAGGAAACCCTCAAAGGCCCAGGAGGCCTTATTTCCTCTGTTGCGCCCTTTTGAAATTCCCCTCACACCACACGGAAAGCAAGCACCGCACCATTTCATCCCTTCTCTTGGCTCGATAGAACTTGACAAGCGTCAGCAAGACGAAGGCGAACTGAAAAGAAAGTAAGAAATCGTATCGAACTCTCCCACCACTCCTAAAAGTCTTCTCGTACGCAGCCCGTAAAGCCGCCACCATGGCTCCAGGCCGCCGCCGCGCTGGCCGGTCAACCGCTCGCCGAGGATCCCGCGCTCGTCGCCGAGCCCCGAGAGCGTCCGCCGCAACTCGGCGACGCGGGCCTCGCAGCCACAAGGGCCGCCAACTCCGGGCCCTCATGCAACGCGCGGAAGAAGACGTCTTCGAAGTGCCTCTTGCGCACGAGATTCCCGATCGCTACACTGCGCAGAACTTGTCCCGGTACGTCAGCCGCGCCGCCATTGCGCAAATTTGCGCTTCTCAAGACGGCCAAACGCACCGTCAGCCAGCAGCTTTGTTGGATCCACGAGTGGCAGGCGATCCGGAAGGCGTAGTAGCAAGGGGAGCAGAGGAGGAAGAAGCGGCAGAAGACGAAGAAGAAGTAGAAGAGGAAGAAGAAGTAGAAGAGGAAGAAGCAATAGGAGAGGAGGTAGTTGAAGAGGAAGTCGGGCATGAGGCAAGGCAAGAAGATGAGCCCGTAGTGGTCGCGCTAGAGCTTCCGAGCGCGGTGACAATGCCTCAAACGAGGCCAGAGCTGGTTAACCTCCCAACAGAGATTCTCCAAATGATTGGCTCTCACCTCCTCGTGGCCGAGGACGCCGTCCGCGTCCACGGCATGTGGAGAAAGGTATTTTACCGCTCCCGACCATCCCTACACACCGCCATCCTCAGGACGTGCCAATCCCTCTACCAAGAGCTCGTCCCCATCCTCTACGGCCACAATACCTTTGAGTACGTCCTGCGCGACCCGCCCCGCATCCAAAACAGCCAAATACTCAACGGCGCCAGCACCGGCGCCACTGCGGCCCTAAGCTCCGTCTACCTTACGCAGCCTTCCAGCAGCCACCCCCGGGAGCTGAAACCATCAATGGGGACGGTGGCCCTGTAGATCGCCTCATCCACCTAAAGAAGTACGCCTCCCACGTGCGGCACATTGGCTTCCGCCTCGAGCCCAACCGCCACGGCCCGGGATACATGGAGCTCGTCAACGCCGCCCTCGCGCCCTTTACCAGCGTCTACAGCCTGCACCGCCTCACTTTCCACGCCGAAGCGACCGGGACCAACCACCCCGCGGCCACCATCCCTTATACATCCTTCTTCAAGCCCGAGACCCTCTCATGCGCACCATCATGCGCGTCCCCTGTCTCGAGATTGCGTTTTTCATCACCACGACCGCCGCCGGCCCGCCGCCTCCTCCTTCTTCCCAGGGTCCGATCCGCGCACCAGCCGCCGCGTTCGCCGTCGTCGTCTCGCGCAGGTACGGTGGCGCCATCCGCCGCGCGCGCCGCGGCGACCCTACTGGGTCACAGAGGACGAGCTCGTACTGCGGGGGCGGGAGGAGGGTGCCAGGAGGGAGTATGAGCAGCTGCGCAACATTGCATCTCGCATGAGAGAGTTTCTCGAGGGGAACCAGGGCATGTCTGATGCCGAGGTTGAGGAGGTTGAGGGGGACGATGCAAGTGAGGGCGCTATAGAGCTAGAGGAGGTAGATGGAGGGGGGATGAAGGTTCTGAATGGGGCCCTTAAGGAAGAGAGAGGGGTTTCCTGCCGAGGAGGGCGGATTGAAAACGATGTGGCCGAGCTTGAGTTGGCGTAGACGGTCTAGCGAGAGGAACAACAATTTCATAGCAGCGAAGCCATGCGACCACGCGTCTAAAGGAGCCAGAAAAATAAGAGACCAAGAGAGAAAGAATAATAAATGGAAATCATGCGTAAATTCTATCTTCATGTGAACCATTCTCATGGAAATCGTCTTGTTTTGTGATGCCCTGCCCTACCATCAAAGCCTTAAATGCTCCACCTCCTTTTCTTCCATTTTTTCATCTTCCTTTTGGTTTCCGGGTATCATACACTCCGCGCGTTCGCCTTCCACAGACAAGATGGAAAAAGAGAAAAGAGACGAGAAAAGAAACAAAGGAAAGGGGAAGAAGAAACGAGGAAAGCAGTTCCCTCGCCCTACTCCGTAGATGTCGGTGGAGCAGGGATGACAATCTTGGTGACGGAAACCTCCAAGGTCTCGGTGTCGACGAGCACGATTTCCCCGTCTTGGCAAAGGAAGGTATAGTAATGAGGCGGACAGACTGTCCTTCAGGCCCGTGAATGACGCTGGTGGAAAACTCAGGCTGGGATCCAACAAAGTAGAGGTGGGGGCACATCTTGAGCACAAAGGGGTCGTCGTCCTGGAAAGGGTAGCTCCCTGTTGCGTGCGTTAGAAGCAAAGTCCAGTCACGAACGACCAGCGAACGACCAGTCAAACGAACAAGGGGGAAAAACGGGCACTTACACAATGTATCGGGGGCGGTAGGGGCGACGCATCTCCACCGCAACATGCCCTCCATCATCCCAATCCGGTCATCACTGCTGATGTACTTGAAAACGTCATCCACGTTTTGGCCGCCGGTACCGAGGAATCGCCAGCCCTCAACCTCACCATCCCAGGGGTTCGTTACACAGTCAAACCAATTGGGCTCGCCCGGGGTATCCGTTACAAATTCTCTCGCTCGAGGGAACATGGCGGGATGCACGGGCTGTTGCGGGTATGCAGCATTAGCCGGGTCGTCAGCCCCAGGAAGTAGGGTGACGGGGATGGAGGGTAGAATCTCGGCCAGGAAGTCATCGAGCAGTTCAAAGGGCGTCGCGTTGTAGGAGCTAGCATCGTACCCGTACTTCTTGTTGCCGCCTTTCCTGTCCGGCTTCTCCTCGCGCTGCTCGGGAGCAATCGAATTGCCAGCCAGGATGAGTCGAGTGATTTGGGCCACGTCCTTTTGCGTGGCCGGGTCGAGCGCCTCACCCAGGATGAATTCCAGCAAAATTTTGAGGGCCAGACTGTACGAAGCATCGCTGTTGGAGAAGGAGAGCCCGGAGACTAGGGCCACCTTCTTCCCCCACTCCCAGACCCGCCCGACATCTCAACATCCTCATCCTTGACGACAGCCGGGGTCGAAAGCGCCCACCTCTCAGGCTGGGGGCGAGGTCGGGGAACTTGATATCCACAACGTCGAACTCGCCGTCGATCGTCTCGGTCCCCATAACAGCAATGATGCAGCCAGTCACGAGCGGCACAGACTTGATCTTGTCGCCCATGAGACGGACCCGACCCGAATCGTCTTCTAGCATGATGTTGTCGGCCTCGCCAGCAGCGTAGTACTTTTCCACCGCGACGGGCGCGGAAAGCCATTTCTATAGTACATGGTCAGCCAGGTGAGGCCAGCTCGTTGCCAGCCCTTTACTATATTTTCAGCAATAGCGACGGGTAGGGGAGAGCTGGGGGCGCGGGGAGGGGGCGCACATCATTCGATACGTCCTCGAGGATATTCGGCTTCAGCGACATGTCCATGTAGATGGTACCAACAACCCAGCTTAACTCGCCCTGGCGCACGTTCAAGACACGGGTCGCCTTTTTCACACGCTCGCCGTGAATCTCGAGCTCGCCCCAAGCTTCGGCAGCCACTTTCTCCACGGTGGGCTTAATCTTGACGAGACGCAAGAAGTACATGTCGCCATACTGCTGCTTATACGATCGGTTTTTTTCCAGCTTAAAGGTGTTCAAGGGTTTGTAGGAAGAGGGGCTCGTTCGAGAGCCTCGTATTCGGTGTCGCTAAGCCATTGTAGAACACAATGTTAGTAACCGCAGAAGCAAAAGTAGTGCAGGCGGAGTGCGGTGAAGGGAAGGGCAGGTGAAAAACCATGGGAGAGAGGGGCCACGGCGGGGGATTCCGAAGGGGGAGAACTAACGAGGGGCCTTGGAGGAACTCCTTCGGGAGCTCATCTAGGTTAACCATGGCGTCCACTCGACGGTAGCAGGTATACAATCGATCCGGGGAGGCGAAAGAAGTTTGGATGTTGAAAAAGGAGCCGGTGCGCCGGATTTCAAGAAGAGGTCGTCGACTCCGACAATGTTTTAGCGCGGGGTCCTTTCGACGCGTCGGGTCCGTGTGGCACTTGTCACCCGTGGAGCCCAGCCAATGCCCCAGCTAATGCCCCAGCCCATTCAATTGGCATTAGGGCGGACGGGATTTGTCTGGTCGGTCAGCGCCCCTCCTCGCCCACTGTAGCAGCACGCGGATTGATGGCGTTCAGCGAGCCCAGCCACTTCGGCGAGGTCAGCGGCGTGCTCGGTGGAAGACTGTTCAATGTTCAATGTTCCACTCGCTCTCTTCCTCACCGATTGTCATGATTCCCCCGCCCCACTAACAAGAAAGGAAGGAATTGGTGGGGAGCTCACAAATGTTCGTCATTGCCGTCACCCAAATCTGTAGTTTCAATCCGAGTGACGAATTCTAATTTGCTCAGAGTCTACATGTATTTCTCTCTGCTTGACCCATACCCACGATTTGCTCCTTTGATCATGATCCAAATCGGGGTTTTTCTTCCCTTTGCTCCTCTACAGTCTTGATCAAGAAAAACACAAAGGGACCAAAGAAAAGAAGAAGAAAAAGGAAATCCCCATAGGATCAGATCTCACGTCACGTCATTAAGCGCTCCAAACAAATCAGTTGAAACCCTACAAACTAATAAATCCCTCGAGCTCGAGTTAGCTTCTGTCACGCCGTTCAAGAGTCTCTCCTACTTCCTCAAAGCCTTAAATCCATTCCCAGTAGCAAAGAATCTTTCTCATAGACCAGATCCAGCTGTTCATATTTCTTCATCCTACCGGGTAACCCCGCCTTCCACGCGATGCCTCAAGGATCCCCTCCATCAAGGTCGACGACCTCACCTATACTTTCCCAGACTACTCCACCGGCATCAGCCATATCTCTCTCAATGTGCCCCCGAGGAGCCGCACCCTCCTCATCGGCGCCAACGGTGCGGGCAAGACGACACTACTCCGCCTGCTCGCCGGCAAGCGCCTAGGCCCCAGCAACACGATTTACGTGTGCGGCGTGGATCCCTTCAAAGACAGCCTCGAGGGCGTCACCTACCTCGGCCTCGAGTGGGTTCTCAACGCCATCGTGCGTACCGACATTGGCGTCGCGGAGCTCCTGCGCTCGGTCGGAGGGGATGCGTACCCCGAGCGCCGCGACGAGCTCGTGTCCGTGCTGGATATCGACTTGGCGTGGCGGATGCACGCCGTGTCCGACGGGGAGAGGCGGAGAGTCCAGCTGGCCATGGGCCTGATCCGACCGTGGACCGTGCTCCTCCTCGACGAGATCACGGTGGACCTTGACGTCCTGAGCCGCGCCGAGTTCCTGGGCTGGCTCAAGACGGAGACCGAGATCCGCGAGTGCACCATCGTCTACGCCACCCACATTCTTGACAATCTCGCCGGCTGGCCCACGCACCTTGTGCACATGCACCTCGGCACCGTCAAGGAGTGGGCGCCCGCCGAGACATTTTTCGAGACCATGGCCCCCACGGCCGGCGGTAACAGCCAGCTGGGCCAGCTCGTTTTGGGCTGGTTGAGAGAAGATCTCAAGGAGCGTGGGCCTAGAAGCCACTTGCGCACAGAGGGGACGACGTACGCGACCACCGGGTTCGGCGGGTACGGGTTCGAGGGCAAGCCAAAGAACGCGTGAAATGCCAACGCATCACATTCATCAATCACTCCCCGTGAGGTTTGCGGAGGGTTTCAACAACTGAGCCGGCTAGCGGTATAGCCCGAGGGCGACGGGCAAGGAGACTGAGGTTCACAATTAGCCAGTCATTAGTGGCGTCAAAGGAGAAAATAGTAAAGAGGTAGTCTTTGGCCCTCTCAGGATGGGATGGGGGTATATGTTGGGCGCAATTGGAAAGGAGTAAGGTTCAACCCAGGGCATACGGTTCTATATACCCTTGCTAATTGATGAATTTCTATCGTTATTGAGAAGTGAAGCATGATAGACAGGTAGAATAGAATCAATAGTGAATATCAGTTTCAGTTTCATAGCCTTTGCCCTTTCTTCCTTTCCCTTGCTAACATTAATTTTTACACTTAGCTTTTTTTTTTCTCATGTCTCTAGGGATAGGATAGGTTGAGGAGATGAATGCGAGAAGAGAGTGTTCTAGCAACATAAATGGGAATAGCTAGACACTGAACCTACTAATCTCCTCAGTCTATCAGTGTTTGCTTTTAGTCCTGTTGCTGCCTCATCCTGCCTTCTCATTTCAGCTCCATCATCAAGAGTAGAGTATGGTCATATATACATATGGAGCAGCCATAGCAGCATTTGATAGACCTGGGAGCAAGGTTGACCGTAGGAAACTATATACCTAATGTTTCTAAACTCAACACTCAATGCCTTCCGTAATCTATCAGCCCAGCCTCTAATATAAGCTAACGGATAGCTGCTGTACGATGCGAGAACCCGTATTGGACCCATCTTTTCAAATCCCATAGACAAGCCCCTAAGGATATTGATAGATTTTCCCTCGTAGTGAAGACTAACTCTTTGAGTAGAACAGGGTATATAGAGAAGGTGCTACTGGGAAGGGGTAGATAGTGTAGGGGTAACCAATTCACTAATTCACGTAGCAACCCACGATCCCACTATTAAGGACTAGACCTTTCTCCGTTCCTCTATTAAGTGATACTTAAAAAGTTACTCATTCCTCTCTTCAATGATTTGGCCAGGCTCCTTAGGGTTTGGGCACGTTTTCCTTTCCACATCAAAGTGTTTTGAAGCCACAATATATCGGCGGATATAGACCTATGAACACGTCCACCATCCGTGCCACTCCCCGTTCTCTAGAGTAAAGCTCGACTTATACCGCTAATAGCAAAGCTTACCAGACATCACCCGCTTTGCTACTCTGCTTTGAGCAGCCGATACCATTGCAGGATGGCATCCACAGAGAAGCCTTGGCTCACTCGCCTCATAGTCCTCAGCTTGCTGGCCTGGACCACGTTGGCCCATGTTGCCCATGGCCTTCGGCGCCCTCATGGAGGCTAAAAAGAGCAAGTCCTACTATTTACAGTTCCCCTCTTAATATCTCCCTACTTCTCACCCAGAATGCCGATATAGACTGATGGACTCTGCGAGACGACCAAAGGAGTCAAGTCCTACGCCGGTTATGTGAACATCCCCCATGTCCTTTGGCACGAGTGATCCGCCCAGTGGCCCGCACAACATCTTTTTCTGGTTTTTTGAGAGCCGCAAGGATCCAGAAACAGCCCCTTGACCATCTGGCTCCAGGGAGGACCGGGAAGCGGCTCTATCGATCAGGTAGGTTCAAGCTGCTACCCCCATGAGACCATCAGGCTAGGGATATTCGGTATTGCCGTCACATCCTTCCACAACCCTCCCTCGTAGCTACGTCCCCGTTCTCACCCCAACGTTTTACAAAGGCTCTCGGCGGCAATGGTCCGTGCAAGGTGTTGAATGACTCAAAGTCAACCGAGTTGAACGAATGGTCCTGGAACCAAAATTCCAATGTTCTTTATATAGACCAGCCTATTTCGTCCGGCTTTAGCTTCGACATCCCCACGCCCGGCAAGCTTGACCTTGTACGTCCCTCATGTTACTTATCGAGATATGTGCCAGTGGAACTGACACAGAATCTTCCTTCTCTCTTATTAGCTTAGTGGGGGTATCTTCCCTCAATGGTATCCTTCTCCATCCGGGCCAACTCTCAACGGCACCTTTTCATCTCAGAATGCCCTCGCTATCCCGCTCACCTCTGAACATACTGCCGCCATCCTCTGGGAGTTTATGCAAAGTTGGATGGTTCAGCCACAGTTTCGGTCTTATCGAAGAGAAAGCGTCTCCTTGTGGACTCAATCATAGTAAGCCATCTCACCCCATCTCCCCTGCACCTTTGGGTAAAAGGTCGTACGCATCCCGGGCTAACAAGCAACCTAGCGGCGGCCACTGGGGACCTGCCATAGCCCACATGTTTACGAGACGCAGCCTCGATCTAAAGAGCCGCGAAGCCAATCCTCCCAGATCTTGCGGTCACGACCCTACCCAGCCCCGTCCCATCGCCATCTCGCACCTCGGCATCTTCAGCGGCCTGGTAGACTACCTCGTCCAGGAGAATACTTGCCCGAGTTCGCCGTCAACAACACCTACGGGATCCAAGCCTTTCCACCCAACGTGGCTGATAAGATCAATGCCGCCTTCGAGGCCCCCGGCGGTTGCAAGGAGCTCGTCGTAGCCTGCCAGGACCTCGCTACAAGCGCCGACCCGCACAACACAGGAAAAATACCGACGTGCAAAATGCTTGCCTTGCGGCGTTCGAGGTTTGCTTAAGTGACGTGCACGCCCCCTTCGAAACCCTTTCCACGCTGAGCCCTTACGACATTGCCCATAATAGGTCGACCCAGTTCCCCGAGCCGTTTGCGTATGGGTTCCTGAACCGGGAAGAGATACAGCAGCGGCTCGGCGTCGATATTCGAGGGGCCACGGCGTCAACTATACCTTTAGTAATCCTTCACTTCCCGGCTGTAAGTAACGTGGTAACGCCTCCCAGGTCGCCCCCAGACTCCCCTGGCTCCCATTTCTCTACTTTGTATTGCTGGCTAATGAGGGAGATAGTGTTTGCCGCCTCCGGAGACTTGCTTCGAAAGACTTCCGCTTCAAGCTTGGGGAGCTTCTTGACCACGGCATCCCTGTCACGCTCGCCTACGGCGACCGCGATTATGGAGCAAATTGTTTGCCTCCCCTCCCCTCCCTCCCTCCCACCCCTTCACTCCGTAGCTGTTTCTCTTTTGCCGTCCTCCAGGCCCGACAGACTTCTCGCCATCAAGCTAACAACAAGCCTCTTATTTAGGGTTTGGTGGCGAGGCTCTCACCAAGAGTATCCCCTTTAACGCCTCCGCACCCTTCCTCTCCGCCGGCTACCAAGACTTCCTCGTCCAGGGGGCCATCGCGGGGAAAACGCGCCAGGCCGGCCTCCTTTCTTTCACCCGTATTTTCCAAGCCGGACACGCCAGTAAGTTGCCACTGCCTCCTTAACCTCTCTCTCCGCACTCTGCCCTATCTCCCCGTACTTCCGCACATGGCTGGAAATAGTCATGAGTGCGAGGGTGGGTTTGGCAAGTCTTACGCCACGGGGAAACAACAAAAAGTATAACGCTAATCCGCGAGTGACTCGACACCCCATAGTCCCCTTCTACAACCCTCCGGCCACATATGCACTCTTCCGCCGCGCAATGTCGAATACAGACATCCCGCGCGGCCTCCTGCCGGCCTCCGCCGCCGACGCTTCCTTCTCCACTTCTGGCCCCAAGTCAATCCGCCATCTCACCCAAGTTGCTGGGCCCGTCCGCGGCTCGACCTTTTGCTACGTCCTCGCGCCGCCTCTCGTTTTGGGCCAGTGCTCGGCGGAGCAGCTCGCTGGGTTGCAGGACGGGAGCGCACTGGTGGTTGACTTTATTGTTCAGTAAGACGAAGACGAGGAGATCAAGGAAGGGGTGCGTATGGCTGGGTTGCAATGGCAAGTACAAAGGGAGGCTAAATGAGCCACTACATAAGGCTGTTTGCCCAGTGCTTTTACATTCGAACAGCGGAGCGAGGCGTGGAACCAAAGATCAAACTTTGTGCGCAAATAGTAGCCACGTATAATTCAAGATTTAAGCCAGTAAAATGGGTGCCTCCAACGGTGCGGGCTGCGCAATGATTACACCTAATGTTGACGTCGATGGGGCGATTGATCTCAGTCATACGGCACCATTCCCATCCAGCTCAGCACTTGCCATGGCTGGGCATACAGGTTGGCACCACTGATAATACTGGGAGTGACCGAGTAGATTCATCCATGGATCTGTTTGGCCCTCTTCAACACGTGGGATAGGCGAGAGAAGAACATTGGGGGTGGAAAACAACAGGGAAAACAGAAATGCGCACAAGGCAAGAGAACCGAAAACCCCCACAAGAACCAGGAGAAAATGGTCACCAGCGTGGTTTTATTACATTCGAACTAGATATGACCGTCTTTCGTAACTGAATGGCCCTGAGAATGACGAGACCAACCCCCAACGGAGGCCCAGGGATCGGCAATCGCTTCCTCCCCATGTCAACGGAGCGTGAAAGACGCTCCCACCTCCCAATCCTGTATCCCCCACTTTTCCTGCCCCAGCCGTGCATATTTCCAGAAAGAAAAACGATCAAGCCAATCCCGACTGAACCAGGTCACGCCCTTGCCTGGAAGCGAGGCAAAGAGTACGCGGTGTAGCTGCGCTGCTACCGCTGATGCACCACATATGCATGCCGAGTGTCAAGGAAATACCCCGCCCCTCTCTTTGGTGTTCTATGCATATGTTACCCAAATACAACCGCAAGCCAACTCCTCTTCCTCCTCGCGCCGCTATTTACCGGACGCCCTTCTGCGGCAAGCCTATGTAACTCAAGGGAGATCCTCAGAGCACCGGCTTCCACGGCGCCCGGTCGCTTTCGCAAGTCAAGCCAAGGAAAACGAAAACGGCACCTCGGAAGTAACTGTGGGGGTGCGGGGAGAGAGACAACAAGCGCCGATGCTTGGCAGGCGAAAAGCAATCAGTGAATCCCCATAGGATACAGACTATTAAAAAGCAATTGGATGTGAAAACTCCAAGTGTGGTAGAGGGAAAAAGAAAAAAATTGAGCATCGGCATCGTAAGGGTCGTGAATGCAGAACTGCGGGCAGTGATAAAAAGAGAGAGAAAAAAGGAAAAAAAGGACATACATAGTCCAAGCCGCCAAACACCGAAAGGTAGAGCGGAGGAAGGAAGAAAAAAAGAAGGGGTAGCGGACTTGACATCTCTGTAGAGATAAACAAGGAAACGGACAAAGGGAAAAAAGGATCTAAAGTCAAGCAATACAGGGGCAATGTGTCTGCGTAAAGCGTCAAAATCTCGTCCAATCATACAAATCCTCCTTCGGGTCCTCCAATAACCCCTACGCTCGAACGCCAGGCGCACCGCTTATCACGCTCGTCAACATCCCGCGGTTGCCGTAAATTTGGAATGGTTGCTGAGCTTCGTGCGCCCAGACTGGATCGGGGCAGTGGCGGCACTGGGTGGTAGTCGAGTTCGGAGCTGCCCCGACTGCTTGCGCCGCTTGTGTTGTTGGTCTGGACTAATAGCAAGCTGCTGGTGCTGGAGAGTCGTTTGGTGAATTCTGCAAAGCTGGGCCTCTTGCCATTGTTGGAGCCTTGTCGTTCGTCTGCCTCAGCAGGATCCTCTATGGGTGGCATTAACATCTCGGCCTGGTTGTGCAGGAGGTGAGGTTGGCTCTGCGTGCGAGAAGCCATGTCGGGTCGCTTCCTCGCGTAACTCGTGTGAGGCCGGAAGGCTGCTTCAATAGCTACCGCCGACTTCGTCGTGGGCAGTGCGGCACTATGAGGAGTGCGCGGTGATTGCGGTCCATCATATCGACCGGTGATGAATTCGAGAGCCCGCTGGGTTGCAGGCGGAATCAGCGTATCGCGACGAGGCCGGCGGAGTCTTGCTCGAGGTGGTAGTCGTCGTCCTCGTCGTCGGTTTCCCTTTCCGACTCGTCATCCGACTCGCTTGAATCACCGCCCATTTCCCACTTCCTCCGCGCCTCTTGCGCTTGTTTAGCCCGCACGCCATCGTCCTTGTTCCGGCGGTCCTCAGTATCGCGCATGAGAGCGTCGAAGCGGGCGAGCGAGCTGAGCTTCTCCTCTCCAGGAACTGCTCGTTCGGAGCCGGGAATACAGCGCAACTGAAAAGCGCGGTCGAGGATGGTCTCACGATTAATTGTGGGACTAACACCGACTGACGTGTGCCGACGATCAAGGGATGGGGCGCCTGCGCGAGGGGAGCTGAATGAGGAAGAGCGTGCTTGAGGGCTGGACCAGCCGTCAATCAACTCGTTGATGTGCTGATCGCCTGCCCCGGACTCGGCGGGCGATGGCAAATCAGGCGGAATATCGGCTCGCGATCCCGTTGTATAGTGGTGGTGGCTCGGTAAAGTTCTATGGGACAAACTGGGATGAATCCCGCTGGTGGGAGAAGAAACGTCGCTTCGCTTCGAGCGGAGGCTAGGCGACTCGGAGCCGTGGGCAGTGGGCGGTCCATCTCGGTCTCCAGGAGCGGTAAAGCCTCGACTATGGGACAAATGAGAAAGGGTTGTGCGTTTTTGGTTTCCGCTCGACGGCCTCCCGTCAGATCGCGGAGCGAATGGATTGACAAAGGTGGGGGATACGGGGCTCTCTGGACTCATGGGTAGCTTCCTTGACAGAATGTAATGTCTCCATTCGTGAAGGCTGTGATGGTGATCGTCTGGTGGCGTCCGAAACCAAAGCGTGGACTGCGTGGATTCTTTGCCCGAAATAAGCCCCGCAGCCCTACTTGATCGTCGCTTCTTTTCCTTGTCCGAGACTGTGATGACCAGTGTTGGTAAGACCGGGCCTTGCTTGCGGTGTGAAAGTTGCTGGACTTGACAATCCGTCACCGAGTTCACAGGACACTGGTAGTAGGGTTCGTAGTCATCCTAGTTGTCAAACAGGCGTGTTAGGTTGTGCCTTAACACTCATAGAGAGAGAAGAAAAGAAAATGATAAAAAACTCGGCAAACCTTTGATTTGTAAACCGAAATCGTGTATTCGGTATTTTGTAGCTGCAGTGGCTCTCGCATCTTGGAGCTGTTGGAGAATGTGCGACTCGGCGCTGCCCTGTGCGGATAGCTCACAACGGGTTGTTCTCTGATTGAGTTTCGGCGACCAACAACGACGTATCGGGCCTGGTGCGATCATGTGTAAGCGGCCTGGTCAAGAAATGCGAATCACATCTTCCTCAACTCCAGTGATCTCGCTGATCGGAATATCCTTACTTTCCATACTGCCCGCCCAAGGATCTGGCCGCGTTCAGGAGGCACCAAAAGTATGCCACTGAGAGAGTCCATGGTGGTGGACGAAGGCGGCCGTTTGGGCACGAGCGAAGATGAGGCGTCAAAAGGCAACGCGGGGAGCCTCGCCTCGCCGTTTCAAAGGAGAGAATATTCGAAGCTTGTTCTGTTGGAAATCTTTCAAAATAAAGAAAGGAGAGAAGAAGAAAAGAAAAGAAGGCTGATCCGAGTCGATTATAGAAGCATATTGTGCGGAGACGTGGTTCGAGAGAAGCGAAGGCGATCGGGGTGGTTGAAATCGCTAACCAGGAAATGGAAACTGCGAGATGAAATCGAGAACAAGCACAGCAATTGATTCCGTTGTGAAATATCCCCCGCTAAAGATCGAGTCGAGATTTGAATAGCAGCGAGTGTTTTGACAAATACCTGGCAGAAAGCCCCCGCGAGATGTGAAGGACCAAATTTGGCGAAGTGTAATAAAAGAGAAGAGAAAAGGACTTGGGAAGGAGACAAGGAGGTGTTTATTGGGAGAAAAGGCTATATGAGACGGTGGACAGCGAGGAAGCAGGAGCGATCGAACACCAAAGATGCGCCGGTGTTGTGGGCGGAAGACGGAGAAGAAGGGGGGCGTGTGGAGGGGGACTTCGAGGAAGAAGAAAGGAACGTGACAGGTCAATTGGGACTTGGAAGGAGGTGAGGAGTGATAATATTAATACCTGGTTAGTCCCCCTCGGCTCGCTTGTTTGGGCTGGTAATAGACTGAGGCGGGACAGGAACAGGGACAAGTTTGGGCCCATCGAGCACTAATAAATCCTCCACTGGAGACTTCATCCACAATTACACACAGTCGAGGAGGGTGGCACCAGGCCAGAAACCCTCCAACCCATCTCCAGTCCTGTCCGGCGTCCTCGTTTGTTCCACTCGTGCTGGGAGGCGACTTTCGGGTCGTCAAGCGGGCCGCAGGAGACACTCCCCGCCCCCTCCCCTGAAGGGGGCTTGCCTACTCGGTAGACATACAGAGATTGCTTTACACCACTTTTAACTCGCAATGTGCGAATTCAAGAGCTCCTAAACATAACAGGCTTGAGACGTCGCTCCTGATCTCCGCCGAGAGCCACCGCCCTAAACAAACTAGCAACGAGTACATGAAGCTGCTCAAACTTTGCAACGATGTCAAACTAGCTTTTCAGACCTAACCTTGTTTGCCGTCAACGGTGCCAGAGAGCTTGCACGTGCCATTTGCCACGGACTTTACCTGTTCGACTTCGCAGATTGAACGCCCTTGATCTTCCACATCCGCTCGAGCTCGGCGTCGAGCGAGCACCAGCAGCCCCCTTAGGAGCCTGGCGCTGATGATCAAAGGCAGAATGGCGGGCAGCGTCCCCTTACACAAGTAGCGCAAGCCAAACGAAGAATAGAAGACATTGATCGATGGAGAATGGGGGTTTTTTTGAACGGAAATGGTGGGTGCCAATGCAACGCTGCGGTACCCTGCGCGATGAGATTAATCTGTCAAGTGGACAAGGTCACACCTGCAAATTGCCCATTGCAGCACTCCCCGTGCACCCACCCAGGTTCCCCTGAAAATTGATGCTCTTGCTCCCCACCAAGCCGTGCCAGGATGCCAAGGGTCTTGACGAGGATGCTGGGAGAGAACGGGCCAGTTGACGAGGGATACGGGTCAGCCTGATCCCTGCACACTTATTCTTTCTTTTCTTCCCCAGGACAATATTATCCCGTTGGCAAAACACTCACGATGCGATCAACGAAGAGGGTCAACCTCGGATAAAGATCGCAGTCCCTTTTCCGTCAGGTCGTGCTCCAAGCAACTATCAATCGTCAAGACGAAGGCTGCTCCCGAGAAGCAATTCCTGCAAAGCCTGCTGCTCACCTCCAAACTTGTATGATCGGCTCTTGACGCTAAGCTATTAACCTGAACACTCAGCCCAACCTGGTTTAGAGCGGCCAGGTTCCGCCACCCACTACTCCACCCTTTGACTGACTATCGTAGTGGGGTGTTGACGAGAAGGGTATTGAGAAGAAGAAGAGGGAAGAAGAGGAAAAAGAAAAAAAAAGAAAAGAAAAACAAGAGAAAATGAAGGATAAAAGAAGAGCGAAACCATTGGAGACAATGGTCCACCTGCAGCACCTTCCGGATCTGTCCAGATCTATGTTCTCGATGGATCTATGCCGAGATTGTGGGGCCCCTTACTTGTTGCAAAAACCTTTGCATGAAGTTCTCCATGACTTAGCATCACATCTAGGTGGGTTTTTTTCCCTTTCGTCAAGTTCTTCTCTGCTCGCTGAATGGGGCTGTCTTTGGAGGAGAGTAAATGGTGGATAGTGGAGCCAACGCGGGAAAACAAAGGGCAACAAAGCGAAAGGAGCCCGGCTGAAGCGAGTGCGAACGAGGAGTTCGGCCGATGTACTAAAAGTCCTTGCCGTGGCTATGGGAGAACGCTTGCTTTCGTGCCTGTGGTGGTCGGCCAGCAGGAACGCCCCGAAAGCGGCCATCTGCCATTGTCACAGCAGAGGATCGACAAGCATAAATTCTCCGCCGCTGACCGAACTCGAATGAGACGGTTCGTGCTCCGTCGCAGCAAAGCACCCCAACCTCCCCTTCGCTTGATTTCAATGGCAAGCACACACTGCGTGGTGGGATATCAATTCTCCGTACGGCTCGCACAACAATGACACGTTGGCGCCGCCCCTCTCGATGCTTGGCGCCACAGCCGGCTTGGAGACCAAGCCAAATCGTTCGGATGGCGAACTATGGAAAATGGGCAGACTAATAACATTGAGGGCGGCGGCGGCGGCTGGCTCAAGGCGTGGAGACCCGGGCGCTATCCTGTGGTGGTGGCTTCAACCTTTTCGCATAATGTGACTTCGACGTCAAGAGCACATGGTGATTGGGCAAGCTCGGCATCGAACGGATGATGTTTTAACTCAGCTTTGTGTCGAATGTACGGTATGCTGGTAGAATTTAAAATTTACCTCGCAGAAGGGGCGACGATGCGCGCGATGTGATGAGTTCATCGGCATGGCTAAAGCCGCGAGAAGGGAGCGGTGGCGATTTTTCTTTTTTTTTTTTTTTTGTCTTTGGTCTTGCCCGTCAAGAAGCAAGCACGATGTCTCGGACCACGCCTGTAACGCTGCGACTGAGGTGTTCTCCGAGCTCAAAGGTTTTTTTCCTTTCGTTTCTTTCTCTTCGCGGACAAGAAACTGCAGAATAATCCAGACGACCAACGAAAAAGGAAAGACATCCTTGGGTGCATGGCCCGGCCCCTCCATGCTTCCCCTATGCAGCCGAGGTTACTATGCAGGAAGAAAACAGGGCAGGCCGGTAAACATTATTATCGTCTTTGCAGGTCTCATGTATGCGCCCTCATCGAGCCCACGCCCCCGGAACTTATAATTCTTTCGTCCTTTTTCCTTTTCCCTTTGGTTGGCCAAGTGGGGATGGTGGGGGAAAGTCCCATTGATCTCTCTGTTGAAGCATTGCCGTCGTGTGTGATTGCCGCGAGAGAAACAAGGAAACAGCCCGGTCAAGTTCATGATGGCCAACCCTCGCGCCGACTTGGGACACGTCCTTTGATGCGCGGGCGGATTTCCATACCCGGGTTTTGCCCCCTTCGTCTACCGGCCGTCCCTGCGCGGAATGCGCAATGCGGAAATCACATTGACGAGACCAAGTGGTTGCTGAACTGGAAGTGCCTGCATAGCTTGAAAAGCAATGTTGGGCATTGAACGTTTTGGGCAAAAGAAGATGATAAAGGGTCATCATCCTTTTAGCACTGAAACTTGTCAATATTTTTCCAAGTATTTAGCGGAGGGCGCGGAGGATGTGGAGGAGGCACTGGTAATACTCCCATTGACGACTGACGAGTTCAAAGCGTGGGATGGGGAATGGTGCAATACTTCCTCACGTGGCAATGCAGGTACACACAAACCTTCAACGGCAGCTGATTGGAGTTGCACAGGAGGAATCCCATCGATACCGAAGACATCCGAACGAACCCTTGCAATCCCCATCCATATCCCAGGCGCTGTCGCATCACTAAAAGGTGATGGATGTGTAATCGGGGTCGACGGCTCCTCCACTAGTTGACAGCGCGTCCTTGCTGAATGGAGTCGAGTTGTATTATTGTTCAGAGGCCCGTCGCACTCTCAGTAGAGCGTTGATGAACACTTGCAATTCAAACGGCTCATGCAGCAGTCCTCTCTCTTGATTACTACAGAATCTCCAGAACGCTGTTGTGCCCCTGACAAGGGTCCTCAGATTCCCTGTCCGGGTTCCAAGGATGACGCATGCGAAGCAATGGATCCGTCCATCCTTGCAAGAGAACCGAGCGTTTTTCGTTTGCCTAGGTAAGTAGGTCAAGAGGATGATCATCCTAGGGTTCGAAAAGGATTCGAAAATTGCTGTTCGTTTTCGAACAAAGCTTTTCGTGAACAAGCCCATCACGGGTCCCCTCCCTCGGGATAGTCGAGGCGATGTGGAGACGGCCAGTGTCTCACGCGTCTTTCCCGCCATTCCCGCCGCGTCGTCCCGTGTGATCCTCCGCAAAGCTCTTTTTCGGGAGGGTATTGATCAAAGCTTCACCCCTATCCTTCAAACAGAGTATCAATAATGAAGACAGCATGAAGCGTGGCTCATCTTAGCAGCTAGTGTTTAGAGGCCGTCAAGGGCCAAGACGCCTCATGTGGGGAGATATTTATATTCCTGAGTTACGAAAGCGGGGATCGTGATCAATTCAGTTCATACCTTGTTTTGTTTCCTTGCTAGCTTCCGCCCACCGTTTGTCGCGAGGTTAGTGCAATCTTGGGGAAAGCAGAGAGGCGCCATCATTCGATGCACGAATTTCGAGACTGTCCAAAAAGCGACTGGGATCTCCTCACTGCCCTTAACTGTTTAGGCAGGAGCAACCGGTGGTTGCTGGACGACAAGTTGAAGCTGTGGCTTGATCGCCATGTTTGAAATCTGATCTATCAATTACCGTTGAAACCAAACCTGGAGCTGCTCACTTCACTTGAAGATGAGAATTCGGCCGCCCTTGTCGCAACTCTGATCTGGCTTCTTTCGCCGAGGCATGTTGTGTTCTTTCGCAGAAGCGGCCGGGGAGCTTGCCTCATCCTTCAACGGTCAAATATGGGGCCCCTTGCATCATGGTCAGGCCCCTAGGGAATTTCAGGATTGGCCAGGGACCGAGAACGGTGTGTTCGGAAAAGCAAGAAACCACTGGGGTGATCTACCCAAGGCCCCCAAGGTATCAACGGGATGAGGTTGATCCCCGGTGCGCTGAGGGATCCTTGATTCAACAATTTCGTGGCTGGCGAAGAGCGTCTTATTCGTTCCTCTCCAGAGAGAACAGGTCCACTCCGAATGGTCACTGGCCTAGATGGATGAACGTTGCGTGATGTCGACGAGAACTGTTGCCCCTCAAAGAAGATTGCGGAGCGTTGTCGACATCAATGCACTGGCGGTCTCGCGGGCCGGAAACCCCTGCTCGCCCTCTTGGGAGGAGAGGCTCTATTCGTGATATTACTACAAGTATTACACCGCCCCTATCAAGTGTGGAAGAGAGTTTCACGCTGCCATTCTCATCTCACTTCCTCCGCGCTTTCTCCTTGGACAGACATTAAAATACCCCACACAATGGGTTTCCATGATTTCACGCCTTGCTTTTTCCCTCTATCGATGTCCTGATCCGATTGGGGGTGTCCTGAAGGAAGATTCCATGCCCGTGCAGATTTCCGTGTCTGGGTCCTCTCCACTTGTTCTGTGCGAGATGGACCCTTGCAGCAAGAACACGGACGAGGCACCAAGGGGCCTCTGTTCGTTTGCTAATAGGATTGATATGCCGCATTGCACTACAGGATCGTCTTCGGCGAAGAACCTCGCCCCACGCGTAGGAATCCGCTCCTCGGAAATGTAACAACATAGCGGCCTGTCCCTTGTGGGCATGTGCACCTACGAAGTATTGTGTTGCTGACCGTCATCTTAGAGCTTGATCTTTCCTACCTTTGCTCTTGATTTACCTATGTGTGCATGGTCTCATTCTTCTTGATCAAGAGAGAGAAGAAAAGAAGAAGAAAACCAATAGAAAAAAGGGGCCGTGGAGGATTGTGAGTTTCGCCGAGCTGTCCGAAATAGTGCGTCTGCATGCAGGCTTGTTTCGCGCCGTCTTCTCCTCGTGGAGTTCGAGACTAGTGAGCCTCAAGCGCCCTGAGGAAATTTTCATTTCGATCGAGAACGCCATTTTCTTCGGCGCCCACCGACCGGCGGCTGAGCGCATGCTGCAGCTGCAGCTTGTACCGTTGTGGGATGGCGGGCTTTTTCCCAACATGATGCGAGGTGTGGGCGGAGGCTCCTGTCTCGCACAAGGCACCTTCAAAAACAACCCCCGTCAGGTTGGGGGCGCTGACAACTGTGAAACCGCGACCGTGATGAAGCAAAGAGCAAGCCCCGCTCGGGCTACTTGCCTGGCAGGCGCCCGCAACTTCCCGCGCCGCTGAAGAAGGAGAGAGGTTCCTCGGGATAGGATGGGGAATATATTGATCAGTGCAGATATGCACCCGGCGAGTTGGCGATAGCGACCCGCTCCATGCGCCCGTTCCGTGACTGCCACGAGGTGGCAGGCGGAGGTGGGGGAAGATAAGGGAACTACTTTAAAAGTTGAGACTGGGTCTAATAAATTGAAGAGTTTCAGTCCCGGCCATCGTAATCGAGAGACCACACCGGCAAGCCCTGGGTGGGAGCGAACTGGAGATGGTAAACCAGATATAGCCGGAAATGGAAATGACTCTCTCCCGGGCTATCCTTGATTTCTTCATATTCCATGATATCGGATCGTATCTGGAACCCCTCCCTGGTGTCTTTGTGGAAACCCTACGATGTAGTCCAGATAACATGACGTGTTACTCTCGTCCTCCCTTGTTGGTGTATCTATTGATTCACGATACTGGTCGGCAGGCTCGGCGACCCACCGTCTCTCAGAGGGGAGTCGAGGGCGAGTGTGCTTGGGAGTGCATGAACTACATCGATTGATATCATTCGCAAACCCCTGCGAAAAAGAAAGAAAGAAAAGGCAAGGGACAAGGGATCAATGCTTTCTGGACCCCGATCGCCCGCGTGCAAGGTCTAGCCTCTCACCCGAGGCACATCGTGTGTGGATATTTCGTGCACGGGGCGCGCGAGCCGGACCTGGCTGCTGGGAATGGGAGCCTCTCCGTGCTGGCAAAAGAGGCTACTTGTACCTGTGGCTCCCTTGCGCCGATCCCCAGCCCAACTCGACAAGATCACGACGTTGTGTTGCAATGGGTCCTGTCACGATGTTGGCGCATGGCAGATCTCAAGTTCTGAAGGCATCTGTGCGAGAGGGATGAGTTACGTAAATACATATGACCGCCTTACATTTCCCGGTTAGTTCCCCCGGTCTCTGAGTAGTGTTGCAGAGGCCGTGAAGATGAAAAAGGTGTAGGAAACACACACACACACACCCCTCTCCCTCTCTTGAGGGATACACGGCGGCGGAACGACCAACGGAGATGGCTGAGAATCTCGAATGGAGTGTGATGGAGAAGCCAGGCAACTTTCTACGTCAAGCACGGTTAGCCGGGAACCGGCGGAAGGGTGGCTTGGGCCGCGGCTCACAGTTCGCGCTTCATCTCCTGTTGAAAAGGGTGTACGAACGAATATTACCGCAGCTGGAGGATGAGGCTTGCCCGTTGCGCCATGTCCTCCACCCATGGCATCAAGCGTCCTCGTCGGACTCGGACGGCATCCGCTATCGCATGAGACAAGCAAGCGTGTGGGTGGGAAGCGTCCTTCCCCAGACCCGAACAACACTAAAATAGTGACACTGCAGAGAAGGCCCAAAATATATATCTACGAATCCAGGGTAAATTTCATGTCATCTACTTATTCCATGATCTTTTTCATGCTGCCCCCCATGACCCTCTCTCATTTCTGCAGCCCTCGCCCTCTGGCTGCTCTCTCTGCTTTTACGATGGAGATGGCCCGAAGTGAATGGGGGTTTCAGCGAAGGAGGGCATGGGTAAAGAAGGGTATCGCACGGCAGTTGCTTTTTGGTACCCCGCGCGTCTCGCTATTCTTTCCCTCCACGCTCATCACCGAGGAAGCTGGCATGTCAAGCGGAGAATGGAACCATATTGATACATCCATCTCGCCTCACTGACGGTCGCCGGCCAGACTCCAAGCGTTCACGACAATAACCCCTTGGGTGTCGTGAGTCGTGCAGATACGGATGCAATTCGCAATCGAGGTTCGCCGGAGAGGGCCTGGCCTCCAGAACCGGGCGCTAACGATACTAATGTACTATTGGGCATGTGGGGTTCAGGGCGCTCAACACACTCCGAGGGTCCCGTGAGAACGGTGAGGTGAGTCGGGTTCCGCACGACGAAGCTGTGGGGGCTCAAAGAGGCATGTCTGATCGCTGGCCCCACAAAATCCATAAATCCAACGGATATCATGAGACTGGGGGTAGGAGCGGCATCTGGGAGGGCATGGCGTGGAAGGCGGGCCGCGTAGGTTGTCCTGATGGATATCGATTCGCGAACCTTTTGAGCCTGAGGGTTAGTGCTACGTGAGTATGGACGTGCTGCATGTGATTCTGCGTCTGACACGCAACCCCTCGTTCTTCGCATCTCCGTGAAGATGGGTAGAGGGAAATCGAAGAAGCCCATTCTCGGGGTAGATGGGTAATTTCGACCCTGCCTTAGGTGTTCCTGAATATTATGTACGGCGCCTCTTCCGCAGTAATCGTGCCAATCGCTTCGTGGTTACCATCAAGGGATTCGTATATTTCGCGATCTGCGCTTGCACTCACTATTTCCCCACCATTCAATGTTTATGCTGCCTCAGTCGCACTCTCTCTATCACGCCAAGCGATAAGATGAATGGGGCAACACAGGCCACCCTGTGACAGAGAGATGACATAAGCAAGAACACATGTGACAGGATATTAATACTGTATTGTCAACCTGAGGAGACAAACCAGTTATTGGGGTAATAGCGTCCCATTAACTCTGGTGTTGATGCATTGTATTGGTTACTGAATGGCTGGGCACTAACCACCCCCGCCCAGACCAACTGAACCAGCAGCTTGTAATAGCGGCTTACCTCCAACCACGTAGCACTACCATTAACAGGTTGACACATTGGGAGACTTCAACTGAAGGCGGTGTCGGGCCTTGAAACTCCGTGCCGGATTTACCAAGCAGGAACCAACCCTGGCAGAATCTCCTCATGCCTCGACGACGCTGTCTGTCCTTCCCAACCCCATCATGAGCTCACATGGTCAGCGTGACCATTAGCGACCTCCCTCCTAACTCGTCATTGCCTCCATTCCCCTCCTCACGTATGTAGGATTAACGACCCTCTCCCGCGATATACAGTCTCATAAAACACTGCTTTTTCGCATACTACTCCAATCTCGCTCACATTTTACCCCACCTCTTCCTTTTGCTCTTTGGCCTAGGCCCTGCTATGAGTGAGAGGCGTCGTTGAGCTCTATCAGCTGCCGCCCAGCTGCATCTCGGCATCTATCATCATCAATCTCCCACCCTCTCGTCGATCATCCGCCCCAGACTCTCCGACTTTGAAAAAAAAAGCCTGGTGGCTGGGACCCAGTAAACCCGTCACTATTACTTCTTGTTCCATTATTCTCTTCCAGTTTTCGCTCTCATCAGGTGGTAGTAACTTTGCTAGCGAATTCACTTCTCCATCACATCATTATAGTTGTCTTGGTTCACCCCGATTGTCTAGGCTTTGTGACAAGCACCGCTCCGGTCATCGACCCAAGACACGCTTCGTTTTTTTCCGAAAGTTTCTCTTGCCATCTCTCCTCCCGTTTAGCGCAGGGGTTTCGTGATTGCGAGGTACCTTCTTGTATCGCAGCCTGGGTTCTCCAAATTTCGTTCCCCTTCGGACTATCCATTGCCGACCGAGCGACTTGTCTTGGGCCAGGAACGTGCACATCACCTCAAACTTTCTGACGACGACACCCTGTTTACCGGAAAGAGCTCGCGGCGAAACCTTCCCCTCCTCATTCCGAACCTGATTACTTGACGACCCTAACGAAAGACCCCGGTCAGACACGAACTCAGACATACCCACGCAACGGCCAACACCGGATTCTTCCAATCTCCTACCCAACGCTAGACATTTCGGAGTCTGGGAGTTCCAAGCCCAGATTCCGTACTACCAACCAGTACCATAGCCTCCAACCAACCCTCGAGGCAGGTCCTGGGCCGGAGGCGACGAGCTCCAAGCTCTGATCCCGACGAAGACGACGACGACAGCAACTCGCAGCCCCGCGATAGCGATAGTGTCACTGACCCGACCACCCGACGACGCCTGTCTGCGCAGGCTACCGTCCAGCCCTTACACTCTTCGCCCTCCGAAGAACACCGTCCTAAACGCAGACGCGGCGACATCATGTCTGGAGAGACGGACGATGCGCGAGCATCCAACGGAGCGGCTCTGCATTTGTTGCCTGGCCTGGCCTCGCCCACGAGACGTAACAACGGTGTGTCGACGATGAACAATGGCACTGCCAGTAGATGCAAGTCCTCAGTTAATGGCTCCTCGCGTGCCGATCGAGACGGGGTTCCTGTCACATACCTCGGCCATGACAGAGAAGAGGTCACGCGGCTTCTTATCCAGGCCTTGTCCGGCATGGGTTACCAGTCCATCGCTCGATCACTTAGCGCAGAGAGCGGTTACGAACTCGAAAACACGACGGTGGCCGCCTTTCGGAATGCCATCCTCCGAGGCTCGTGGGAGGAAGCCGAGAGGTTATTAGCTCAGGCTGTCGTGGTAGGCGAACCCGGCGTTGGCGCAACCGGGCTGGTGCTCTCACCAGGTTCCGATAGGACGTTGATGCGCTTTTGGATGCGGCAGCAAAAGTTCCTTGAGCACCTCGAAAGGCGTGAAACTTCTCGCGCACTATCCGTGCTCCGGAGCGAGCTGACTCCCTTACAATGTGATACGGCCAGAGTTCATTTTCTATCTACGCTTCTCATGTGCCAGTCCATCGATGATCTCAAGGCGAGAGCTGACTGGGATGGAGCAGAAGGAGAGTCGAGGCGGACTCTACTGTCAGAACTCTCAAGTAAACTTTATCCCTCGTTCCTTCCTTTTTCCCTTTGGGCCTCATTTTTATGTTTATGCTCGGTACTAACATGTTGGTGCCCCAGAATGTATCTCGCCCTCAGTCATGCTACCCGATAATCGGCTTGCCGGGCTCTTGCAACAGGTTAAGCAGAGCCAAATAGACACCTGCCTCTACCACACCAGCGCCGCCTCGCCTTCGCTTTACTCTGACCACCACTGCGACAAGAGTGATTTCCCTCCGAAGTTGCCATCACCTTGACAGACCTCCAAGGCGAGGTCTGGCAGGTCCAATTCTCTCACAGCGGTGACCGGCTCGCTGCCTGTGGATCCAAGTCCGAGGTGGTTGTATGGCACGTACCCGATTTTGGTGTGGCTAATGTGTTGCGCCACGACGATGGGCAAATATGCAATCTTTCATGGAGCCCGGACGACTCGTATCTTGTAACGTGCTCCCGCGACAGTCATGCACGCCTCTGGGACACAAAGGTAAGAAGACCCTTCAAAAAGCGGCCCGTGATCGTTGGGGGAAATCTGAAGCTGACAGAATCCTACGCATTCAGACCTGGGCACTGGTGAAACATCTGGATCGTTGTGATGACCCCGTCGTGGGTGTGTCTGGGCACCCAATGGCAAAACCTTCACCCTCGGCGCTTTAGATAAGCGTAAGAGCCTTCGGACCTTTAGTCTCGACGGAGAGCTAGTCCACGATTGGGGGTGAAGCACCGTACCCAAGATGTCTGCGGGTCTCACGATGGCCGGTGGCTTGTCGCTATTGATAACAAGGGGGATCCACGTATACAATGGCGCCACGCGCGACCTCGAATATGAGTTGGAGTTGCACGCGTTGCCAACGTCGGTCAGCATTAGCGAAGACTGCAGGCATCTTCTTGTCAACAAAAGGATGGCGAGGCTCAGCTAATAGACCTCGTGACCCGCAAGGCCGTTCACAAATTCCTTGGCCATACGGGAGGAGAGTGCCTAATCCGCGCATCCTTTGGTGGTGCCAACGAGAGCTTCGTCATGAGCGGTAGCGAAGGTACGAAGTGTCTCCCCTTCCGCCCTGCCCCTCACTCGCTTTCTTCTTGCCGCGAGTATGCCTTGAGCCTACCCAAATACTGACGTGTTGGTGTCTCACAGATGGGAATGTCTGGATCTGGCACAAGAAGACTGGTGCGCCCGTGGAGCGATTGAGCTGCCACCACCCCCGAAGCAATTCGGTAGCTTGAATCCGTCTGACCCTCGGATGCTCGCATCCTGTGGCGATGATGGCAAGGTGAAGATGTGAGTCGAACCCGGCCGGAATATAGTGGATTACCCTAACCTGTTGCTAATGGCTGGATTTTAGATGGTCAAATAAAACGCGTGGCCAGGAGCTCCGAACTATGTACATGCAACTACGTCAACAAAATAGCTACACGGGCAGCTGGCGGAATCCAGAGGATGCTTAGGGCAACATTCGAAGACCACCAGGCATACTCGGCTACCCTAGGACCCAAAGTCAGACTGGACCTCACCTACCCATGCCGTCCTCTGAACATCCTAACGAGCCTGACCAGATGGCTATAGAAGCCGAAGATCATCATATGTATGACCCTGACGATGGAGAAGAAGACCTCCTTTGACATTCTCTTCTCAGACTTATGATGGGGCTGTTGGCGCTTGTGCTTCCTATCCTTTTCATTTTTCCAACTATCTCTCAAACTCGTAACAACCTAGAAGGGGCAGCGGCCATGTCGACTTGAAACCGTGGTGAGATTGACATGTCCAAATATTTTCTTTATCTAGCATTTTACACTCGTACCCTAGCACCGTTGCTTTCATCGAACAGAACGGCCACGGCTCCCGGTATGCGAACGTCTGCTGGTGGCGGCTGGAATCGCTGCGGGGGCGGAAGGGGAGGGTGGGCATTATTGCCCACTTCGCCTTGCCTATTGTTACTATCTACTCTATCTCACTCTTCACTTTCTCTTTGGACGGGATAGGAAACTGCCCTGCCAACGTGAAGATATTATATCTCACTGGTGATGGCTCAGGAGGTTGGTCGGGATGATGAGCGAGGGTGGTCTTTTTCGCTTCGCGTGTTCTCACATCACGCTGTCATGGATGTATTTATCAATAGAAGGTGCGAATTTCTTGGCCACGGCATAGCCATGTTTGGTCTTGGTTTCTTTGGGGGTTCGAGGGCTGCCAAAGGGGAAGAACAAGGGAGCTTGCTTGGCCGAAGAGGGCGACTGGTCGCAAGCAGGCGTGTATGAAGCTTCGCATTGGACAGTTGTTTCTTGTGCAAGCGCAATTATGTATCACGTACCTTCTCGAATCCTGATCTCATATCCTTGCGCGTACTTCTTTCTACCCGGGCATCATAAAGACATGCCGTGACAAACACCTTGAATACCTACGGACGCGGCGGGCGATTTGGCAGGGGAGCCGCGCGCTCCCAAGTCCAAGGGGGCTTTTAGTGGTAGCCTAACCCGTTCCGAGCTCTGATCGGCCTCGGGCCTGACACCGCGAGCTCGTTCCTGTTCGTCCGAGGTGAATGTTTCAGCGCCTCATGGGAACCCTAACATTAAAGTTTTCTAGCGGATATCATTGCCTAACGTTAACGTGTACCTCTACTGTAGTGGTCCACGGTACTCCCTCCAGCTTCCCCCATCTCTATCCCGTACGCACTACATCTTCCTATCTTCCAAGCACTCCAGCTGCACCGGGCCCAGCTTATTTGATTTGTCACGTGGTGGTGCAAATACCGCCTGCTCTGGGAAGCGTGGAGCTGAGCACCATGGATGAGGTGTTTGTGGCGATGGAGCTCGTTTGACATGCAGTGCTTGTGGACCGTGGAGTCGGGTTGGATCAAGATGCCTGGTTCGTTTTATTACCTTGTTACTTGTTGTTATTAACACGCCTACTAAACCTCTTAATCTGATGAACTCGTTGCCTGCGCTTGTGTTTCGGGACTCTAACGAAGCCGGGTGAAACGTGAAACCATTCATCTTCATGTTGTCTTAATTGTCTTGACTACCAAGGTCCGCGTTGGTTACATGGATCGTACTATGTATATTCAAAGCTACATCAATGGTACGGGGCGCGGAGATGTCTGTACGGTCCATCGACGGTCCATTTCTTGCAACCGCTGCAAATCCTACTTGCCGTCAAACCACGCGAAAAGAACGGTTGATTTCTGCAACAGTTGCAGAATTCCAACCGTTGCAAGCAAAATGTAAATCACTATATCAGGATATTCATCTTCTTATATAGATAATCATCCTTATATAGGGGCGTTCACCTTCGTTTTTTTTTTTTTTTTTCTTTTCTTATTATAGAAAAATCCAGGCGTCATCTACGGTTCGAACTACAGTTCTCTCTTACATTACGATTACATCTACGATTTTACAAGTTACAGCTACGGCATCGCGATCAAGAGGGAAAGGACCATATTTTGGTATATAAAGGGTGATCAGAAAAGTGAGTGAGAGATATCAACGGTTGCAGAGATATCAACGGTTGCAAAGATATCAACAGTTGTAATAAAGCGAAGGGTACTGAAACCGTTGTTTCTTTTTGCAACGGTTCTAGGCTTGCAACCGTCCTCCAACCATTTTAAGACTGCCGCCAAGGGGTTTTTCAGATCCAGCACCCCGTACCATTGATGTGGGGTTTCGTGTTCGCACGGACGCCACGAAGGCACCTCGACCCGATCCCCACCCCTGTGGCTTGAAAAAGGACCGCCACCTTCTCTTACGTATTCTTGTCGAACCCACAGCAACCAGCCCTTGTCAGCTTCAGGCTCGTGAAAGGTCCAGTTTGGCGTCAACACCCTATTACCACATCGCCAAATCAATAGCCCCCCTCCCCTTTGCTCATAATCCACCAACCTCACCCTTTCCCAACATCCTCCCGCCATCCCCGCAACAACAGCCTGAGCTGCACTTCGAAAGCGAGATCAAACCCTGCCCCATCGTAACCTGCCAGAAAATACAGCAAGCGCAAAGTTGGCCTGTTTTCCTTCGAGCCGGCTGCTCACCGACCCGACCCGATCTCCTACGCACTGATAACCGCAATCTCCAATCAACCCCTCCACACAGCTGAGAGCCAGTCTCTCCCAACAGCCCGGCCCGCAACCACGCCTCCCATTCTGCCGTTGTATTGACAAGAAGAAGAAGAAGAAGAAGAAGCCAAAAATGTCTGGTGCGCAGTCTCTCGCCCAGCCGGGTGGTATTTCTGATCCTGCCCTTATCCAGTACGTTTCCATATTCCCGCTACGAATTTCCCACGGTGCGGAAGGGCCCCCTTAGAATACCTAGGCAGCCATATTATCGCACCAACCCCTGATACCCACGCACGCTGTCGCGGCCTCGATGGCTGGTGACTTTTTTGGATTGTTTTCTTGTTGCTAACGACCCTTTTTCACCTTGATAGATTGGTGAACAAGCTCCAGGATGTATTCACAACTGTCGGCGTTGCGAATCCCATCGACCTTCCTCAAATAGTTGTTGTCGGAAGTCAGTCTAGCGGAAAGAGCTCCGTACTAGAGAATATTGTTGGCCGTGACTTGTGAGTTGATCAGCTTCCCAGTTTCCCTTTCCCTTCCTATGCGCTCTTTTGCCCTAGGTCCCCTACCAGCAGTAAAATTCAGAGCACTGCTCTTCGCACGTGCTGGCAAGCAGACAGCCGGGGGTCCCTCTTGTTGGCCGGAGGCTGCGAACCGCCCTAGTGATCAATTTGCGCTAACCCACGCGTCCACCGTTACCCTTATACAGCCTACCACGAGGTTCCGGTATCGTTACTCGACGACCCCTTATTCTGCAGCTCATCAACCGCCCGGCGTCTTCACAAAGCAATGGGGCCAATGAAGAGCTCGTGGCTGGCGACGACAAGGCGGCGAACGCGGACGAATGGGGCGAGTTCCTGCACATTCCCGGCCAAAAGTTCTTTGATTTCAACAAGATCCGCGAAGAGATTGATAGGGAAACGGCGGCCAAGGTTGGACGCAATGCCGGCATCTCTCCCGCCCCCATCAACCTCAGGATATACTCTCCCAACGTCCTCAACCTCACCCTCGTTGACTTGCCCGGCCTGACGAGAGTTCCTGTCGGCGACCAACCGCGCGATATCGAGCGTCAGATCCGAGACATGGTGCTCAAGTACATCGTCAAGCCCAACGCCATCATCCTTGCCGTGACGGCCGCCAACGTCGATTTGGCCAATTCCGACGGTCTGAAGCTGGGCCGAGAGGTGGATCCCGAGGGCCAGAGGACCATTGGTGTGCTGACCAAGGTCGATCTCATGGACGATGGCACCGACGTGGTGGACATTCTGGCCGGCCGCATCATCCCTCTCCGTCTGGGCTACGTCCCCGTCGTCAACCGAGGCCAGCGCGATATCGACAACAGGAAGAGTATCTCGGCGGCTTTGGAGGCGGAGAAGAACTTTTCGAGACGCACAAGGCTTATAGGAACAAGAGCTCGTACTGCGGAACGCCCTACCTCGCCCGCAAGCTCAACCTCATCCTGATGATGCACATCAAGCAGACGCTCCCCGACATCAAGGCCAGGATTTCGAGCTCGCTTACCAAGTATACTGCCGAGCTCGATAGCTTGGGTCCTTCGATGCTTGGCAACAGTGCCAACATTGTGCTCAACATCATCACCGAGTTCACCAACGAGTGGCGCACCGTGCTGGACGGAAACAACACGGAGCTTTCAAGCAGCGAACTGTCGGGCGGTGCGCGTATCAGCTTCGTTTTCCACGAGTTGTACTCCAACGGTATCAAGGCCATTGATCCGTTCGATGTCGTGAAAGACGCCGACATCCGCACCATCCTGTACAACTCGTCGGGTTCCTCGCCCGCGCTGTTTGTTGGCACGGCAGCCTTTGAGCTCATCGTCAAGCAGCAAATCAAGCGCTTGGAGGATCCCTCGCTCAAGTGCGTCTCCCTTGTCTACGACGAGCTGGTCCGCATCCTCTCGCAGCTCCTTGGCAAGGCCTTGTACCGACGTTATCCCGGCCTCAAGGAGAAGATCCACTCTGTCATTATTGCTTTTTCAAAAGGCAATGGAGCCCACCAACAAGCTCGTCAAGGACCTTGTATCCATGGAGGCTTGCTACATCAACACGGGTCACCCCGACTTCCTCAACGGCCATAGGGCCATGGCCATCGTCAACGAGCGCCACAACCCCCGCGCACCGTCCAGGTGGACCCCAAGACGGGCAAGCCGCTCCCCGCCACGGCTACCCCAGCCAGGGCCGCTAGCCCGACGACGGGCGACACGAACCTCGGCGGCGACAACAACAGCGGCTTCTTTGGCAGCTTCTTCGCGGCCAAGAACAAGAAGAAGGCGGCGGCAATGGAGGCCCCCACCCACACTCAAGGCATCGGGTACCCTGTCTGAGCGAGAGAACATTGAGGTTGAGGTCATCAGTATGTTTTCGTCCGCCCTTTCCTTTTCCCTTGTTCTCTTGATGAAAGCTAGAGACCCATGGAGATAATTAACTAACCTTGGATTCCTTTTTTCCTTTTACGCAGAGCTGCTGATTTCGTCCTACTACAACATTGTCAAGCGAACCATGATCGACATGGTTCCCAAGGCCGTTATGCTGAACCTTGTCCAGTATGTTTTATGAACCCTTGTTTGGTTTCCGCCAACTCGACGAACAAAGATCTCTGTAACTAACACTCCCCAACAGGTTGACCAAGGATGAGATGCAGCGTGAGCTCTTGGAAAACATGTATAGGACAGATACGCTCGATGAGCTGCTCAAGGAGAGCGACTTTACCATTCGCCGACGCAAGGAGTGCCAGGACATGGTCAAGTCTCTTTCCAAGGCCAGCGAGATTGTCAGCCAGGTGCAGTAAAGTCTCGGGCAAGAAGAGAGCCAAAGAGGAAGAGAGCAGAAGAAGATCCGAACGGCCCTTCGCCTGTTCGCTGCCGTTGGATTATTATTATACAGCGCAACAGGCATACACATATCCCCCCACCCCCTCCCAACTTACCCCTTTCGATTCTTTATCGACCCTACGCAGTGGGCACATTCTCTGCCTAGCCTTGCAAACGGCCGTGCCGCGGCGGGGTGACGTCGCAGACAGAGCAGGGTCGATCTAGCGGCGCTGCAGCTCAAGGCGCGACGGAACCCCCAAGGCTATAGGACAATTGTGCACAACACGACGTAGCAAACCTACCCCTACCCTACCTCCCCTACTTTATTCTAGTTCAAGAAAGGCGACGGAGGAAAGTTTATGGATTTATGCATGTACCGAGATAGCTAGAGACACGGCGGTTCCAATTGACGGTGTGGTTCGGCCAGAACGTTTAGTATATTGCTCAATCCCATCTATTTCTATTTTTGTGATTTCTCTTTCTTCGCTCGTCGGGACACTAGGTGTTTTGTTCATCGGTTTCAAGCCAATGTTGGCATCTGAACGAGGATTAGGGGGCTGCTCTGTCCACGTTCCTTTTTTGCGTCTCTTCATTAGTTGATGCACTTCTTCTCCGCCGATATTCTCGATATCTGTTTGTCTCTTCTTTTTTTGTCCTTCTTGCCCCCGCTCTTTTCTCTCACGCAGGGCCCTTGACCGCTGTCTCTTTTCTACATGAATGAACGGACATCTACTGCTAAGAGGAGGTGCGGAGCGTTCCCGGGACCTTTGTTTTTTTCCATCCATCTTTTTGGCGGGGAGGGCTTAATTAGTAGAAAGGATGAATGATTGCAAAGTTTTGATTAATTGTCTTCTTCTTCTATATATCACTACATGGGCTTGCTTGTCATACACCAACACGTCTTATAGCTTTGACTTATCCTCGGCGAGGACGAAATTGCCTCGTACAACATCGTAATCGCGGCCCTTGTGCCAACCACACCATTCCGTCAAGGCCTCTTCGCCGCCCTCTCCCGGAGCGAGAAACTGAGGGGCGTACCCTGGCCTCTCCTCCCTAGAGCCCTGGCCATCGGCGGCGGGGGAGGGGGTCGAACTCGAAGCAAGGAGTATCGCGCAGGGTGACAAAGTGCCTCTGGTCGCCCTCGCGCTGGGGGTCGGAGCGCAGCTCCTCGTAGTCGAGGATGGGGACGCAGCAAGCGTCGGTGCCGTCAAAGACGGCCTCCCACTCGGAGCGGGTCTTGGCGGCAAAAGTGCGGGCAAAGAGAGCGCGCATGGCGGGCCACGCGGCGCGGTTGGCGCGGTCTCGCTCGAGGCCGCGGTCCTGGAGGCCGAGGCCCTGCAGCAGGGCCGCGAAGAACTGGGGCTCGAGGGCGCCGACGGAGACGTACTTGCCGTCGCGGGTCTCGTAGGCGTCGTACCAGGGGCAGCCGCCGTCGAGGGTGTTTTGGCCGCGGGGCCGGTCGGCGAGCGGGGTGCCGAGGGCGAGGCGGGGAAAGGTGGCGATGTAGGAGGCGCCGTCGGCCATGTTGGCCTCGACGACCTGGCCGCGGCCCGAGGTGGCGCGGGCGAGGAGAGCGAGAAGAACGCCGTGGACGAGGGCGAGGCCGCCGCCGGCAAAGTCGGCGACGAGGTTGAGCGGGGCGTGGGGCGGGCTGTCGGCGCGGCCGAGCATGGCGAGGACGCCGGAGACGGCGAGGTAGTTGATGTCGTGGCCGGCCATGGCGGCGTAGCGCCCGTCGCGGCGGAAACCCGTGAGGCGGGCGTACACGAGGCGGGGGTTGGCGGTGGTGAGCTCCGCCGGGCCGAGGCCGAGCTTTTCGAGGACGCCGGGGCGGAAGGGGTCGATGAGGACGTCGGCGTGGGTGGCGAGGCGGCGGATGAGGGGGAGGCAGGCGGGGGACTTGAGGTCGACGGCGATGGAGGCTTTGCCGCGGGCGAGGAAATCGGGGGTGGGTGGGGGCGGGGTGCCGGTGGTGGTGGTGGTGGTGGCGGATGCGCGGTCGACGCGGATGACGGAGGCGCCGGCGTCGGAGAGGAGCATGCCGGCAAAGGGGCCTGGGGGATTTGTTAGTGCGGGTTTTCTCTTTTGGGTTCACTTGGTCCTCGTGAGAAAAGAGAGAGTGAGAGAGAGATAGAGAGAGGTACACACCTGGAGCGAGGCCGGCAAACTCGAGGATCTTGAGGCCGGTAAGGGGCCTCGAGGTAGCCATGACGGAGTAGTGTAAAAGAAAAGGGGGAGGGTTTTTCTTTGGGGTTCGAGGAAGAGAGCTGGCCTTGGGTTGACGAGGCTAGGAATTCGTTGTAAGTGGCGGGTTGAAGAGGAGTGCAGGTATTATAATAGACGTGCTTGAACCTGTGAGTCGGAAGCCGGTCTCGTCGTCGCTATATGCTTGGAGAAAAGACGAGATTTACAAGTTATAGGCAACGCCAATCCCCATCATATACAGGTCAAAAAGAAATAAAAGCAACCGAAAAACGCCAGACCGAATCCGTAACGTCCGTGGCACCGGTGCTCTTGTTTCTCTAATGATGAAGCGAGGAGACAGAGAGAGGGCGGTGGTAGCGGGGGTGTGTGTCGTGGAGTGGCGCGAGCTGTTTGCCGAGGTTCACGGGCCGATCAGCGCACCAAAAGCCAGACGCCGGGGCGAGGGACGCGGAGGTGGGAACTCCCTCGTCTCAAGCTCCCATTCAGAGCTAGCCAGCTGTGGTAGCAACGCTAAAGAATCATCCGTGACATCAATTGAGCTATGTTCCCTGTCAAAGAGCTCGTTCCCCGCAAGAACGCCCCGGCCCCCTCTTTTTTGGTTTCCCCGGTCCCTTGGCTGCAGGCTTTGTTAACCCCACGGGGAAGATTTCTCTTTGACATCCATGATCCATCCATGGATGGGCTATGATGAACAATGAGAGTTCCCCTGTATGGAATTGGTAGTCCCTCTTCGGCCGGTCGTCCTGATAACCCGTGGACATGGAGCGCGGTCAAGAGCTACGAACTCGAAAACACCCAGCAATTGAATTTCACCATCTCATTTTTTTAGTTGAGAGCTCAGCTTCACAGAGTCCAGACACAATCGAATTTAAAGGGGAAAATGATTTTTAGATGTACATCTATGAAAGATGTTTTCTTGTTTCATGGTTCCAACATCCTCTGTGCACTACATCAGATGGAAATCGAGGAACCGCCCTCTCCGTCATCTCAAGCATCTCAAGAGATTCTTTCCTAGCAAAAGTTCTCCGGGGCTGGGCAAAAGTGTCTTCTTGCTGTTCAACCCCATCTCATTCTCTTTCATCATCTCTCTCGTGCTGTCTTCTCCTTTTCCGCCCTCCCACCCAAAGTATACGATCGAGGAAACGGGCCCTGTTTGTGAAAATGACCAGTCCTGCTTGTAATACAGGCCACACGCCTCTCTCAAATTCCCATTTCCCCAGCTACGCCCCAATAAGCCTATTCGCCAAACCTCCACAGCTAAACGAGATAGGATTGTCCCTGTCTGCGACTCGTCATATCAAAGATCATGGGATAACCCTTTTTCCTTCTTTTTCCTTCACTTTTCTTTCGTGCTTTTGTTGTGATCGGGAGGGGTGTGTAGAGTACCGAGGTCTCGGGGTTATAATTCCCAGGAAATACCCACGGCAAGAACACCACATGGAGGGCGTGGTGTCTCATAAAGTCAGTCATGCATGGCGTAAACGGTAGCGTGTGCGTTGGCTCCGTCGTGCGCGCATCAGGCTAGCCACTCGACTCTGCATCTCGGCCGAGCGGCACCAAGGCTCCCCGCCCCCTCTTCCATACCTGCTCTCAGCCGCCGTGCCTCTGAAGAATCTTGGGAAAAAAACCTCAAGGAACACAATGGCACTTTTGGCAGCTCCCTCTTCCGCGCGGGGCCCCTTACTGCAGCATGCTAGAAAGAACCTGCTTCTGCTGGTCCTGTAACCTCTCCGCGATGAACGAGTAAATGGCCCCGTTGTGTCGCGTGTTGGCCGCTTTGATATAGTCTCGCACCCAGTCCACCACATTGGTGATCTCGGGGTAATCGTCTCGGACCGCAGGCTTACACGTGTTGAGGGCTGTAAATGTGATACCAAAGCCGATATCGTCCACATCCGCCTCGGTAATAATCTCATCACCCAGACCACCCCCAATGGTGGGCGGGTTCGCTAGAGCATGATGAGCTTGTTGCACGTGTTGGCCCAGCCCTTCTTGAATTCATCCGCAAACGCCCTAGACTCGCAAAGAGTCTTGGTGTAGGATACCACGGCAAGCTTTCGGTCTACCGGCCGCGCGAGCTTGTCGCTCTCCATCAGGATGATGGCGGGGTACAACTGCTTGAAGAGGTTGTCCTGGAGCTTGTTGGCGTGCTTGATAAAGTAATCCGTGCCGTATCCCGCCTCGAGCCGGGCTGACACCAGATGGAACAGGCGCACAAATCGCAGCTTGAACGATTCTGCGGGGTTGTTTTGAAGCTTCTTAAATAGGAGCTCGAGAATCGTGGCAAAGTAGTTGTCGAGGACGTTGCTAGATCGCGGAGAGTTAGCTCTGGGTGTCTTCTTGAACTGACGTTGGTCTGGCACGTCTGCCCGTCTACTTACCCTTCGTACGCCTTGACAGTCGCCTCGAGGATGTCAAATGCATAGAGCTCCGACTTTTGCCAGAGAGAAGCATTTGAAAGATGCCCAGGACCTGGTTCATCTTGTCTCCACCAATGATTTCCTTGCTCGCTCTGGGGATGAGCCCCGCAAGGAGACGGGCCAGCGCTGGAACGTTGCCCCTGACTTCCCACATGGGCGGGTTGAGAATCGGGTCAAGCAGCGCTCCAAAGTTGGCCGAGATGGAGCTGTCGGGGCTTGATTCCAGGAGCTGCGCGAGAATCTGGAGAACATACTGCATGAATTCTAGACGCGAGAAGGAAGAAGAAAAAGGTTTCAAACGTTAGTTTCTCATCCATCAGGGCCAAAAATGAAAAGGGGATAAGACATTCTACTTACCAGTGACGTCCTCGGTAAAAATGAGCTGAATAGGCTCCCAAAGCTTCGCGTTGAGCACGTCCGCCTTGCTCCCCGAGCAGTACCGCACCAGAGCGCCAATGGCCTCAAAGTGGTAGTAGTAGAACCTGGGGTTGCTAGGATTCTGCTTCATGATATTGGTAATGGCAATCAGGTGCTGCAGGACGCCGTCGAGGATCGCGGCGGCGCCATCCTTGATCACAATGAGAATCCTCATCACGCATCTCATCAAAAACTCGTTCTCCTGGAGCTTGGCTGGCGTGGGCTCCCGCTCAATCAGGACAAACAACCTCTCGAGGAGCTCGTTGGCGAAGCCCTCGACATCGGCCCGGGTAAACATTTGCACCCCGTTGTCGTCGGCGAGGAAGAGGAGGCGCTCGACGGCAATGGCGGCGTAGGTATAGATGACATAGTTGCTGGAGCCAATGTTCTTGATGAGGTGCGGGAACGCGTCCCTCCACTGGTCCTTGGAGAGCTGGCTTCGGAACGTGTGCAGGTACTTGATCGCGTCCACCTTGGCAATGGGCTCCGCGCTGTCCGACATGAGGTCCGCGGCAATGTGCTGCTGGAAAAACTCGACAACGTTGACGAGCGAGTTGATCGTCTTGACGCCCTGCGCCGCCGTCACCGCACCCTTGGCCGCAATCGAGATGAAGAGGTAGATGGCCGTGTCCTTGGCCTTCCAGTCCGACTTGCCCTGCGTGAGGTAGTGGTTGATGTACCTCGATACCACGCCCGTCACCAGACCCTCGAATTTCTCCTGGAGTTTCCGTAAAAGTCGGTAGCAGATCTCCTCCTAGAATCGGTATCCGACCCTTCCAGGTCTCGCCGGATGAACTCGATAGGCTCATCCTCGAAGAGTTCGATGTCCGACTCGCGGAGTGCCACGTTGGGAAGAATGACCTTTTCGACAATTTGCGACAAGGTGTCCTCGTTGTTAAAGTTGCCCGAGTGGTCTTTGGTGGACGCTACCGCGGTCAAAAAGTGCAGCGCCTTGCTTACGACGTGGTCGTACTTGGTCTCGGGCCCCATGCTCGACAAAAGCTCCCACACATTCGTGATGAACGGGCCGCAGTATTTGGAGAAATCCTCGTCAAACTTGACCGTGTACAGCTCGAGGGCCTCGCAGATATCCGCCTTGACCGTATCGACGATGGAGGCTTCGGCGTCATCGTCCGTCTCGAGTAGGGGGTTCTTGTAGCTGAGGTATTTGTGCAAGAGCTCGCAGATGCTAGGCAGGTTTTCTTCGAAGATGGGGGCACATCGTGGCACGACAAGTCGTAAAAGATCTTGACCAGCAGGCTTAGCGTTTCGAACCAAGCCTTGAGAGCCTCCTTGTTTCCGCTATTGGCCTCAATCTGCGTGTTGGTCGTCTACGGAGTCATAAGACGTGTTAGCGTACCGTGATCGTTGGACCGACGCACAAAGGTGGACGGAGAACAATGTCTTACGATGAGAAGCTGGATAAAGGGCTCGCCCATTGTCGTGATGACGTGGTTGATTTCTGTGTACAGATCGTCCGTTCGGAACAAAGGCCTCCACCTTACAAAGATGGAGTGTGCCACCTCTAATACACCAATATTGACCTTTGGGTCTGTTGTCGAAAAACGGCTGACGAGATCCTACATCGAAGCAGAAACAAAAACAGGTAGGTTAGCGTCACATTTAGCTAGATACTAGAACTTCATCCACTCTGCCTCCAGGCAATCTTACCTTTGTCAACGTCTCCCACCTCTGCCAGAAGTCGGAGTCGGCAATGATGGCGACGGCCTCGCCGAGCTGGCTCTGGATGGCGGGAGGTGACGAGATCATGAGACCGATAAGCTGTTGCTTGATTGTGACCACCTCATCTTGGGGCAGCTTATAGTTGCCTTCTTCGTCCTACTCTTGCAACGTCAGCAACCAAATAGCCTAGCGTACAAGACCAGAAAATATCGGTACAAGGGGCGACGAGAACGTTGAGCTCGAAGCGGCGAAAGAACGCGCGCTGATTCGCGCCAAAAACTACGCACCACATAATTGTTCCTGATAAAGTTCTTGAAAGCCAACGCAGCGGATAGGCGGGTTTTGGCGGGGAGAGGGTCGGAGGCGACGATGTTGAGGAGATTCAGAGAGTACTGGGGCTTGGCCTGCTCGGCCTTGAGGGCGGTCTCGGCTGGATTTTGTGACTCTCGTTAGCTTCCTTCTTTCCGCTGTCATGGAGAAACATTCGCCCTCCTCCTCCTCCTCCTCCAGACCAGGATCTTGGTTTACCTTTGCGATGCTGGCCAGGATCCAGCGTGGCATCGAGCAGCTGCGCGATAGCGCCAATGTTCGCCGCCATGGTCGTGATGCGGGGAATATGTGATGGATCTGATGGCGGGGGAGGGGAAAAAGATGGGAGAGGATTGCAGAATGCTGGAGGGGAAGTAATCTAAGTGTGTGCGTGGAGTGAATCAATCGACGGTTATTTTTTTATTGTTGGTCTCAGCTCTTGCTCGGTTGCGGGGAGACCGGTGCCTTCATTCCAGGAGCTTCCTTTCCTTTGACAACTTAACTAAGCTGATGCTCGAAAAATAGCAACCTCGCCATCCTAAAGCGGCAAGATGCCCCTCCTTGTCCCCTCTCCCGCTGCAAACAGCTGATGACAGCTGATACAAACCCAAAATTACGGAAGGCGGGCAGTTGATCGAGGAACCCTTCTTTTCGATATCCCCTAGGCTGGCAAGGCTGGTAAGGTATTATCTCAGATAAATCCAGTTTTTAATCTTTTATCGTAGAGTACGGTGGAAGTTCAATACAATTACCGCTGTCATGGTGCTGGTGTGTCCGACACAAGGACTCCGAACAAGGCCGGGCTCATTGCCACTCCGCTGGTCAGGTCGGACTACCTGTAAGCTAGATGGTGAAACTGACACAACATGGCCCTACAGGCCAGGGCAGCCTGATACCAGAGGTAATTCGAGATGAAGCCAATAGATGATTATAAGAATCGAGCCTGGTTGTGGGGGATAGTTGTATGAACCGTTTGACTAGGGTGTGCCTCACGATACCCTCTTTCGAGAGTAAAATGAAGAAAATGAGTTAAAAGGAGAGGTATGCACCAGGACGACGAGATATATAGAAGGAAATGGAGTTGAAAAGATATAAAAAAAAAAAAAAAGAAACAAACAAAGCTCAGGATTAGCCTTTTCGAGAATCTAACGAACAAATGAGGTCATTTATGCCATGGGGAGCATGGAAGCCCCGAATACTGCAACTTTGCACCAAGTATACATGATCCTAAATCTCGGCGCCTCCCAAGTGTCTCCTCTACTACTTATCATCGGCTAGCAAGGGAGCGCTCGCGCACTCACGCTTGGTATATAGTTGCCTACTTGCATTGACCAATTTGGATTTCAGAGCCGGGAGGGTAATCTACTTTGCCAACCGTAGGTGGTTTCGGGCGAGTCCGCGATCCGGGCCTGCCCGCCCCACACTGGCCTCCGAATTCCCCGCTTATTCGGCGGTCTGCTGGTGCTTCTCCTTCCCGATGGAACGATAATAGGAAGAGTCGACTTGGAGGTTGGGATGGACAAGAGGAGGTCCATGGACAGCATCCAACTTTCGCCGGAAGCCTTTGAATTGCTTTGACAGAGATTAAAATCTTAACAAAGGGCTTACCATCCCTACTTTCTCTAGGTACATTGGCTATGCTCTTTCCATACGCCATCAAGGATTATCCGTAGAATCAACATTGTTATCCATAGACGGATTCATTCACGATTACTAGGAGCACTGGTTTTTCACTTCCGGTGTGCAGGAGCGCATTCATATTAATACCCATTTTGACAATTTCCCCAAGAGTTCATATAATACCAAATGAGCCTCAAGCCTTCATAGACATGTCCGCTATGTTCGTCCTAGTCAAGGGACGAGAATACTTCCCCAGAGCACTACTTCCTCAGACAAGTTCTTTGTGCATATACCGCTTGGTGTTGTAATTCAAACTGGTTGCTATTATCGCTCGGGTCGCTCGGGTGCTGGGCGTTTGAGTTTGTTTGCTAAAGAGCTATAGTCACAATAGGCCAAGGTTTTGAACCCTCGCGAATCGTCTTTGGGCGCTTTTGTTATAGATTCTAGGCATCAGCTCCGGGGCTGAGGACGACTGGACCTTGTGACACCAAAAATCGTTGCCTGGCCAGTCTAAACTAGCACGGCGTGGACAAGTTGATGAATCAATTGATATGCCCCTCCCCTCACAGTGAATTCCGCCAAGGTGGTCTCAGCCCCATGAGGCCAAGACAGGCAGGAGGCAAAGGGAGAGGGGGAAAAGAGACAAAAAAGGAAAGGAAAACGTGGTCAATTCCTCGTATTTAGCAAGCTAGATGCGATTGGAGGGGGTACGTGTTGTCTCAGCGCTCCCAACTTCAGCTGGCTTTAATAAATACTGAAAACCGCACCGGGCTGCGGTAATAGTATTATCGGTCATGATGTCTAAAACTGTTCATCAGGATATAGCGCTGGCGGTCAACATCGTGAGTACAAAATCACTGTTTGAATACGCCTGCGATATAACTTCCCGCGGCACCAGATCGCAACTATTCTTGTTATAATCTATATAAGCAGCCGAGTTTCCAAAATACTCCACCGTGTCATAAGGACTAATCAAGAGACGCGCCATGGCGACGAACCAATCCCTCGGGACGCTTCCCGAAAAGATGCGGGTCTACGCCCACACAACGACGGGTAAGCCGTCAGACGTCCTGACGCTCACAGAACTGCCGCTGCCACCCCTTCCCCAGCCTGGATCCTCGGACGTGCTGGTCAGAATCACGCACACAACGGCGCTCTTTGGAGACGCATTCATGATGACCATAACCCCTTCCTTCTTGCGGGACAAGCCCTGCATCCCCGCCATCGAATTCGCCGGAACCGTGGTCGCCGTAGACCCCCAAGGAGTCGCCACACCGCCGAGCCCAGCCCTGACGGTCGGCGCAGAAGTGTACGGGGCGGTCCCCATGGGCCGAGTCTTTAAGAAGATGCCTGGTGCCGCTGCACCGTCGGGCGCGCTGGCAGAGTACGTCCTCGTCCCCGCGTCCCGCGTCGTCCGCCGACCGGAAAACGTCAGCAGGGAGCACGCGGCGGGGCTCGGCGGTGCGTCTTCATGTACGGCCCTCGCCCTGGTCCAAAAGGCGAAGCTGGAAAGGGGGCAAAAAGCGCTCGTGTACGGCTCTAATGGGTCCGTGGGGACCCTCGCCTTGCAAATTGCCCGGGAAGCTGTGGGGCCAACGGGTAAGGTCGTGGCAGTATGTGGTCCGGCCGGCATCGAGGTTGCCAAGACTTTGGGGGCAGATGAGGTGAGTTGTTATTAAAATAATATTGAGGCGCAGAGGGGCGAGTTCTGCCGCCGTGTTTTCTTCACGGGAGCGCGGAAGAAATGCAGCAAGCGAGAAACAGAGCTTTTGCTGAGAGTGGAATATAGGTGATCAATCGTCAAGAACACGGTGCGATTTGGGAACTCCTCGCCGACAGATTCAAGGAGGACCCGTTTGATGCGATACTCGACGCCTATGGCCTCGCCGAAATCTTTACCTGGTGCGCTCCCTATCTTAAACAGGACGGAACGTACGTCACCGTCGGGACGGCCTTTACCAGCTGGACCCTCTGGGGCGCCATCACGTCCTTGCTCACGACCGCCCGCCTCGCGCTGCAACCCGCCATTCTCGGAGGCACCCCCGGAACTTTGTTTCGGTTATGAACGACGACGGCCCCGAGGCCATGGAAGAAATTCGTCGGCTGGCCGAGGAAGGCAAGCTACGCCTGCACGTCGACTCTGTCGTGGACTTGCAAGATGTCCCCAAGGTCAGTTCCCTCTTCCCCCTTCCTGGAGGCTTAAGTTGGCAGTGGACATGTGAAAAAGGAGGGATTGATGTATCGCTAACAAAACGGGGGCCTGGTCCTGTTCGAGGTCCCCGGAAATAGGCCTACGAAAAGGTGATGAGTAGAAGAGTCTTGGGCAAGATCATTGTCCGGGTTGGGGAATCGTAGGGCGGGGTCCCTGACCTCCTCCGCGACAAGGCGGCCCGCGCTTTCTTCGGAAGTGCTTAGGCGTGCGTGTCCGAGTCTTGCTGGTTATTTTCTCTCATTGTTGGGTTTATTTGATATCCCCTTTTCTCTTTCTGTTTTTCTTTCCTTCTTTCCTTTGATCTTTTCCCCATGCTTCAGGTTCTGGAACGTGCCCGTCAACAATGGAGGAAGAAGCTGGAGGTGCGGAATACAAACGCACACTGTTAACTTACACGGTCCAAACACATGGGTCTAAATGTTGCTGTCGATTGCTGGCGATGCATGGATGACCACTGGGGTCATTGATTGATCTCCGGAAACGAGGGCGTTCCATTTCGCATTCTTATGGACCAGCTAATAGCCCTTATCATATTCTGGGAGCCGCCCGAACGTGGCCAGGTGCGCCACATGATCGTTTCTGGGGCGGGGGTGTTGAGATGTTAATGGGAATGATGCCCAAGCCACACCATTCGTGCGATCTCACCAAGATGCTAACTGTTCATGCTGGCATCGATAACTCGATCCTAGGGACTTATCCTAATATACCTCTCTACTCTTGATTATTATCTCACTCGCTTGTTGCATGTCGTTGCCTACATGGATGTGTTGTTAGGGTGGCAGGCAGGCTTAACATCAATTGATGTACACTCTGCAATTCTTGACTTGCCACATAAATTTTATCAATTGAATGGATCAATTGCCTCTGACAATGTGCATTAGACCCATTCACTATTTATCGGGGTCTCTTCGAGTCCTGGGATATTCAGGGCTCAGTTCCACCTGGTGACCAATTTGTAGACCAATTCGTGGACGTGATGCTATTAGTTGGCCACTGCAGCCTATCATTTTCAAGTCTCTGGCTTTATCAAGAGGAATTTGTACCCTTGATGTACAGATGAGCTGTTATGCAGGAACTGGCTCGACCAGCCAGTCAGTCCCCTTTATGAAGAATCCGATTTTATGCCACAGCCGAAAAAAATAAAAAAATTTCAATCGATCAATCAGGCGTTCAATCTGCCTAAGGGCAACTTTTTATTTTTCATTTCTTCCTTCTTCTGTCTCAACGTCATCAGCAATTTCATTCTTTTTTCTTCCTTTCGTCCTTCACTAGCTCCCTTTTTCTTTTTGCGCTTAACCAAGATGATCAAGGACTTGGCGTGAGCGAGTACCCTTATTTTTTGTTTTCCATTTCGAGAAAGACCCCTCCGATTGTCTTGGTACTTGGGATTGCAGAGAGTTCAATGTTGGCTGCGTTGTACCTTAGCGATACAGCCAGTGTACTTGGAAGGGACGAAGTGGGGACATATTCGAACTACGACGGCTTTGATCACGCCCACCTCAAAAGGGAAACAGCAGCATCAAGTTGCACCTCCCACCTTCCAGCCTTCCTTAATCCTCTCAGCCCTCCTCTCTCCCAAGCCTTGGTCCAATCTGCCAAGGATCTCAAGCCTCGACCGCGCACCAAATATTTCGCGAATGCCCGCCCAGAATCCCAGGGGCTAGGCTAATATACCACCCCCGCTCCTCAAAAACCCCTCTCTCGCGAAAGAGAAGCTTCAACAACGAAACTTTGATGAGCACCGATCCGAGCTACCCCCGAATCACCCTCGACTTCGATCTCCGTCCCGTCCACGATCATACCTTGGCAAATCGCTCGACTGCCCCGTCGACAGACACAATCGCTCCACGGAGCCATCTTCATCTCCTCGACTCCCCCATATCTTTCGTGGCCCTCACCTTCGACTCAGGACAGGGGATTTTTATTTCCTGCTCCTGCTGTGCGACCCGACCGAACCTACCATTCGGCCTACCTCGGCCTGCAGCTAGGCTCACTGCCTTTCCTTTGATGGCGGCCCCCTTTCACTTGCTCTCTCCCCATCCTGTGACGCAGTTCGACACAGCCTTTCCGCACGCACACACACGCACGCACACGCTCGCACACGTACATACACGCACAACCATATGACAGCTCCTGGCAATAGCTTCATTCATCGCACGTACGCTGCCCCCGTCGCACCTCAGCGGCCACTTTTGAACTCCCTCAAGGTAGGTTTCTATCTGTGGCCCCTCTCTTGCCGTGTCTGGTGCCTCGGCCTTGTCCTTTCTTTCTCTTTTCTTCCTCCCAGCGCCGAGGGTGGTGCCGCTAGATCAAGGGTCTTGTCCTTTTTTCCCCCTCACCCACTGGTGTCCCCAGTGTGTGATTCACCATTTCACTACATACTTGTTGTGTTCCAAGTCTCCGGGCTTGGGGGCAATCAAGTCATCGCTCACCCTATCGAGCACCGCGGCCGTATCTCCTCGGTGCTAATTGAACATGTCTTGCTGTATACCTCGTGTTCTAACATGCCTTCGATGGCTAGCTTTAGTAGGCAACCCCCGACTCTGAGCGTCGAGACGAGTTTCCTATGCCCTTGTCTCCGGGAGATGCGCCGCCTTCACCAGATTCCACCCGCCCGAGCGGCCTTGCTGGCGTCTTCAGAGGTTTAGCCACCGCTAGGCTGACGAGGTCCCCGCCCCCGTCGGTCCAGGTGTCTCGGCTCTCGTCCCACCCACCCTCGAGCCTGTCAACGCTGTCCCTTCGAGTGTACAAGGCCTGTCCCCGAGCCACATGGCCGCGTTAGAGCATCTTCGAAATGGCGCCCCGAGCGAACGAATCGCCGCTGCCGCCTCCCTACGACACGCTGTCGCCGAATACCCCTCAGTTCTGTTCTTGACATATGGCATGCTGCCAGGGATATGATTGAACCCTCCAAGTCGAACGCTACTCGTGTTGCAGGCTGGGAACTTCTCACCGAATGCTTGAAACACTCAGCATCCTCGGATCTTGAACGACAGGAATATTTTCAGACCTTGACTTCGTCCTCGAATCCAGAAGATTTTCATTTGCAACTTGCCGCGCTCGTCGACCTCACAAAGAACGGGAGAGTCTTATCCGGCTTTGACTATGAAGTGCTTCCCCTGCTGAGTACCTGGCTCCACAAGGCTTTCCAAGATGCCCGGCAAGCCAGGCGGGAGGCCGCTCGCGTATCCAAAGCCATTGGCCAAGCAAGATCTGGTAATACGGGGAGGAAAAGAATCTGTCTCAGCTCTTCATCTTCATCACCGAGGTCATCAAGTCCAGCTTCAGCGTCGCCGACGACAATGCTGTCTGCAACCTTATAGACACCCTGATGATGATATGTATGAGCACTAGTGTGCAAGATGACCTCCGTGCATGCATCTCCGTCCTCAACGCCATTGTTACCTTTGGTTCCCTTCCCTCGGAGCGTCTCAAAAATGTGTCCACGTGTTGAGCTCCATCTTCTGTCTCGTCTCAAGCCTCTCCAAAGATGCCTGGACGACGCTCTCCATTCTTTGCAAATCTCACAATGGCCAGCTGACTGTGAGGATTCTTCTCGACATTCTCCGTACCGGCCCTGTCGACGGCGTCAAAGACATGGATCTGAACCGGGAAATCCGCGGCGCCCTTTGCGTCATACGTAAGCTGTTGTCCAAGAGTGCCGAAAAAGGATATCCCACCGTGCCCTTTGCGCTGCTTGTGGATGGCTTAGCGACCACGGTCAAGGCAACAAGCTCGGTAAAGGCGCAGTACGAGATCCTGAAGCTCATCAACCTGCTTTTCGACGCTGGCAATGGTACGCTACATCCGGTGGCTGTCGAGGAAGACTGGACGGCTCTCCTCAACGTTGCTTCCGAATGCTCAAAGAGCGCGACTATACCTATCCTCCAGGCTAACTTGCAAACCGGCCCTCGGGGCATCCAAACCTCCCTCTCCTCCTCTTCCCTATCATCGACAAGTTCAAAGGATGAGCCTGAGAAACCGGAAGAGTCAAACGGCATCGAGATTCTGCGGCTCATCACCCAATTAGAAGCTTTAATGTTGCGTGGGAGCTCCGTTGTGTTCATCCCTCGGCAAACCGTTGTCCGATTTTTCAGCAGCGTGCACACCATCCTTCCCGATTCTGCTGCCAACGTCGTGCTTGACTACTTCCAAGAATTCCGCTGCTGTTCTCCCTCTGATACTGAGTGGGAAGAGAATCTGAAACTCGTGGTCCAGGCCTTCTTCTCGAACCGCTCGCGCTCATCTGCAACGCGTGTGCGGGCGCTGAACACTATCACGGACGCCTACGAGATCATGGACCTCGTCCACGACGGCTCGCATGACTTTATCCCCGTCCTTGTGCGTACCATACTTGCTGATGTAGCGGAAGAAGATGACATGCAAGTCCTGGAGGCCGTCGTCAACCTAATGGGCTCCATCGCCGTATCGTCGGATATGGAGCTATTCAACTATATTATCGATGCCCTCAAGGGCGTCGTGCTAAGCGAGAAGATAAAATCCCCCATCTCTCCCTCTTCTGCTCAAGCCCAGCCGCCCGTGACTCCTACGACCCCTGACCAGCCAGACCCGAAGCCGGGCATGAGCACGGCTAACGTGGTCACACGCGGGTATGCGAAGCTCTTCATGCGTCTCATGGACGCAGACGCCGCCAAAAGCGTGGAAATATTCAACCTCCTCGTCAACATCGCCAAGGCCGCCCACTGCGAGGTAGATGCGCGCCTGACTGCCATGAAACTCCTTTTCCGCTTGCGAAGCGATTGGGCCAACCGGGTGTTCCTTACAGTCCACCTAGAAACGGATACGCTTGCTGCCGCGCTCTACAGGACCGAGGAGTCGCTGAAAGTGAAGCAAGAAAGCGCACCACAGCCATCCAGGCTGTCGAGAGGCGAACTCGGGACCGGTACAATCTCCCGCACTACGAGGGGTAAATCATTTAGCCAGCCTCAACCCCATGAACGAGGATATCCAACCCGTTCCGCAAGCGGCGCGAAGCCACCAGGCCCCGGTCCGAAATATCAGCCCATGTGGTGGCATCCTGACGCCGACGCACTTCCAGAGGAAGCTTCGTCGTCGGTGAGCCCGGTGCTCGTATCTTATATTGACGACGCTACGACGCAGGGTGAGAATCAGGGCGCGCGCCAAACCCAGCTTGACTTTGCATCCTGGCTAGACGCCTTGTTGCAGGTAACGCAGCAAGCCTGCGACTGGGAAATCTACAGCTTCCTCATCGTGCATCTCCCCGCCCAGCTCAGCAACCACTCCGTCTTTCGAGGCGCGATCAAGCAGGTGCAGGAAATCAGGCGGGTGCTCTGCGACGTCATTCGCGCCAACAGCTTCCAGGAACCCCCTCGCCAGCGGCCTACGACGCACCCACGTGGCCATATGCCTATATCACAGCCTGATTATGATTTTGAGTTACCATAGGCACTTCCAAAAGCCGGAAGAGGACGATATCGTTCGAACTTTTGTTCACGGGATGACATGGGAAAGAACCGCCAAAGAATGTATCCACGCCCTCTCCATCTGCTGCCACGAGTTGCCAATCTCGACAAACAAGGCTCTAGTCCAGGTTTTGCAACGAATGGCCCAAATCATCACCCAGCCCCAGGTCGCCATGCACGTTCTCGAGTTCCTCTCGGGCCTTTGCCGCATGCCTCACCTATACAGCAATTTCAGGGAGGATGAGTGGCGAATCGTATTCGGCATCGCGTTCAGATACCTACAGTACGTCAGAGACAAGAAGCAGTCGCACCGCAACAGCGTCGCCAACGGGGACGTCTCAGCGGCCACGCCCGGGTCCGACCCGGCCGCGGCAGCGGCAGCGCGCTCCTCATCCGCGGACGACCTCCCGCAGTACGTGCATGCTCTCGCGTACCACGTCATCACCTACTGGTTCCTCGCGCTCAAGCTGCCCGATCGTGCGTCCCAGGTCGGTTGGATCGCGAAGAATCTGTTCACCGATATAGAGGACCCACAAAGCGAGGAACAAGCAGTCATCACCATGGATTTCATGCGCAGGGTGGCGTACTCGGACGCGGACGACTCGGCAGAAGATCCCCTGTTCACAACAGACATGTTTGGCGAGATTCTCAAAAAGTCTTGGGTCGTTGGTAACAGCATCATCACCATAAAGCAGGCGACCGGCAGCGGATGGGCCCAGGTCACTAAGCGGCAACCATCGGGTACGTCGTCGTACACAGTCCGTGAGACTCTGCAGCCGAGGGCGCCGCACCACATCGGATACTCCATGTCCGAGGGATACGCAAGGGAAGGCCCCTTTCGACGGCCGCGTACGGCCAGACGGGTAACCTCTACGTGCTGCCCAGTCATCTTTTGGTGCAAATGATGTCGCCGGTTCCTCAGACGGTGGAGGCGTTCAAGCCCGTGCCGCTACCCGATGACGAGGCGGTCCAGAGGGCAATACGCCTCTTTGACATGATCTCCACCGTAGACGGCCACAAGATTGGCGTCATATACATGGGGAAAACCAAACGGACGAAGTCGAGATCCTGGCCAACGTTTCAGGGAGCACCGACTACCTGGAGTTCCTCAACGGCCTCGGCTTCCTCACCAAGCTCAAGGGCGCGACCTTCAACACGCAGGGGCTTGACAAGGAGCACGGCGTCGATGGCGAGTACACTTTTGCCTGGCGCGACCGGGTGAGCGAGATCGTGTTCCACGTGACGACGCAGATGCCGACGAATCTCGAGCGTGACCCCCAGTGCATCTACAAGAAGCGCCACATTGGCAACGACTACGTCAACATCATCTTCAACGACTCGGGTTTGCCCTTTGAGTTTAACACGTTCCCCAGCGAATTCAATTTTGTCAACATCGTCATCACGCCCGAGTCGCGCACCACGTTCCTCGCGCGGCGGGAGCGCAGCAATGACTCGTCGACGGCCCACAGCCCCTTTTACCGCGTCAAGGTCATGAGCAAGCCCGGCTTCCCCGCATCTCTCCGGCCGGGGAGACCAAGATGGTCAGCCTCAAGGCGCTTCCCGGGTTCGTCCGCCAGCTGGCCGTCAACGCGTCCGTCTTCTCGCTCGTGTGGGCGAATCGCGAGGGGAGCACCTGAGCCCCTGGCGTGCGCGCCTCCGCGCCATCCGGAAGCTGCGGGAGACGTATGGCCGCAAAAGCCCAGCCCCCAGCGCGGCCTCCACACCTGCCACGGGTGGGGCGGCGGGATCCGCCCACCACCACCTCCACCACCACCACCACTATCACCAGGGCCTCTCGTCCGTCACTTCGCCGTCTCCGCCCCCAGCTACTAGCGCACTAGGCGGCACGCCGGGGTCGGGCCACTCGAATGCCACGACGCCGGGCGAGCTTTCGCGGCCGGCGAGCACGGTCAGGGACAGCTTTGCGAGCTTCCGTCGGTCGTCGGTGGCCACCTTTTGACGAATACGAGCGACCAGCCTTCCCACCGCTCCTCTGTGGCCTCGACTGGTACCTCGGATACGGAGACGGTCGCCACGGTCTCGGGCGGGCTAGAGGCCGTTGTGGAGGCCGTAGATTTTTCGAGATGGGCCTAAGAGCCTGCCGCCCTTTGTGCTGTCCAGTGCAGCCAGGCACTACATTTTGGGGTTTCTTGCCCCCCTCATCAACCAACCAAACCCCTTTGGCTTACAAGGAGAAAAGCCTCCCGAGCCATCTAACTCTTATTTTCCATTTGTCGGTATTTTCTTTTTTCCCCCATATTTCCTTTTTCTCCCAGACGAAAATATCGGATCTCATGTCAACGAGCAAAGGAGTGGTATGGTACGATCGGTGCAAATCATGTCATGTCGGTAGAGGGCCAGAGCAAACGAGAACAATAGGACACAGAAAGGGGGGATGGGGTAGTCCCTCCCTTTCAACAAAAAACAAAAAACAAAAAGAACGGCAGGAGAGAACCTAAGATGTCGGAACCTTATCCAACAACACAAAAACAGGAGAAGGAGAAAGATGCGAAGAAAACGCCGGCCAAACCGCAAGGTGCACCAAACGGGAAATTCGGCTACGCAGCAGCAGCTCTCAGTCACCCACTCTCGTTCGTCATGAAACCCCCATATAGATGCATCAATGCCCGGCCTTTTTTTTTTTTTTTTTTTTTTGTTTACGCCACGCCAGGGAGAACAGCAGGCTCCCCATTATATTACCCATTCCTCTTTACTTGGCGTGTTCTATACCTCAGCGCTACTCCCCTTCGTTTCCTCTCTTTTTCTGTGTGGGGGATAGCAAGGGAGCAAGGGCCCGATAGCATGGTATACAGGAACAGGCGTGGCAGTCATTCAAAAACAGCGGCCTAGAAAAAAGTTTCGAATTCATGTTCTCCTTTCCAAGTGTACCCTATCTTAAATTTTCCTACCTGTCGTACTTTCCCCGTTCTAATGCGCAAATGATTCCGATACCCTTGAATACTATCACTCCACTTTACCCAATTCCCCTTTTTCAGGCCGGGATAATAGCAAACTGCTCTTTCTGGGGATTTGCGTTCCAAAACCTCGCGCTCTTCATATCCGGACCCTAATGGTCGAGCGAGACGTAGTGATCTATGTACTTGTATCATGGGTCAGACCGTACCAACTATTTTCTGACGGGGTCCGGACGCTACAAGCAGACGGCGGGCACGGCTCGCAAAACGAAATGAAGGCCCTACTAGTCAAGGGCCGATCAAGTTCGAGGCCCGCTGCGTTGATTACCCGTCGTTACTGCCGGGCGAGAGTTTAGCAAAGGGCTAATGCACGATTCAGGATACACGAGCCACCATCACGTCAAACGTGGAGGGAGAAAAGATGAGGGGGTCCTCGGTAAAAAGGTCAGAAAAAGCCATGAAGAGATTCGCTAAAGATCTCCACGAGGTGGCAAAATCTATCAATTCGAAATGTCGCTAAATGCTTGCTATCATTCTTCATATATTGCGCCAGATATCTCTATAAGTTGCCCATTTTTTGAACCCTGAGAGATGCAAAAGTTAGTAACGGCGACTCTTGTGCGACGAGATCGAAAATGCATCTTACCGAGGGCTTGGAAGCCATCCTCGCCGCCCTTAACTCCATCAACAAACATTCGCCTCATTCCTTGCTCGCTAAGAAACCTGGCGCATGAGTACAAAAGTCGAACCATGACTGAATCCCTACTATTCACCATGTCCGGGTGATCATCTGAAGACGTATCAAGTTAGTACCCTCCGTTACCTCTCGACTGAAGGTAAGCCACAACGGCAAGCTGGAGGGATATCACTTACCCGCTATGAAAATGCACGAAACGCCCCTACATCACGGCCCAAAACGCTAGCCCACGGAAGTTCTTCGCCGATCGGCACATCCATCTTGGGCGAATATATCAACGCCGCTGCTACCACAGTTTGGCCCTCCAAGCCCACAACCACATCACTCACATTCATCGTGTTGCGTATCACTCCGTAAGGGTCATACCAACCCAACATATCTTTTCGCGCACATTCCCTCTCCACAATGCGCAACACGATGGGGAATTCGGCAAACTCGCAGCGGCGAAAAGTCAACCCTGCCATCGAGATGTGGCCCTCCTCTGGGAGGTCTTCGAAGCGTACAATCCAGTCATTCACTAACTGTCCATTTCCGGCCGTGGACTGGTCAACGGTCCAACCTCGCCTCTTAAACCAGTCCAAGGAATCCATCTCTGCAGGGGGCCATAAAATAGCCTAGGAACGTGCTTCCGAGCTGTAGCCTGCTCACACCCCGAGTTCGACTGAGATTGGTCAGCGCCTGATCGTGAAGGCGGTGTCCAATGCCGCGGTTCCTGTGAGTGTCGCAAACAAGGATTAGAGCGAGTGAACCGATAAGTCTCTCTTCGCCCGCGTCCGCGTAGGTGGTGTAAGTGGCACAGAATCCAACTATGCGCCTGTCGTTTCGGTCTCTCACGAGGTAGTGTCGGGACCAGCCATCTCGGTGAAGAATGGACATCAGGAGAGATTGAGATAAATGATACTTTGCCGGAACGGTGCGACACCACAGGTCGTACGTGCCAGGCATGTCGGACGGGAACCAATCCTCTACGCTCCACTTCTCCGGCGCCGGGGTCGCACCACAATTGGCGGTAGGGACAAAACTTTGTTGGTCTCATTTTCCCCAAACATCATCGCAGCCGCCGTTCTCAGCTCGTGTGGCGAATAGTCTCGGATCTGCACAACGGTAGGGAAGGGAACTTGGCCGGGTTCGTTCCATCCTGGGTCGCAGCACGCGAGCACAATATGTGGTCTAGACTCGCCTGCAGCACGTGTAAGCTCCGCTAGGTCGGCCTGAGATGGCTCGCCGGGTCCAGGCAAGCCCGAAATGATGAAAATGATGACGCGGGCCCTCTTGATAAAGGCGACGTGGGTACCTGTGATGCCTCCCAATTTGGTATACGTGATGTGGCGCACCCAGGGATGGCGATCAGCTAAGGCCCTGCCAAAGGGCTCAAAAGGATCTGATGAGCTGCTGGGCCCATGATATAGCGGCGCAACGACGGGGCTTATTAGCAGGATCAGGTCCCCATCTGAGAGATGCTTGCCGAGCGGGAAGCAACCTTGACGGTCCCACAGGAGCTTGGCCGAAGAGGGTCTTACTCCAGTGGGACTGTCGGACTCAATCGATCGTAAGGTGGGCAGCATTTCTTACAAGCAACCAGCATGTTTCGAGCCAATGCTGAAAAGTGACGCTATTATTTCGGCCTCGCTTGATCCCCGTCGCCTTCCAGAAGATGGTCTTTTCTCCCCTTGCCTGACGAAATGAACTCGGCAGCACAAGTGAGCTGATCTTTTCTCCCACCCCCGTCTTTCAGGTTCGTTCAGCCTCCCACTCTGTTCACACCAAACACCACAGGACAACTATGCTTCATAAGTCAGTTTGGGGGACGAGATGGTGACTTTATCGATGCAATTCGCCAAAGAGTCTACCTGAGACGGAAAAAGCTCATTGGAGGGATATGATGAAATCTCAATATTGGGTCCGGCAAGCTCAAGGAAAGTGCTGAGGCCAGGGTAGAGGTGGGTGAGCAGGAAATTGTGAAGTGGTGGGTCCGCGAACGGCAGACACTGGGCAGGCAGACATTGAACCAAGACGATAGACGTGATTATGATGACCTTACCTATTGAATAGAGGGACACTAGGAATTGAGATTGCTTCAGTTGCGGACGATTTTCTCATCAACTTGGATCCTGTCGAGACATTCTCCTGGAGACGAGCGGGAAAGACAGCACGGCTACCGCCGTCAGAACTAGGAGGACTACCTTCAACAAGGTTGTCGTGCTTCTATCCAACGAAAAGGAAAATACGTTCCAAGCTTGAGCTGCGGAAGGGGATAAAATTTGGTCGAAAAAGGGAAAGAAAAAGGCAAAAGAAAGAAGAAAAACAGGGCAAGTGTGATAGAGTTTGGGGCGCGAGAATAGAAAAGTGAGGGCGATCAAGGGAAAAGAGAAGCCGCCAGAACTATTGTTGTTTTGGGAATCTGGTCTGTTAGTCCTAAACTCTTGCCCTGCGATAACAAATAACTCGAAAGATCCCGGTGGGTTTGGTCAGCGCTCCGCTGAGTAAGAAGATGATGGCGATCAAGAGAGGAAGCGCTGCAATTCGGCGGAAGGTTTGGTGGTTAGGGTAAGAGTTGTACGGCGTCGGGTTGGCGATGTAGAAACGCAACCTGAACGATTGGCTTCTGACGGGAGGTGCAGGAACGAAGGGAAACCGGATATCGTGACGGAAGGCGGGACTCGAAGGACGTCAGTGGGAGGAGCGAGAGGGATAGTGGGGGAGCGCGGTTGAGAAAATAAAAGGGAAAATGCAACCAGCCAATGCAAGGAAAGGTGAACGGAACCTTTCGTTCCAAGAAGAACTGCAGGAAGGTACGATCCAGAGCAAGGGAACACAAGGAAGGCAAGGCAGGGAAGTACTCGCCGTTTAAGGCTAATAAGGAGAAGGTCGTACGGCGGCGCTGGCGAATATACTTCCTGTAATACGTCGTGTGTGACCGAAGAGGGGCCTCTGCCGGCGAAGGAGCGAGGGGACGATCATGGTGCCGGCAACTTTAGTGGTCTCAAGGCATCTATCGATTGAGACTGGGCAATTTTCCAGGCTTCCACGCCCTCCAGCAACAACAGCGGTCACTAGAGGGGGCCGGCTTGCGTGTGCAAACGAACTCAAGTGGTCCAGCAGGGCGTTGGATAGTGGGCCCGGCAGGCAAGCCTGGTGCGACAAAAAGTAACGCGGCCGCAATTCATCAGTATGACTTGGTATTATTATCTGGAATCCTTCGCGGGAGGACAGGGTTCAGGGAGGAGAGGAGGGGAGGGGTGTGAAAATAGGCCAGGCCAAGCGCCGATCGACCAGCATACCCTTCTGGGGGATGCCCAAGGTGAAACCATCAAACTCCGAAACCAAGTTTAGCAGAACAAGCAAAGAGGAGCCAACCTCGTCGAGAAGCGGCCCTAAGACGGAGGAGCGATGGTACTACCGGCGCGGAGGTGGCTTCTTTCATCGCCTATCGATCCGACGAGACTACTCCAGACGAACCAACCCCAGCGCCTGAGCAAGCT